TTTTTTTGCACTATCAATCTACTCTTTTTCAACCTTTGAAATCTGGCGAAATCATAATAGGACGAACCATCAACATATAAAATAACAAATACTACTTTAGACTATTAGAAAGATAAATTTCGTTCCATTTTGGGCTTGAAAACTTTCAGAATAAATTGTTCAAATGTTCAAATCGATGAATGTGAATTTTTGCAACCTTTTGTAAACCTCATAGCGTTTAAATATTTATTAAGTATATACTTGATTAATCATTGGAAGTATAATTAGATTTACTATATAATGACTGCTCCATTGTCTGTTCCAATAAATTTAGCAACCTCAGGGACATATATGTACCCATTATATGTAAGTGACGGTTTATGATTAATTTTTAACAAAGCGGTAATATTAACAAGGTTAGGGGATTTTCTACTTTCTTGTTCATCCTGCTATTTGGCCATTCTACCTAACTATCTTAATACCACAATTAATTCTAACTTTGGTTATTTATATGGCCATGTATCTTATGTTCTACCCTGTTCAAGCATTTTTTGCAGTTGTTTTCTACGGACCTGCCGGGTTTGTTAGTACATGGTTTACCGTTCTTCAACAATCAGGGTTGGTTTCAACGTTCCTAGTGACTTTCTTGTTAATGCCAGAGATCCAAAAAGTTGCCTTTGATGCTGTTTTATGTAAAGAGTGTGCAGATGATGTTGTTTTGATTGGCAAGTTACGTAGAGTAGCCAACGTACCATTTTTGGTCCGATGGGGTAGAATGATCTGGGCGTTACCTAATATGCTAATATTACCATTTACTTTTATTAGAGCCATCATAATGTTTCTAATTAACTCAATTCCTGTAATTGGACCTATTTTGGTAGTTGTGATTCAGGCCCCAACGAACGGACTTCGGGCACATGCTAGGTACTTCACGCTAAAAGGCTACGATAAGAAACAAATTAAGCAGATCTATAAAAAGAATAGAGGTCAATATTTGGGATATGGTATTGTAGCCAATTTCCTTGAAACTATTCCTCTTTTCAGCGTGCTCTTTATGTTTACCAACACAATTGGAGCTGCATTGTGGGTGATTGACATCGAACAAAATCTAAAGCAGTTATCGCAAGACAAGATCACAGACGCACCAGAGGAATTGGATATAGACGCATACCCTATAGAAGATATCGGTGAAAAAGAAGCAACAGAAGATACTCAAAATGAGTACACTACAGAGCTAAAACATATCTCTAGTCACGTACCTAGTAATGAAGTTAAATAATCAATATAAATATATATTATCAACACAACCGAATCCAGCGGCAACACCACCCTCATTACTGGAACTAAACTTCGATCTTAATAACCAACCTGCATTTTCATTAGTTAATACGTCACCGTTTTCTTCATTAAAGACAATGGTTCCAAAAACACCCAATTCAGAAATGATATTCTCGTTAAACACTTCACCTTCTCGGATAATTTTATTTTTGTGATGTGGAGGATTAATAAGCTCCATCAAGATGTAAGCACCCCATTTGCTTTCATCTAGACTTTTCAAGAAATCAGGAATATTCTCTTTGTAAATGTTGTTACCACCTCCTTCTCTCTGAGGTTTCAACACAAACTTTTCTGGAGATTCAAATGCCAATTTTTTAGCCGTTTTACCTTCTTCTGAATCATCTAAAGGATAAATTGCAACAAACGTAGATAATAACTTGTCTAATTCATCTTGGGATATGTCTGGCAAGAATTTTTCAACCATACCTTTTTGCGTCAAAATTTGTTGCACTTTTTTAGCTCCCGACAACTGTGTTAATAAAGAGGGACATTTGATAGCAAGTGAGTTTTCTAATTGTAATCTAGCATTCCAGGTAGCCTCCGGATTCATTTCGTAGTCACTAGGCGCGTATCCAGACCTGTAGTATACCACGGAAACTTCATCCATTGTTGACCTGATATATAACTTATCTTGATTAACGGTCGTTTTCTCAGCAACCTCTTCTAATGTCACTCTATAGGACTTGATGCCATGGTTTTTCAATAAAGAATACTCGATATGTCTTTGGTCAAAACAATTTCTTTCCCCCGGTTGGACTACAAATAATACAATCGTTTTGGTGCTCTCCTGCTTGCCGTTGTAATGGTAGTTACCGTCAGCAAGTCCCTTAGCTAATTCATTAATCGAGTCAGAAATCGGAATCTCCTCGTCGTCATAGTATTTGTACGAATAATCCGCGTCGTATGCTCCTTTCATGTTCAAATAATTATGCAATTCACCCACCTTGGTCGATAATCCCCCGAACGAAATACTCACAGTATTGAACTCGATTTGCTTAATTTGAGGGTCATCTTCAACATCATTGAGCATGTAATCCGACCGAAATATACCCAACGAAAGTGGCTGTTTCACCTTGCCTCCATTTAACTCAATTGACTTGTTGTACGATTCATAGAGCTTCCCCGTGAAATCAGCATCAAAAACGGCCAATTCCTTCAAAAGATCCAATAACCACTCCTTTGACTTGCTCACAACGTTGGCATACAACTCATTGAACCCCTTCTGCACATCCATAGCATTTTTAAACGCCTTCTTTGCAAATGGCGTGGGAAAGATCGTTATCGGAGCATGCGTAGCACTGTGGGTCTTGTAATTCACCGGGTACATTGTAAGCCCGTTTCCCAAGCTCCATTGTAGCAAATTTTCGGTCAATTCTGCCTCCTGTGTCTCGGAGAGGGATGGAAATGTCTTCATAGTACCTCACCTGTTCAATTGGTCTTCTGTCGGTGTATCGTTATCGTCATATTTACGTCCCGTTCATGCTCCATATTGATGACAAACCGTGGTTCATTGGTATTGCATATAACCCATTCTTCGCCTATCGCAAGCTTCCTTTGCACCCAATTATATCAACCACGTCATTATCTACATTGTGCCTTTATGATAACGCTTCGTATCATCAAAACGTCTTTCGACCAACCTTATATCCCTTATTGGTTCATATATAGTATTTTACTAGTGTTTATAAGGATATCCATATTAGAGATAATGATCATGTGATCATTGTGACTGTTTTTGGATCGATTCGGCCGGGGACTTTGTGTAACATTGTTCGTGAATTTTTTCAGGTAGTATAGCGACTGAAAAATACCATATACATTAAATTCAAGATTACAACCTAATTTGGTACCTTTCAACTATATATACATAATCAAAAAGTATGTACAGAGAGTATACTAGAGGAGAATAGACGAAACATTAAATTAGTAAAGGCCGAAAAACCTGTGTTTGAAGAGAAAAGGAGTTGGAATGAAGGAATGAAATAATTATGTCCGGATTTACATTTCATGACATGGAGGTGTGGATTCAAGACCATAGTGTATGAAACACAGTTTCATGAAATTTCGGTAGTCTGTGAAGGGAATGGAATGAAGATTATAGGAAAGAAGGGAACAGAAAGGGAGATACAGAGTTTAGAAAGCCGTGCCAATGAGTCTATATGTCAAGAAACGAAAATTGAATACTAACAAATATTTTAGTGAAATACTTAGCTGCTTATTTATTATTAGTCAACGCTGGTAACGCTTCTCCATCAGCTTCTGACATCAAGTCCGTTTTAGAATCCGTTTCTATCGAAGTTGAAGAAGAAAAGATCACCAAATTATTAGCTGAAGTCGAAGGTAAGAATGCCGAAGAATTGATCGCTGAAGGTAACGAAAAATTATCCTCTGTCCCATCCGGTGGTGCTGCTGCTCCAGCTGGTGCTGCTGCTTCTGGTGACGCTCCAGCTGCTGAAGAAGCCGCTGCTGAAGAAGCTGAAGAATCCGATGAAGATATGGGTATGGGTTTATTCGATTAGATTAACAAAACATTGGTTATTGAAACATTTAATGATTTTGTATAATACTCCTTAATAAGACTTTTACAGATACGAGTGATCATGTAGTAACCGAAACTATGTGACTTATTTATTGTAGAACTCTATATAATTTTATAACTCGTCGGCCAAAGCCTTGCGTAATCCCATAGGATTGCCGAATACGACATGCCTAGCCCTTAATAGGTCCTGGTCAAATTGCTTATCCTCTTCGGTATATGATGAATCTCTTTCATGATTGCCTTTCGACCTTAACTCGGCTTCCTTCGATAACCATTCCATGAATTCTTTTGAAGGCTTTAATGACTTATCTTGAGAATGAACTTCACTCAATTTATTGAAATATAATTTGAATTGATTTTCCGACGTAACTCCATTATTAGATAACAGTTGCTGCAAGAAATGTGAATACTGACTTTTGGGGTCAGTCGACTCTTCAATAGCCCTCTTCTCATTAGATTTGGCCCCATCAAGTAACTTCAAGTCCTCGAAAATGTTCATTAGTCTAGTTTGGGACTGTGATTCCAACGATGGGAACACCGCAACAAGCGAATCGATTGCTGAATTTTCATTATTGGAGTTAAAATATTTGGCATTGAAATGGCTATTTTGCGTGAGAGCATGGATTATTCCTAAGATGCGCTTCTTGATCACATCTGATGCATCAGAATTTAACTTATCAAACAAGCCTTGCACAAACCTTGCATCCTGGTTATTTAAAACATTGGTCACGGCATCTGGATTATTTCTTAAGCTTGATCCCATAATTCTATATACCTTTTCCTGTAATTCTTTGTCTTGTACTAACTTGCTGACATCAAAAAGGCTGCGGAAAACTGACGAATCTTGGGTCAATTTGACACCGAATTCGAGATCATGGCTTAATTCAATCAACGTATCAAGGGCAGTGGACAATCTGCTTGCATCACCTCCTTGGAGATACTGTTGGACTTCGTCTACCGAAGACAGGAAATCATTCAAGTCACCAGTAGAAACTTTAGATTTACCCTGTGCTTGCTTAAACTCTTTTATTTTTTGTTGAATTTCGTTTGCCTGGTCTTCATTGCTCAAGTCGACGTTATCGCTATTATCGTTATTATGTTCTGCATTCACCATCAACTCGCTAGATCCCTCAGTCTCTTCAGATGGATCCAAGATTTTAGCCTCTCTAGCTGAAGTTTCCATGTTTAATCTCACGTGTAATCCTGCTGGAATATCTTGTCCTTCTCTAATAATTTGCCACTCAGTAGTTGGTTCAAAGATTTTGGGGTAACAATCGGTAGGGTTATTTGGTGCGCAGATTAATTCTCCGTTGGTATTTACAATCAGGGACTCGATAGGATTAATCAATAACGCTAATACTATTGAAGAAAGCACTTCTTTCAGTAATTTCATCTATTACAACTTTTGTATCAATAAATATATAAGAAGGAATCTGATAAGTGTTCGTTCTATTTATGTACAATATATAAGGTTGTTCTCTACACGTCAGCAACAATGCGAAAAAAGATTTAGCTGCTAAAAGATTACTATTATGTTCCAAATTGTTCTACTAGCAGTGCAACTATTACTGCTAATGATGGTATATTATACTACAAATGGCGATATTACATGTAGGTTTTGCATTAGGTCTATTTCACGTTATTAATACACACTGATTATCTAGCAAGATAGGATTATTTAGTTGCTCTTTCTAAAGCTTGTCTCACATCTTCGATTAAGTCATCAGTATCTTCGATACCGACAGATACTCTGACTAAGTCATCGTAGACACCGTTGGATTCTCTTTCTTCTTTTGGAATACCACCGTGGGTCATGATTGCTGGAACCTCAACTAAGGATTCAATACCACCTAAGGATTCGGCCAAGGTGAAGAACTTGGTGGAGGAGGTGAAGACGGAAGCAGCCTTGGCACCACCGTTGATTCTGAAAGAAATCATACCACCACCTAAGCTGTCTCTGTGTTGTTTGACGACAACTTCGTGGTTTGGATGGGACTTCAAACCTGGGTAGTTAACCTTCAATACAGCAGGGTGTTGGGACAAGAATTGGGCGATTTGTTGAGCAGAAGTAGCAGCTTGCTTGACTCTCAAGTGCAAGGTCTTTAAACCTCTGTGAGCCAACCACGAGTCGAATGGAGATGGAATGGAGCCAATGGCGTTTTGCAAGAATCTGAAACGTTCGTGCAATTCGTCACTGTTAGTAGCCAAAATACCCATGACCACATCAGAGTGACCGTTAATGTATTTGGTGACCGAGTGAACAACAACGTCGGCACCGTGTTCCAAAGGATTGGAGATGTATGGGGATAAAAAGGTGTTGTCGACAGCCAATAAGATTTTGGAACCGGTCTTGGCTTCGTGGTTCTTCAAGATGCTAGCAACCTTGGCAATGTCAGTGACAGTCAAGGTTGGGTTGGATGGGGTTTCTAACCACACTAACTTGGTGTTTTCTTGGATTTTCGATTCCAAGTCTTCAACCAAGTTTCCAACAAATGTGGAGGTAACACCGTGGGTAACACCAACCTTGGTGAAATATCTGTGGGTACCACCATAAACATCTCCTCCTGAGATAATGTGCGAGTTCATAGGCAAAGACTGTATAATCAATGCAGTAGTAGCAGAACCAGAACTCAATGCAATCGCATGCTTGGCCCTCTCTAAGGCTGCAACTGCGGCTTCAAAATTGTCTCTGTTAGGATTAGCAGATCTGGAGTATTCGTAAATACCAACCGGCTTAGATGGTTCCGATTGGGCAAATGTAGTAGACAAAGAAAGTGCTTCAATAACAGCACCGGTGGTAGGATCTATTGGTGCACCAGCATGGATGGCTTTTGTACCAAAACCGTATTCAACATCAGAAGTAGATTCAATAGTCATTTTTATCTATAATTAAAGTCTATAGTAGCTCAATAAGTCAAATACCTATTATTTCTTAGCAAAGCTGTATTAACAACGTGAATATGAAAAAAATTAAGAATTTATGTATTTATATACCCTATGGCAAAAGGAATTCTATAATGCCTTACAAATAAATAGAGCCACAGCATTTTCCTGAGATGACGCCGCGGGCTTCGTAACCAAACATCCGAACCTCATCACCATAAGGGTGCCAATGATAACAATTATGACAATTATGACAATTGTATTTTGCAGCTGTTAGGTGATATGACGAGATATACTGTGACAATAGTCCGAGTAGATGATGAATTAATCATCAGGGTCACTTTTCGTTTGCATCAAAACATTTAATTAGTGATACCAGAACCAGGTATTTCTTTTTCTCACTAATGCTTGGGACCGTTTGTCATTTGTCATCACGTCAGTAGCTAAAAATATATGTTCCCCAGATGTGGAAAAGAAGGTTCTGGTGTCTAATGACAACATAAGGAACCACAACCGCAGCGAAGGCGTTTCGCATACGTAAAATTTGGTGGTATTAGTAGTATAGTTTTGTAGCACATAGACTCGGTGATAAAGTACCGAAGTGTTGCGATATGCAAATACTGATAGCAAAACAACCAGACTCTCTACTACGTTCGATGTAGGTGTGCTACGGATGTACACATGCGTATTAGATGTCTATTTAGCATTAATTTTCCAGTAACTCGTCTAAGAAGCCAGGATTGTTGGCTAGCTTGGCCCTGAATTTGTCCCACCAGCTGTTGAAGGCCTTCATTGGAACCTTACCCGAATCATCAATGAAACTGCCCAAGAAATTGTATGCGTGGGTGACAATTTTGTTAGCCAAGGATGCGATGTCATTAGGGTTCTTCAATGCAGAGGGTGCACTAGCCATATTAGCAGGAACGAGAGATTGCGAAGCCCCCGCCTGTTTCTGGCGTTCCTGCAACAAGAGTGCTTCGGCCTGGGGAGTTGGCTCAATGGAAATACCTATATTTATAGTGGCATCGGTGGTAGCATCACCACTAGCATCGACGCTCATCTCGACATCATCCAATTGGGTGCTTGATTCGGATGTTTTGCTGCCATTATTAAGTTTATATATAGCTGATGGCTTGGCTGGGTTCAATCCCCCTAATAGCTTGAACTCCTGGGAATTTGGCAATTGGAAATACACCAACGCCGTGAAATTGGTGTCGGTGAATTCTGTTTGAGGTAGAAGGAATATTGCAATATGGGCTATATTTGATGCATTTGGCACTGTGATAACGTATTTTGTGGGCTCAACTTGATTAGCCAATTGTATTGGCCTTCCTGAACAAACTGCTCCGAACATACTTATTTATTGATACGTTTATTGGTAGTATAATGATAAGCAAGAGTTGGTTCATGATTCTAGTAAGTAGGGTTAGTTCGGAGATACGGAGTTACCCGGAAATGCATCGATACTACAAAAACTCTTCTACGAAAAACTGATTTTGTTCCTTCCCTTTATTCTTTTACCTTTTAACTATCGTAACATCATATCGTGATTCAATAAAGGATTATTGGTTTGCTATATGTAATACGTGGGTGATAAAGAAGGTAACTTGTCAGTTTTGTAATAAGCTATTAGGGTTTCATTGAGATTTTAATGCATAGGCTTACTATATGAACAATTGACTAGTTATCGATACAATCATCCTATAATAACTACGTCGAACATATTTTCCATCTTTGAGCATATTTGATGCGTCATAATGACCTTCATCTGGTGCAATAGATGAATATGGGAAAGATACTTCGTGACATTGTCTATTTTGTTCCTTGGCCCTATATAATACTCTTACTTAGTCTGTAAACATAACCAGCTTGTGGCACACCCTGCGCCTAGTAGCACTACCGGGTTGCTACCTTCATATAAACAGTTCAAGTAACCGAAGGTGACTTTTCCTTCTATGTCATTTTCGTTTATGGAAGCTGTGTGAATTCCACAATTACCATGTTCACCCCAACCCCACGCATATACCATATTTTGTTTGGTTAGTACGAGTCCATGTTCACTTCCAATCTCATATTTAGAAATATCAACTTTCGAGTTTGGAAATAGCTGGCCATGGCTGTTGTTACCCCTTGATTTTATGCTTAGCGAATGATTTTGGTCTTCAACCAAATAGTGGTTGGAGGACCACATGGATTTTAGATCTATAACGTTTTCACCGCAATCGTATGTTTCTTCTCCTTTACCATAGATGTTAACCTGGTGATTTTTGTATAGTATAGCTGTACAGTCCCGACCAAGGTCATATGCTTGTAAGTCTATTTCGTCAAACAGTAGAGGCTCTGGTTCCCATACTATTGAACGAGATTTCGATTTATTATTTATAGTCACAATTTCTTGCTTTCCTAGTTGTCCTTTTCTACAATTTCCCCATCCATATAGATCACCATTATCTAGTTTCACAATCGTGTGATTTATGGATGATTTGAGATTAACAACTCTACTTGGAAGGTTGAACGATGCCTTAACGAGCTCACTTCTGGTTGCCTTATTACCTAGTCCCAATTCTCCCTTCAATCCTATACCACATACGTATATGTCATCTGAGTCATTCAATAGAATTGAAAACTCCCACCCACAGCTAACATCTTTCCACTTATTATTACCACTCACCGGTGTGAATTCAAGAATGTGTGTCGACTTAGGGGTAACATGATGAGCACATTGGCCGTAGGTATTATCACCAGCACTATATAGCATTCCTGTATTTGTTAAAATAAAAGTATGATTTCCACCGGAACTTATTTTGATCGGTCTTGAATGAATATAATTTGATTTCGAACCATCTTCATGACGGAATATCACTGGCTGAAGAATGTCTTGATCTTCATCGCTGGAGATTCCTAACTGAAAATTACCATTAGATCCACATGCAAGCACCTTATATTTTGACATTTGTAATGCTTTAATAGTAGTCTTATCTGCTGTGCTACTCTGAATATTCTAAACTAAGCGAATCGTTGTATACAGAACTGTCGATGTTCCCATACTACTACTATAAACAGCTTTCTTACATTTATTACTATACCTAGATATATCCAGTGAAAGCTGATATCTGCCCTGAAATCATGGAATACATCAGTATATTTATCGTACGTATATGTAATCCATTTGTATTGTTTGAAGAAGATATTTGGAACAATTTCTCAATCCAATCAGAAAAGTGCTCTGTTTGATCAACGATCAAATTGCAAACGATTGAATTACAAACGATCTTACAGTGATCCTACAACTAGATTTATCAAGCGCTCAAAGATAAATTAGAATGCTTGAAGTCACTAAATGATAATATTGACTGTCTTTACATATAGCAACCGAACATGATTCGTAGCATTTTTTGCACCCGCTAAAATTCATTGAAAATGAAACAAGTCACACATGAATAAGCAATGATTGCTTATTTATATACTTTCTAAGTAGTTACAAAGCTGTCCTTATCTCCCTTCAGACTGTGACGTGTATCTGTCGTTTAACTAATATTTTTTACTTGATTGATTGAAGCCAGAAGCCAGAAGCCCTGAAAAAAATTGGTAGCATTCATAGCTTGTCATTTTGTCCCACTACATCTTATAGCTATACGATTGACTACCGTCGTAAAGCTAAATCTGAGATTTATACGTACAATAGCAATTATTTTAGGTATTATTGTATACTGGTTAATTCATCGGTACGATTTTGTGTTCCAAAAAGTTTTATACGACTACAGACTATACGACAACAAGCATATATAAACTCATTGAAAAGTTGGAATAATAAAGCATTCTGTAGTCTTGCAGAAAAGATGTCAAGTTTGAATCCACCTACAGTTCATCGTGAGTTTTTCGGAGTGCCAGGATCGTTGGCAATTACCTTCGGACTTCCGACTGTTATAACGTTGTTTGCATTAATAACCAATGAATACTATTCAGTGCAAGGATTATCATTAGATCTTAATGCAATATCTAATCAAGTTCCTTCAAATGTTGGAGAATTGATTGATTTATGTTTTGATTTCAACTGCTGGGCTGCTTACTTAACGTGGTTTTCGGTCTTGGTGATATTGGACTTTGTCTTACCTGGTAAGAAGCTTAAAGGTATCAAGTTGAGAGACGATAGTCAATTAGAATATAAAATAAATGGGTTGCTGATGTCAGGATTGTTGATAACCCTTTTATTAAGTAGGTTATTGGTATCTGATAACTACTATTTACCCGAATTGCAATTTATCTATGACAATCAATTGAAGTTAACTTTAGTTACTACAATTTTTTCTTTCTTGTTGTCAGTCTTTGTTTACGTTTGCTCATTTATTCCATTGGCGAAGGAAAATAATGCTGGAACTAAGGAGAGAATATTATCCATTAATGGAAATTCAGGTAATGTAATATACGACTGGTTTATTGGCAGAGAATTGAATCCTCGAATCGGTTCGTGGGATATCAAACTATTCTGCGAGTTAAGACCGGGCATGTTATTATGGTTTTTGATTAATTTATCATGCATGCATAGCCAATACCATAAGCTTCATAAAATCACTGATTCATTATTGTTGGTGAATTTTTTGCAAGCGTTTTACGTTTTCGATGGTGTGTTGAACGAAGAAGGTGTATTATCGATGATGGATATAACCACTGATGGGTTTGGGTTCATGTTATGTTTTGGCGATTTGGCCTGGTTACCTTGGTCATATTCGTTACAATCAAGATATTTGGCGTTGCCTGAGAATTCGTTGGAATTAGGCTATGTTAAAATTGCATTAATCTTGGCTTTAAGTTTTACTGGTTACTACATCTTCCATTCATCAAACAAACAGAAATCCGACTTCAGAATGGGTAAGTTAGATCACTTAAATTTGAAGAGCATCAAAACCAAAACAGGTTCAAAATTACTTTGCGATGGATGGTGGGGCATATCTCAACATACGAATTACTTTGGTGATTGGTTAATTGGCTGGTCTTGGTGTTTGCCTACTGGTTTTCAGACTTTATTGACATACTTTTATGTTATTTATTTTGGGGTGTTATTGGTTCACAGACAGACGAGAGATGAAGCCAAATGTAGATTGAAGTACGGTAAGCAATGGGAAGAATACGAAGAAATTGTTCCCTACAAAATTGTACCTTATGTTTACTGAAATTGCAGTAATTTAATATACTATATAAAAGTTTAACAAAATATTTATTCATATTACATGATCTTTAATGGTAAATGTGTAGTTAAGTCCATTTTCTCTCTGTAAGATGTTATCATCAACTTGTTGGTGTACGAAAACGATTTTTCTTATTGACGCGTGGATTTTATCATCGCCAAAATTTCTGTTTATCGAAGGTGAAATTTTCTGATTCCTTTTGAACATAAAACACAATCTATTAAGGATAGTACACTAATAGATATGAGTTGGTATAAGAACCCATCAGAAGATAGTGCTATTCAAGTAGAAGATTCTCCTCAAAAGGAATCTTCTTACATTCAGGTACCTACTTCATCACCGATTTATGTTAAATCATCACCAACCAAATCTAATAACGATTTAATGCCACCAAGCAGAACTCAAATAAACAATAATGCAGATATTGATGAAGATAAAGAAAGAAAACTTGAAGCCAAAAGACAAGCTATTAGAAACCATAAAGATTTTCCTATGGTGAAGAGAAGGTTTTATTACTTGCAAGAGAGTGATATTTTTAAAGGTTTTGTTAAAGGCAAAGGTAATCTCAGAGACATAACTCAGTGGTTATCAGATAACTACAATAAGGCTGAGATTTTAGGAAAGCATGAAGCAGAAATTAGAAGACAACGAGAATTAGGACAAGAAGAAAAGATGAAACAAGAGAAAGAGAGATTATTGAGAGAATACCAACGCCAAGAAGAGATAAACCAAAGAAGAGAACAAGAGGAGAAAGAAAAATTAGAAAGAGAAAATCAGAATATTGATGACCAGTATGACGATGAAGATCTTTCGCCTATTAAGGTAAGAGGTAAAGCTAGAGTCAAGTCAGCAGCAGCTCTACCACCACCACAACCAATATTATTAGAGTCACCAGAAAAACATTCATCTACAAAGGTTCATATATCGAAGCCGAAGGTGTCGATCTTGGATAAATATAAATATAAACCAAAACAACAACCAAGTATTGATCAAGTGTTTAGATCACAGGAAGATAACCAACCTAAAAGAAGAAAGCTCGTGCGTGCGTCTACTGTCAGTAGTAGCGATGATTCTAATAGGGGCTCTCCAATGGCTGCGTCTTTTAATTATCAAGATCAATATATACCTAAGCTTAAGATGACAATAGGCGGACAGTCATTTGAGAACAATCAGAATGATACGAGGGATGATGGAATTGTTGATGATGATGATTTAGAAAAGTTAGAAGAAAAGATCAAAGCCAATAGAAGAGCTGCCAAAGCCTCGAAAAAAGATCAAGTCATAGAAATTAGTGATAATGATTTAGAAGACGATGACATGAGCGATGACATGTCAGAAGAAGATGATGAAGAAGGATACAAAACTGGATTGACTACTATCGATTCGCAGATTTTGGAATTCTTGAACAATGCGTCAACTCAAGATATAGTTGAAATCAGTAACGTACCACCCAAGGTAGCCGATTTGATTATTTCGAAGAGACCTTTTGAAAATATCTATGCAGTTGCTGAGGACAAATTTGAATTACCAAGTGAACAGAAGGAAGACAATGGCAATGATAAAAAGAGAAGAGCGCAAAGAAAGACCTTGGGACAAAAGATTATTGAAAGTACAGAATTTAGTTTGAAAGGTTACAAAGCTGTTGACTCATTAATTAAAAAATGCTCGGAATATGGTGAGTTAATTTCCAAACAGATGGAAAAGTGGGGAGTCACAATTACTGGTGAAGGTGAGCTTGAAATGGTTGACCTTGAGCCAACCCAGAATGCAATTGAAATTGAAGACAAAGATGAATATGAAGAAGAAGATGAAGACATTATAGTACACCATAAAAGTAAAAGCTTGACTTATATCAAAGAGAAACCATCATTATTACCAGATGATATCGATTTGAAAAACTATCAACAAGTCGGGATTAACTGGCTTAATCTTTTATATCGTAACAATCTATCATGTATTTTAGCAGATGAGATGGGTTTAGGTAAAACTTGTCAGGTCATTTCTTTTATGGCGCATTTAAAAGAAACTGAAACCAAGAAAGGTCCTCATTTGGTTATTGTTCCATCATCAACTTTAGAAAATTGGCTTAGAGAATTTAATAAGTTCTGTCCTGATTTAATAGTACAAGCTTACTATGGATCTCAGAGCGAAAGAGAAGGATTGAGATATGACTTACAAGGCAGTGATTATGATGTTATGGTTACTACTTATAATCTAGCCACAGGAGCTGCGCCTGATTTTAAGTTTTTAAGAAACCAGAATTTTAACATGATTGTTTACGATGAAGGTCATATGTTAAAAAATTCTACTTCTGAGAGATACAACAAGTTAATGAGATTGAATGCAAAGTATCGATTATTATTGACAGGTACACCGTTACAAAATAACTTAAAAGAGTTGGTTTCACTTTTGGCGTTCATGTTACCAAATCTTTTTAACGATAAACGTGAAGATCTTCAAGGTTTATTCAATCAGAAAGTTTCAACTGTTGATTCATCTGAAGGTAATTACAACCCGTTATTGTCATTACAAGCTATTGCTAAGGCCAAGACAATGATGACCCCATTTGTGTTGAGACGTAAAAAGATTCAGGTTTTAAAGCATTTACCAGGAAAAATTCATAAGATTGAAAATTGTGAATTGACTCCTACTCAAAGGGCCATTTATGACGAGTATTTGAACCAAGGAAAAAGAACTAGAATTGAAAGGGAAAGAAGGAAGAAATTGTCAAGCAAGGAAAATGAAAAGGCAAGAAAAAATGCTATCCCATCTAGTTCAAATGTTATGATGTCCTTAAGAAAGGCCTCTTTACATCCATTATTATTCAGAACATTATTCACGGACGAAAAAGTAGCCAAAATGGCCAAAGCTATCATGAATGAACCAGAATATTTTGATGCTAATCAGACGTACATATTGGAAGACATGAAGGTCATGGCAGATTATGAATTGAATAACTTATGTGAGAAATTCCCAAAGACGTTGGGCAAATTTGTCTTGCAAGATGAAGATTGGCTCAATGGTGGAAAAATCTCAAAATTAATCGAGATCTTGGACAGAATTATAAATAAGAAAGAAAAAGTCTTAATTTTTTCGTTGTTCACTCAAATGTTGGATATATTGGAAAAAGTATTAACTATTTCCAATATCAAGTTTTTGAGATTGGACGGACAAACTAGCGTTGATACAAGGCAAGATTTAATTGATAAGTTTTATGATGATGAAACAATTCCGGTATTTTTATTATCTACCAAGGCGGGAGGTTTTGGTATCAACTTAGTTGCAGCAAATCATGTAATAATATTTGATCAATCCTTCAATCCACATGACGACAAACAAGCCGAAGATAGAGCTCATAGAGTCGGCCAAACAAACGAAGTGATCGTGACAAAATTGATAGCCCAAAACACAATTGAAGAGAACATGCTACAATTGGCGGAAAACAAATTACAATTAGATCAATCTATCAGTAGCAGCGATCTTAGTGATTCCAAATTCGAGGAGAAAGCAGCTTCTCTCTTTGAAAAGCTCTTATTCGATAATTAATGAACCTGAACTACTGATCAAATAGATAAAAGAAACAATATTTTTTTGCGTCAATTTCCGAATTCCGAGACGACTAATAGAAATGATCAATCCCCGGTATTATATTTCCGAGGGGATCGTCTTTTGGTGAAAGACTTATTAATAATGTAGAACAAACTTTTATAGTCTTTTTCATAGCAGTTCTACATAAAACCATTTAATCCAAATATTTATAGACATGTTTATGGCGAAAAGAGTATTTACGGCACCATTTACGAGGTTCCCACAAATAAATCGTTCGATAATTAATAGTACCCGTAATTTATTCATCCAAACAGTGGAAACACCAAACGAACATGCATTAAAGTTTTTACCATCTATGCAAATCATGAAGGAAAATGAAACCAGAGAATTTTTAAGCGGGAGAGAAGCTGCTTGTAGTCCATTAGCATTAAAGTTGTTTTCTATCGACGGGATTAAATCGATCATGTTTGGATCAAACTTTATTACAATCGAAAAGGCAGATGAAGATTTACACTGGTCGTTATTAAAGCCTGAGATCTTTTCTATTTTAACTGAATTCTTGAATAATGGCACTCCTATTATTAATGAAGAATCAGAACTCACTAATGATATGGAAATCAAAGAAGATGATGATGAAACTGTTGCTATGATTAAAGAATTAATTTTTACTAGAATAAGACCAGCCATTCAAGATGACGGAGGAGACATCGAATTTGTCAGTTTTGTTGAAGATAACGGGACAGTTTATCTTAGGTTGAAGGGTGCGTGTAGATCGTGTGATTCGTCATCTGTTACGTTAAAGAATGGTATCGAGAGTATGTTGAAGTATTACATCGAAGAAGTCACTACAGTCGAACAGGTGAATGACGATGATACAACTGAAATTGTTGAAAAGTTCAAGTCAGAAGACGTACATTTAAAACCTAGTCCAAGGGATGATCCTCCTAGCTTGTAAACTAGATATTTTCATATTTTCATATGTGTATATAGTAATGACATTCCTTATGTCCCTCAGGGCTACTTTGTAAAGTTAGGATAGACCTAGTAAAACTCAATCCAAGGTAGGAATTCGATGATCAAATTTTCTAGGCCTATTAGCTCATGAAACATATTCCAATTTATAAAACTATATACAACATTTTATACTATTCACATTATATCTCTATCTGAATGCTTGAGATTGGTTTAATTTTGATTTTAAGCGTAATTTACTAAAGAAACAAACAAGCCTTTAGTTGAATTTCGGTTTATTTGTCTTCTTCAGCTTGAATACCGGAGATGTAGGAGGAGTAGACAATGGTTGAAAATTATTTGAAGGTGGAAATTGATAATAGGGTTGATAGTAATAGTTCAATGGAGGAGAAATATTCTCAGGGTAGCTTGCATCTTCGGTAGGACTTAAATCTTTATCAAATGGCATATACGGATAATTGAACGGGTACATATATGGATTGAAAAAATTCATATAATCGGATGGATTTCCAGCCGGTGCAGTAGGTGGCACTGGGACTGAAGGTGGTTGAGGGTAATAATTATAATCCGTTATTGTCGGCAAACTAAACCTCTTTGAATAATTATTTTGAGGATTACGTGTTTGATAATAATTTGAAGGTAAAGATGGTCTTTGATGGTTGTGGTTGTTCTTTTGTATAGCAAATGATGTTTGAACAAAAACTTTCTTAAAATTTCCAAAGCTTATTAGTTTATTGTTAGTTAATAGGATGGCTCTCAAGGCCATTTTGAAGTCTTTATAGAAAACAAAACCAATCTTGCCTAATTCAACTTCATTCTTTTTGGAATAAAACTGAGGCTTGATAATTTTAGCTGATTTGATGCAATTACCGAATTGCAACCAAAATTTTTCCCACAACCTATCATCGTTTTCGAATATAACAGGAAGGTTATTAACATATATGTTTGTTTCTTGGTAATTGACAAACTTAGAAAATGAGTTTAATAAAATATTATAAAGCGAAATATCAAGATACTTCAAAACTAATCTGTTATTTTGCAAACACAATAATTGATTTGTTTGACATTGATACAAATAATGATTGTGCTTATGTTGTCCAATTGAAACTTTCAAATTGACATGTTCTGTTGAAGGCACGAGATCAGGTTTACACAAGTCTTGTTCTAAATTATAAGCATCATCTGGTCCAAATTTCATAAATTGTGCAAAAGATAAGTCGTTAAGATAGTACAAACACCGCAAGACATTGAAATTTAAATTCTCATTTACCTCAAAATTAATAAACCCAAAATTTAACAAGTTAAAGTTGTTATCAGAGGTTTGAATAATTGGAAAGTATATGCTTTCAATCCTATGGAATATTTCGAATTTCGATAAAAACGTTTCAATCATTGATACATCGGGGTTGTAGTCGTTCAAGAAATCATTTAAATTCTCTATGACAATTGTATTATAATTATTAAGATTCTCAGACACTGCTGAACTTTCAGTATATTTCAACTTTCTTTCTTTCTTGCTAATATATTTATTCAAATAAATTGGCACATTCGCATTTATATTGAAAGGGTTTTTATTAGCATCAAGGTTCTTCAAAATATAATCAACATCAAGGTAATTCAGAAATTTCAAAATTGCAAAAATATCATCTTCAACACTATTGAAAATGTTTATATCTACAAGCGAATGATACCTACTATTTTTCTGAAAGTATTCGAAAAGCCTATCATAATTAATAAGCTCATCCGAGAGGTTTTTGATGAATAAGTTCCCCGGATGCGAAATAAAATCTGCGTAGTTGAATGTAACCTCAATTCCGCAGTCTAATAATTTCGTTACCACACGGTCAGCATCCCCTTTATTGGTGAACGAAATCCCCAGGTCACCACTGAACATAAAATCATCATCCTCAATACATTCATTTGCCTCACTCAAGTGCCCCTTCTCAACGATAATTTTCAACGGAAAATTATCTACTTGATCTCCCGTTTCCGTAAACAAGCAATTGTTCAACGACTGTAAAAACTCTTCACTTCCTAGCCCTCTGTACTGTTCATTTTCTTCCTTACTACCGTCTTTTGCATATCTGTCAACCTTACTATACTTATTGTCTTGTTTACTTGTCTCACCTTGTGCCTTATTACTGCACTGCTCATGGTCGTTTCTAACTCCGTCTTCCCCAATTTTCCCTTCATTTAGATTCAAATTGTCTGTTTTGCTAACCAAATCATCTGCGCCATTGCCCTCATTACTCAAATCATTTCCAGCGTCATTATTTGCCCCTGTTATACTTTCGCCGCCACCGTACTGTCTCTTGGCGGCAATATCGGAACTGTTTAATTCTCTATTTTGTACAAGCATATTACTTTAAATTGTTATGATACCGTCGGTACGAATAATTGTCCAATTTATAGTAATTGTCCACTAATATATAAGCATAAGTACAAGAAGTATATTTATATTCAGAGTGTTATATACTACAATAATTAAACATTCTTATAATAGCAGCAACGGTATTCGATTATATAAGCAGGATATTATTTATGAAAAATTAATCAGACCCTTTATGTCTAGACCGTTTTACAATGTAGATTACGGTTGAGAGCTGATATTTCTAGGTCAGTGCATTAAAGGGAATACCTATAGGAGAAATATGATCGTAACTAAACAGGAAAATATTAATGGAGATGATTACCAGATAGTGATTAGCATTGATAAACATGATAAGTCCAGTATAAACGTCTACGTAAATGAAATGACAAATACAAGCATCGGAAGCTATGTGTATTCAATAAATGACAAGAAGTCCGGCAAAATCTATTCCAGTGTGCTACAAGATCACTCAAGTAATATATTAACGGAGCAAGCAAAGAATTTAGGCTACTTAGTGGTTAAAAAGTACTGCAGGCCGAGCTATACGAACATTAACGGGCAGATCAGTGACTATCCACAAGTCTTGAAGGTGGTATTCAATTTATTGGACGAGAGTATTTAGGCTATGCACATAACGAAATTTTATGTGTATGGCGACTGTCATGGAGTGGTTTGGGGGGTGTTCTGTGCTTCCCTGTGCGTCCAAGCGCTATTCTCGGATATCAAGGCAAGGGCAATCAAACAGTGTGGGACTGTAGTCATTTAGCAATAATGTATAGTAGAGGGGTGTAATTAGATATCACAGTCAGGAGACAACTCCCCGGAGCAAGGGGAATAATGTAGGAAGGGGTAGGAGGCGAGTTTACGCTTGCAATTGAGAAAAAAAAAACCGAGGCTACTGGTGCGTTGGTGACCATTACGGATCTGCCAAATTTCCCAGGCCGCAGAAGCGTAAATCGCTTTTACTCAATCAGGATACCGATACAGAATACAATTTTAGGCTACAGAGTAAGGCTGCAGAAGCAGGCTGCATATTATATTACGTAGCTCGCACTTACTGGAGATTAGTATCGAATTAATAAGGAACCACGGCCCCTATGTTTTATAAGGTTTTATTTGTAAGTTAAACTTTAAGCTTTCCAAATCATATGCGTATTTCAAGCTGAGGACTTAAATGTAAGAACCTTACTCAAGATGATCATAGATCTTCTAACGATGATGGGGTCATCGTAAAACGAAGTTTGAGACATTGGGTATACGACATTAGTGTCGTATAGGAGTTTGAGTTCGCGACATTTTATGATTTTTTGAGAGCTCATCTCATCAAATAATTTTTCTAAATATATATATTCTAAATGAAAAATATAGATAACAAGGTAAATATGGAACAAAATAGACCTAAAACTACGCTGCAAAGGTCAAGAAAGGGGAAGAAGTCATGGAGGAAAAATATTGATATCGATGATGTTGAAAAAGGGTTAGAAGAAGCAAAAACTAGACAGAGACTTCTTGGAGATGATAATGATGATTTCATAATAGATACGGAAGGAGATGTATCCATAGGAGGAAAATCAGGAAAAAAATTAAAGAGTACTGAGATCTTGTCGAATAAATCGAAAGTGAAGCCTTTGGCTATCGAGAGAAATAACAGGAAAATCCAAGGTGTTAACAAGCATGAAGTGCACAGGTTGATGAAGTTATCCGGAAAGGTGAATGGGGAATCCAAGTTAAAAACAAGAGTTGACAAAGATGGGTTATTTAGAGCAAAGAATGAAGATCTTTGGGGTGAAGAACCTGTTGATAATACACCAGAGATTTTACTTAAAAAGTCCTCCAGTGGACATACCAAAGCTAAGAATGCACCAAAAACAATGAAGACAGAAGCTATTAGGTTGAGCGAACAAGAGAAACAGGTTGATGCAGGAAAATCTTATAACCCATCTTTGGCTTCTTGGAAAGCTTTGATAAATAAAGAATATACTACTGAACACGAGAAGGAATTGAAACGTCAAGAACTCATTGATCACCAACAGCGTATCAAAAACTTAATTGCCAACTTGGATGAAAATGAAGAGGCATCATCTGAAGACGAGCAAAATGAGGAAGATGAAGAAGAAGACGTTGACAAAGATTTTAAGTTATCGATAAACAAGCCAACACAAGTTAAGATTAAGACAAAGTCAAAGAGAAACAGAGAAACTAAGCATAAGCAAAGAATGGAGTTAGAACAACAATTGAAGGAATTAAAGCATCAAATCAAGGAATTAGCGAAATTAGATGAGTATAATGAATTGGTATCAGCAAAACATGAAGCAAAACAAACTACAAAATCAAAATCAAAGAAAACAAAGAAGTTATTTAAGTACGATTCCATAACCAGACCTTTAGAGGTAAAATTGTCTGATGAGCTTACCAATAATTTAAAGAATTTGAAACCTGAAGGTAATTTATTTTATGATTCTATGATCAACTTACAAGAAAATGGTTTAATTGAAACAAGAGTTCCAGTAGCCAAGAGAAGAAGATACACACCAAAGATCACTGAAAAATGGACCTATAAAGATTTCAAATGAATTCGCTTAGACCCGTATATACAATTCGCCCATATCCCCATATATCATCGAGAGCATCGGGAGATTTAATATAGCCCACTACGTATATTTTCATTTTCAATTTCATTTTTAATTATAAATCATGTAGCCAACTCTAATTCTTACAGCGAAGATATTCATTGATTCTCTACATTTAATTGTACCTGATAAAGGCTCATTTCCGTACCAAATCTTAAAACAGTTTTTTATTTAATGAGTATGTAAAAATAATGCAAATATTTAACCTATAATTACGATAAATATCTTCAACACTATCATGAAAAGTCCCACACACCGGTGACGTATCCCTTGTATAATCTTTCTCTGAAAACAAAGTATTGGTCTCTGTATGGTGTCCAGTATCTTTGTAATTGGACGTCTGCCGTCTTGAAATGTTCAGGAGCTACAGCTTCACTACTCTGCCCTCTCTTTACTCCTGTTAACAAGAAGTCTCTTTCCATCATCTTTTCATCCCACGAATCTAAGTTGAATCTATCATTTTTCCAACCGTTGTCCCAGTATCTAACGAAACCAACACCATGACCGGCGACGCCAAAAAAGGCTGCCATAATAGCATATGGTATTAAACCTTCAAATGGAACTGGCATATTGTAATAATCTACTAGTGCTATTAATTAATTACTATTGATTATGCTGTAGTGTTTTTAACACTTCTTTGATTGGATAAAGGTGAGTTTGAGAAAATTCCTTCGGTGGTTTTGTGTCATTATAAAAGACATCCTAATATAGTCCAGAAATGCAGCATAAACTCATTCACACTATGTTAATAGTACATTTATGTCAGTTTTTCAAACCTGACAGAACAGAAAATATTATTTACTAATAAACCATTGTAATTTACAAATTTACTTTTATATGAGAATTGAACTTTACAAAATATTTGATGATTGTTCCAATTGTCAACTGAAATTGTTCTACATTTAGATTGGTTTGGACATCGATAATAAACAACCTATTGACTTATTAGATTCCTCAGCTGCAAGCAATTATTATATAATTAAGTACGACCAGATTTGGCTTATGAAAAATAATCTTATTTTATAGTATGTGTATAGATTCTAAATGATTTGGTTAGGGTTTCATGATCGCATGAAAAGTACCTTAGTGTGAGAGTGATACTTTTCATAGACAAGGAGCTATTCCTGTTCCAGGTGAGAACGAAAGTTCTCATTAAAAATGATTGACGATAACTCAAAATCACTGTAGCCGAACAGGAAAAGGTCACATTCCTGATTTTCGGTATCCTTCACAAATAAATTAAGTCCATAAATAGAAGAATTGCTGGGAGAAAGTGGAACAAACTTATTGTCATCATCATCTGTATCAGCAGATAAAGAAGAATTGCAAGTCTCATTTCTGGGCGAACCATATTTGGTATTTAAAACCTTTAGGAGACCAAACCGCTTTATCATAAACTTTATATTCTCGCATGCCTCTTTCATCAAGCCTTCTACATGGCTAGAATGCTTAACGTTCACAAGATGCATTCGATGAATGGCCCGTAAATTGGATGATCGGTCAATACCAAAATCGCTTAAAGTTTTTCTGAAGTAGGTGCAATTCGACCGATATTGGTGAGTTGAACCAGTTTGGTCGTGGATTAATACATAAGTCAATATTAAAACCATCATTGCATTATAGCCATAAAACATATCATAATGTAACAATCCGTTGAACTGTCCACTCTTTTCAGAATAATAGATCACATCACATATAGTTTCTGCTGCTTTAATCCCTTGACATAAGCTTTCGATCAAATTCTGATAATTTGCTAACTCTACCTCTTTCAAACTTTTTGATATGTACAATAAGTACGGCAATGTTAATGTTATGCAAAGATAATGATATTGTAGATGCAACTTCAACTGGTACCTTTTTACCGGCCTCATTACCCAATATTCTTTCAACAATTGGCTCAATCCACTAAACCATTTACTTAATTCCATCTTGATTTGGGTTAGACTATCAATGTTACCAATGCTTAGCGGTTCATTGCTAATATATAAATTCCTTCTTAGATTTAGAATTTTATACATTATTTTGAATAAGCCGACTGAGGACGCAAAATAATCTCTAAACAATTCATCTTTTATCGTAATGAGGCTTGGTAAGCCAATATCTATGGTTTCAATTGGGACTGACGGAGCTCTACCCAATGAAGAATTGATATTCATTTGAATTCGAAAAATTGACCACCAGACAACTTTAATCTCATCTTGAATATTCTCAGGATAACTCGAAATGGCAGCTTGCCGATGAAATCGCAAGCTAATACATTGTTGAGAAGCTAACTCAAATAACTGCCATGAAGTTTCCCTCTTCTTCTGTGATTCAAAGTACAAGGCAATAAGATAAACCAGTCTTATCCCTTCTAGCGAAGGATGTATGATAATATCGCCTAGTAAAAGCCTTACAACACTGAGACACAGATTTAGAATGTTGTCCGAAATATCTTTTTGTATTGAGAGGCTAAATTCTTTCCCCAAGATCCAAACCATGTAGATGCAACATATTTGCTCATTGGTAATGACTGTCACACTATCGCATGGTTTATATGAGCCAATATCTCTAAAAAAACAATCATGTTTCCTCCTAAACTCTTGTTCCTCGAAAATAAAATATCCAGGATGGACGTTTTCAAAAAAAAAGTTCACATAATAATCAGCATCAGATTTCGATATTAAAGATGACGGATGAAAATTCCGAGCCTGAAACAATTCCAGAATTGTTTCAATATTAACATTAATTGGTGAAGCTTTTTCAAGTTTCTGGTTAAGAAGTTCGTCGTCTTCTTTATAAGCGTTTTCTGGTACCTTCGCAGTGATTCCAAGAAGAGCTTTTAGTAATCCCAGTGTTCCTTCTAATCCATAAGAGGAAGCATTTTCATTTCGATCTGTGGTAACCGGCTTCAGAACCAAAGAGCTTGTTTTGTTGTGTACTTGATTTGTATGATCAATACTTTCGTCCATTTCGCCATCCTGTAACCTTGAAACGTCTGTAAAACTTTCCACATCATGCCTTCCATTATCATCAAATCCTTTATTGCCTTCTGGTAATTCAATATTTAAACATTCGGCAATATCGAACAAATCGTTTAGATCATTTGGATTCTTGTCAGGAAAAATTGCTTTGGCAATGCATATCAAGCATTTCAACTGATACCTTGAAGTATCGCTCATTGAATAGTAGGTTCTCTTCTTCCTTGGTGCAGTTGTAGTGCACATTATGTTAGACTCATTACATTGTACACATGATGTGGTTCTATCATACTTCACTCTATTACAATCTAGCCTATCACACCGAATCTTCTTTACCTTACAGCGATCACAACTATATGTAGCTCTTTTTCTATCACCATCTGACACACCCTTTCTTTTTTTAATATTAGCAGTACCTTCACCCACAATTTTCATATATTATATCCTATTAAATCATGATATAATGACATCATAAGAAGAGAAGGAAATGCCTTGCTTAAATTGAATAAGCTTGTTTAATGTTCTTATCTTTTATATGCAGAATATTTGAATCTGTTGATAACACCTTTTCATTAACTGCTCGTAGGTTGATATTATCGATGTGATTATGGATATCGTACTTCCGGAAGATAGGCATGTATCAATTTACTTTAATTTGTGAAAATTCTCTCTTTTTTTTTCGAAATCAATAAGGTAAAAGTAATAGTATAATATATATATTTTGGAAGAAATCTTGACAGTTTAGGCCGTCGTTATACGTTTTATATGTTTGTAGGCTGCAAGTACTTGCATTGAGAAGCATGTTGTTGAATATATCCACAAATACCCAATTATTGAACTACAAATAATTTAGGTTTCATTTGAACAATAAATTGATAATCGTACATACAATTTATCTTCAGATCAAAGGAACAGAAGCACCATCACCCCTCATATCACTGCCACCACTATATACTAATTTTCCCTTAGTTTCTTGTCCCGATTCTTTACGAATTATTTGCCCCCTTCCAAAGAGTTTCCTTTCATTACCCCGAAAAATTTTGGTTTCATGACCTAACTTGATTAGTCCTTCAATTACGTCCGTTGCAACTCCATCTTCAATTCCGACACAAGTAACGGCCCTACTGGTTGGCCCATCAGATCCAAGGCCTAAATCTGTGTGTTCAAAGTCAGGATGTGGAAACAATGAGATTCTTGGTGCATCCAATGCCTCTTGCGGATTCATATTGAAAAGTATCATATTCAAGTATACTTGCACGTGTGCTTGTGGTTGATTATATCCACCCATAATACCGTAGCTGGCAAATAAATCTTCTTTCAGCGGTGATAACTTCGAAGGAATAGTGATCATGCCAGGGATAATAGTGTGATAAGATCTTTTGTTCCCTTCGAGACAATTCTTGCTCTTTGGGTTCAAATTAAAGTTACCTCCCCGGTTCTGTAAAGCAAAACCTCTATCTGGAACAAGTATTCCACTCCCAAAGTTTTCATATAAAGAGCTAATAAACGAACATGCATTGCCTTCGGAGTCCGAGGCTGACATGTAAACTGTATCTGACTTGAACATTGGATTTGGAATGCCATATCCAACTTCGTGGTTCGAAATGATTTTATCCACACTGAATTGTTCCATACGCTTTGCAAGGTACTCTGGTTGTAACAAGTTTTCGAGAGACACTGATTGGTCCAAGTTGTATTCTTTGATAAAGAACTCATAATCATTAACATATTCATCTGAATCTTTAAAACTAAGCTTCAAGCATTCAATTATCATATGTAAATATTCCACAGAATTATGCTTCATTTTTCTTATCCGCAATGTGCCTTTCTTATCTAATTGATCAATAAGACCTAACGTTAGTAATGCTATAATACCTGAACCACTCGGTGGTATTTCCCATAGCTTATGGTCAAGAATTGAAAGTGAAATAGGCTCGACAAAGGTTGATGTATGATTAGCTAGGTCACTCATTGAAATTAATGATCCTCTTTTCGATAACTCTTTAACCATTGATTCAGCTACTTCGCCTTCATAAAATCCCTTCTTGCCAAATTTTACAACTTTCTTTAAGGTATCTGCTAGATAAGTATTCGTCATAAACTGACCCTTTACCGGTGCCGTGAGATCTTCATTAGGAAGGAAAATAGATAAATCATCACAGTTGTTCTGAGTCTTCAATTTCCCTTCCGCCTCTTTCCAAAGATATGCACTTATTTGCGAAACAACGAAGCCATTTTCTGCTAGATCAATTGCTGGTTCTAAAATGTCTTCCATGGTGACTTTCCCACTACCCCAAGCTTCGTGTAGATCGAACCATCCAGCGATGTGTCCAGGTACTTGAACCTTGAACACAGAGTCATCTTTAAATCTCTTACTAGGTAAAATATGATCTGGATGGTTCGTGTTAAGCCAATCGATATTAAGTTCTGATGCAGACCTACCTGTTCCATTTAGACCATATACTTTCTTGTCGCTATTCTTATAAAATAAAGCAAAACAATCGCCCCCAATACCAGTGGATGACGGTTCTAATACACATAAACACGCTGAAATTGCAATGCATGCATCAATGCAATTACCACCTTTTGACATGACTTTAATTCCAGCGGAATTTGCAAGCGGTTGGGTAGATGATACCATACCCTTTGCCGAATATACCGTTGAACGCCTAGAATTAGCAGGACCTTCCATAATGGAAATTATTTATTTGTTACACTTTAATCAAACATCCTAACTCCTAGTATTAGTGCATTTTATTTCATTATATAATGTTAACTTATCCATTATTGATGATATTCTGAGAATATATTTCACCGATAAACAATAGATAACGGAAAGCGTACTTCCACATAAAAGATAGTGAGCAAAAAATTTATTGGATCGTTAGAAAACTAATATTGAATAGGAGATACTATTTCAGCTATCGCTAGCGAAGCATTTTAGATAGCGGGATCACTTGAATACGCAATTGGAAAAGAAACAACGCCGGCATTGATTGCAGCCGAACCAATACGATATCATGGTCACCTCTCTTGAACTATTCTTAAATTCACTCATATACATTAATTTATGAAAATATAAACATACTTACTAGTACTCATATCTAAAGCTCTTATTTTCAATATCTGTTAAGTCTAAGTTCATAACGTCATATCTGCACCCAACTGATCCCACAGAATCTCTCTTTCTATTTTCTCTTACAGCTATTTGGCGAAGAACCAATGCAAGAAAAATTGGGCAGCTCATTGAAACTATAAGAACAATCTTAGCAGGTGTGTAATTAGGAGCATCTTTGTCTCTGAATATCTGGGGTCCAATCAAATTACCTATACAGAAGGCAATTAATGTTAATGCATTTCGCATAGTGGCCTTCGTATACCCCGAAGTATTTACAGAATTCCAACTGTATATTACCGGGAGAACAGAACTACTAAAGTTTAATAAGTAGACCCCGAAAAGCTTTCCAACTTTATATTCATTGTCCAACACCAAAAGTAGGATAGCACCTAGACATGCAGGTATGCAAACCAGCATTAAAAGATATGCTCTGTGGCCAATATAACCTGCTAAATAACAAGATATTAATGTACCAGTTATGGTAGCAACTCCCGAAGGAATCTGGATTATTGTTGAAGCTTTATTTGAGAAACCAAATGATTTAATAATAACGCTTGCAAAAACTGACACTGCACCATTACCGATCATTGTAAGTGTAGTAATCATTAGTAAGACCCAAGTCTGTTTATCATATAATAGCAATTCTTTAACCTGATACCATTTGAACTTTTTATTCTTCTGGCCGGTTTGATTCACTTTGATATGTTCAATTGCAGCCTCCTTTTCTTCTTCAGTTAAAAATTTGCAGCTACTAATATCATTAGGCAAATAAAAAAAAGCTATTATACCAACTAGCGAGGTGAATGCACCCATAAAAATGAACAATATTTGCCAACTTTCAATGCTAGTAGAGCGAACCTGTTGAAAGCCAAACGAAATCAAACTTCCAACTATTTGAGCGACGCCAATCTGCAAGTACCATAAGCCAGTTCTTTTGGTTTGTTCACGTCTATTCCACCACATGCTCGTTATTGCAAGAAGACATCCTGCAACAGGTGCTTCAAATATTCCAAGAAGAGTTCTGACGATAATCAATCCTGAATAACTTTTCGCAGCAGCGTGGCAACTAGTAATAATGCCCCAAAGAACCACAATAGACCCTAATAATCTACCAACTGGAAGTTTCTGAATCATAAGGCCGGCAAAAGGTTCAGTTACAAGATAACTAGCATAAAATATAGTACCCGTATTACTAAATTCGTTTCCTCGTAGATGATCCTTGATCCCCATTACGGCCGCATAATTTAACAAAGTCTTATCTAAGTATTGCAACCCGTAAATGAGCATCAAGAATGGCATTATTCTATAATCAATTTTCCATCTTAATTTCTTGTTGGCTTCCTTTTCATTCAAAATTTCATTCACCTCAATGGAAACAAGATCATCGTCAACATGATCATTGCCAACCCTTTTATCTTGTTTATGTCCTATGCTTTCTATTCCGCTATCTTTTTCAGATGAGCCTACATGCACATGCACATTAGCGTAGCTCAATTTTTCAGAATCACTCATTGATCACTTAGTCTTCTTCCTTCATTGAATCTAATATGATTCGACATTAAGTTAACCCAGACTACTATTTATATTCTATAGTATTTAAAATAGTACTAGAGTACATTTTAGTAATACATGTATCGTTTAAAGATAGCATGGGGTTGTGCTGATAGGAAGTAGTACTGCCGATCATCAGCTTATCTGTGCTCTCGTTTATGAGCAGATAAGATATCAAGATAAACGTTTTCGGAAAGTCTCAGATCCGATTCTTTTTTAATCTGTGTACTACTTATATCTTTTTCACCTTTTATTAAGCGACCAAATCGCCTATCTCTGTAGAGAATCTACAAGCCGTGATACCAAGAAGAATGAATGTTTTAGTAAGCGTATGGCCACGCTTATTTACTATTTGGTAGAAGATGTTTCAATAAACTCGTCAATTTATTTAAAGATATTCCCAGTTAGTCTACTTTCAATGACTTGATACAATCTAGGGGATATAATCCTAAGATTGAGGGTGGAATCTCCACTTTGGCATACTCTTTACGTTTTTCGGCTCTTAACGTGTGTATGAATGGATATCAGAAAATATAGTCTGGTTATAAGAAGTATCCTTAGTACAAAAGCTCTACAGAGAGAAGATAGAAGATGACTGTTAACATACTCATTGGTATTGATTGTCACTGAATTAAGCTAATCATATTACTTAAAATAAGTGTTCAAACAAATAACCTACAACAAATTATAATATACTTCTATTCATATTTTAAATTATAATTATTGGCGTGGCTAAAGTATTGAAATCTCGGCCCTTGTATTTTCAATCTGTAATAAATATTTTGTCCCATACTGATATATGAGATCGTTTTAAAGCATTAACATATAAGCTAGTTCTATTCCAATTGACCCCATAATTTCTTCACGAATTTATCCATCCGAACTTTAATTTTCAGTTGACTGATACACCATGGATGACTCAACATTTGTCTAGGACTTGGCCTCTCCTCACTGTTCTTTTTCAAACAATATCCTATGAAATTTTTGAACGAATCACTCCAGTAGATGCCTTGTTCAGGAATGTCATTCAACTTAGGCTCGTACTCCAAGATTAACGACAATAGCTCAATTGGACCGAGCATGCTATCGTCTGTGATGAAGGGAAACTTACAAGTTGCAACTTCGAGTAAAGTGAGACCTAGAGACCAAATATCACAACTTACAGTATACGGCTTACCCATTATTCTCTCGGGGGCCATATAGTATTGTGTTCCTACGAATGTAGTAGCCAATGAATTCACAACTTCACCACTAACACCAAAATCACATAGCTTGATATTTCCCTCGCTGTCTAAAAGAATATTTGATGGCTTGATATCTCTGTGGATAATGCGCTGCTGGTGCAAGTAGTTTAAACCCGTTAAAATTGACTCAGCAACTTTGCCTAACACTTTTTCGTTGATTCTGTTTGTAGGATCTAGTTCAATAACTCTCTTATAAATGGCATCTAATGACCTGCCTCCCATATATTCCATAGAAATACCAATCATCAGTTGCTTTTCTACCATGAAAGTACCATAATATTTGACGATATTTGGTGAGTCACATACCCGATTATATTGCAATTCCCTTATGATTTGCTTTTGGATGTTTGGATTAGGGTCTGCGTTAATTAATTTCAAAGCAAATACCTGTGATCCGTTTACTAATGTACATTTCGATACGCTACCTCCATTTCCTTCTCCCAATTTATTAAGCTCTATTATTTGACTATCATTAGCCAATCTATTCCAGTCTTCTGGCGTTAAATCTTCTACTCTTTTCTGTATATTTTCGTCATTATTCTTACTCTGTTCATTATCCTGGTTAGAACATTCAATATTCTGTGCTTTTAAATTTTCCAGTAGATCACTAGCGGCGCTTTGTATACCACTATGAGTCCCGCTAGATGGATTTGGCGATATAGTATCAGGAGTATTTGAATATGCCCCTTGAATTCTCAGAAAATCTATCGGTGGTGGTTTTCGCCTAGGTTGTTTATTGGTTTGATCTGATTTGTTAATTGAAACTGGTGATGGTATTAATAAATTGGGCAATTTATTATTATTTGGTTTCTTATTATTTGGTATACTATATATTGTTCCTTGATTTGACATTGATCAGAAATCATTAAGTTAAAATGAACTAGTATTCTATCCTTATAGTTAATTCTAAAAGCTCTTTGATATAAAAATGCGAAATGGATGAAAAAAATTTACTGATTTACAAGAGCCGTAGAAGAAGACGAACACGTCTGTCTATTATATTAAGTGCCATCCATGAATGCTTTAGAGTTAGCGAGCTTATTAATACAGAATCATATATATAGTGAAGAAGTATAAATAAAGTACAATGTGAATGTAACCTACTAACATAATTACTCGATATATAAGTTATTTCTTTTTTGCGGGTTTCTTCTTTGTTGTGGATTTTTTAGGTTTCACCTCTTTAATTAATTTATCCTTTTTGGTATCTATTTTGTCGGAATCTACAGATTCCTCTTCGTCATCTTTAATATTAGTATCATCTTCAATAACGTCTTCAAAGTCAACTTTTTGTTTACGAGCACCGGCACCGGCTCCCACGGAATTACCAGTTTTGTAGATTGCAACTGGGTGTGATTTACCATTGTACTTTCTAGTGAAGGCTGTTTTAACTTTCGCAGGAATCTTTTTCAATAACAATTCGCCCTTTGCAGGGCCCACGCCAAAATCAATAAGCGATTCCCAGTCTTCTTTGGTTAAATAGTAATAATCCATAATGTCCATGACTTCTTCAATTCCATCTTCACCATATTGTAAAAGAGGATCAGCCAATTTTTTAACTAATAATGGTAAATAATCCAATCTCAATTGCGCTTTATCTGTAGAAGTTCTTAATCTTGTGTGGTATTGCAACTCTTGTAATAATCTTTGATACTTCATAGCCTTGGAGTTTTGCCCCAACCATCCGGCAAAATTAATTCTCTGCGTGAAGTTACCTGCAACCTCCAGCGAAGGTTTCACTGAAGACATAACTGCATGGAACGGCAATAAACTCCATTGTTGTTCGCTCGACCTTATCAATGAATTAACATGATCAGATTGGGAAATATCGTCTGCAGCCCGTGCGACTCTCTCCAAATGGTCTAGAGTCGATTTAACATTAGTGGGCTTAGTAGAGAGATAATTTTCTTGTATCATCAATGGTGTGAAATCTATATCATTGAAATATAAGTCTATCTTATCGTTTAAAGTGTGATTGGAACTTGGGTTATAAATTTGACCATTTAACAATTTGCCTGTGATATCAAATGGTTTCAAAACGGTCTGCTTCTGCCAGCTCTTTGAGAATTCCCTACTTTCGTTATGACTAATTGATTTTTGTGTTGAAGAAACGGTCGATAACAAATTGATCATTTGTCTGATATCATGATTTGTAACTTGTACTAATTGGCCAATAACCGTTGGATCCAATTTAATTTTCTCTCTATGAGCAATAGTCATTAATCTTGCTTTCACTTCTGTTTCTGTAGGTCTTCTAAATGCTAAATCATACGTAACTCTGTCAAATGTCCTCATCTTAGGTAATGATTTATCGTTACAGATTAAAATCATAGGCATTTTTGTAATGCGGCAAAATGCTGATAATGCACCTGCACCACCATGATCACCACTTGACATACCATCAACTTCATCCATAATGAGACAGAATTTCTTATCATTGACATGCTGTTCTTCATCATGTCTATGTTTAAAGAATCCCACGACAGAAGTGTTATTTAAAACAGACTTAATGTTAGTGTTTAACAAGGATTTTGACCTAACGTCTGATGCATTTTTTTCCAAAACATCAAAGCCTAAACTGTTGGCTACTAAATGGGCAGCAGAAGTTTTTCCAATACCCGGTGGTCCACTAATTAAACACGCTCTAAAAATGCCTGAGCCGTCTGGTCCAGGATTTTTAAAATCATGCTTCGCATTTTCAAACCAGTTTGATAACCAGGTTTTCAACTTATTGATTTGGCCTTTATTACCACACAATTGAGCAATATCATTAGGTGCATATTTAACTGTCCAAAGCTTCTCGCTGTTAGGAATGACTCTTTTGGGACTTTCTGCACGAGAAGGATCAACTTCAGATTTAACTTGAGGTTGGCTAGCAGCCTTTTCTTCTGCCCGTGCTTTCCTTTCTTCTACTTCTGCCTGCTCAATTATTTTACGTTCTTCTGCTTCTCTTTTCCGGCGTGCTTCCATAGCTGATTCTCCATCTCCACCTTCCGCAGGCATACTTTGTAAGAGCTGTATAAAACCGTCTTCTGTAATTGCTTTAATCTTATTCTTCTTTATTTTTTGTACTTTAGATGGTCCAGCTTCTTCTCCGATAACTACTAAGCTTGTTTTGCCCAGGATGGATTTTGTGACTTTAGCACCATACTTCTTAGCTAAGTTTTCGGCAGCTGTTCTTTCGAGTCTGGGTAAAACACCCGTGAAAATCATGGTTAATCCAGATAAACAGTTTGGTTGTGCTTCTGGTATTTCCAAATCTTCTCCACTCGGTTGGGGTCCATCTGCTTTTCTTTGTTGAAAAAATTGGAATGGCTTATCTTTAGTATCTTCTGTATCTGGCAACTCTGCATCGGGAATTGTAGCCAAGATTTCATCTGCCGATGCTCCTGTTTTTGGATACGACTTAACTGCATCTGCCTTCTGCTTCTTGGTTGGTGAAGTTTTCTTTGGTGAAGCCGAATCAGCCCTAGCTCGTTTCTTAGGTGTAGGTTTAGGAGGTGGTGAGGGTGGTTTTGCGATCTCTTCTAAATCATCATCTTCATTCTCTCCTTTCTCATCTTCAAACTCATCATCGTCTTCCTCTTCTTCATTATCTGGCTTGAAATCATCCTCACTATCGTCATCAAAATCAGAATCCAAGTTCACATAATTTGACTTTGTCTTAGTTCCTTTCCTTGGGGATGGCGTTTTCTTAGTTGTAGCCTTTGATTTACTATTTGCATCTATTTTCTTTGGTTTATTATCATCACTTTCAATTTCAATTACATCATTCTTAGGATTAGATGTTCTTTTGCTTGGTGTCTTTTTCTAAACTAGTTAATAAACGATTCAATTAACAAGAGACGATACTAAAAAAAGATACTTACATCTCCACTTGACTTCTTGGAAGAAGAATTCCCAAAGAACTCTCTTATATCAACCATCGTCTAAGTATGAATCACCTAAATATTGAATTCCAAACTATCCTAATGAATTTTGTAGATGATTTTATTTTACGTATACGCGCTTAAATTCTGACACGCTTGAATTTAGTATTATGATGAAATATATATTCTAATTGTGCAAAATCTATTACAGGATATATCATTATTGTTATATAGGCTTGCTGTATGTAATTACAGAGTAGCAGTATGCAAGTTGTCTATTTTTTCTCTGATTCCTTTTCTAAGAAATCGGTCCATAAAGAAACAAAACTTTGTCTTGCTGGTTTATCCTCATTTGTATCATTAGTATTACGTTGAGATTGTTGATTATGGCTTAATCCAGCACTGACTCTTTGAGATTCATCCCATTCAAGTAATGCACTTATTAATTGTAAAGCTTCGAATTTTTTTGTGTCTCCACGAGGGAACTGTAAGAAACTTATAACAACATTTGAGATCAATTCTTTGTCGATCGTATTGTTCAGGTTGCTCAGTTGTTGCTTAAGCATGGTCAATGACTTTGTTAAGTGCTCATTTAAAATGATTGCTTCGTGACGCAATTTCCCTATGATCAACTGTTTGCTATTTACATCTGCTTCGAGTTTGCTGACTTTTTCATTTTCTATTTCTAATTGGGATAACTTGGTGATCTTTTCCTGTAACATAGTATCTACCAGAGCTTTTTCTTGGTTTAATGACTCGATCTTTTGTTTCAATTCGTCAATTGCGGATTTATGGTCTTGTTTGAGAGCTTCTATTTCCAAATCTTTCTCGGATATTGATTGAGTGTGATTGGTGATCTTACCTTCTAAGTCCTTGATATCAGCCTCTCTAGACTGTAATTTATCTTTTAACTCGTCAATGGTAAGATTTAAATTCTTGGTTTCCATCTTCGCTTCATCCCTGCTTATGGTTACCTCGCTCAATTCAAGTTTCAATTCATTGATCTTTTTAGTTAACCTCGAATTGGTGTTTTCCAAATTGTATTTTTCATCCAGAAGTGATTCGTCTTTGCTTTGAAATTCCCTTCTCAATTTGGTCAACGAGCTGCTCAAACGATCACATTCGCTATTTAAATCTGAGCTTTCCTCTGTTAATTTTTTAATGGTTACGTTTAATCGTTCAATTTCACTGCCAGAAGTTTCATTCTTTTCCTTCAATTCAGAATTCTCGGTTCTTAATTCTTCCAACGTCTCTTTGGTCTCTTCAAGCTCGCGCTGTGACTCTTTGATCTTGGTAAACACAGATTTCATGGACGATAATTTGCTTAACAACGTGTCGTACGACGACTTTGTTTCATCCCGTTCCTTTTCTATTTGAGACAATTTGTCTTCCAATTCCTTTACTTTCGATGAGTCGTTTCCATTTAAGCTTGCTTTTTCGTCGGTTGAACTGCTAGCCTTCAGTAAAGCCTTATCCTTTTCGGCTAGTTGGTCATCTTTCTCTTTCAACGCCAACGTCAATTCATCGATCTTTTTTTGAAGCTCACCAGCTTCCAAATCCTTCTGCTTATCATCCGTCGAGTTTGGAGCATCTGATTCCGCCTCTTGGGTCATTTCTTCCAGCACTTGTTCATGTTCAGCTTGTCCATTATTATTGTTTTGAGGCGCCTCATTTTCAGGACTAGATGTAGCCTGGTTCAGATTCTGGGCTTTCGACTGTTTCTTCTTGTTCTTAGCCATTATATCTTTCAAACCATAGATTTACAACACGCCAGGACTCAATATTATTGTTTATTTACTATAGTTCATTAATAACAAGTGTAAATAATATCGACCTGCAGAAAAGCCTCCACTACAAAACTACTACAAGAACACATTTTCGAATCAATTTTCCACTTACAATGCAAACAACATACTTTGATAAGTAATATACATAAACATAAGCCTAAACAAGTCTAACAATAAAGAAAATAATAACAGTATGCCAATGTGTTGTAAAAATCACTTGTAAAATCAAGTTCACTAACGGTATGAACCACTTTCTAGAACATTAAACGTTTTATTAAGAGCAGTTAGAGAAAATAAAAATAAAAATCATTTTTATACACACTGACAAAAAAATACAACCTAAGATATAAACTTAAGCACCCTCTTGCAAGTTGGAATAATATATATAGTGTTAATTACTCTATTGTTGAGTTGATTTAGATGTTAGATGGGTACAACATGATTCTGACTGAGGCACCGAAAGTTTTAGCTGGTAAGTTTTTCTTGAAGTTAGCTCTGACAACACCGTTGGAACCGTGAGTTCTGGTGACCTTACCCCAGATAACTCTGATCTTAGAACCTCTGACTTCTTTAGATGCACGGTAGACGTAGGCAATACGCTTACCTAAGTAGAACTTAGCATCTTGTGGAGTACCGACGTTTTCAATTTGAATTAAAGAAACGTTTGGGTTGTTAACATGTTTAGAACGTTGGTATGACAAGTGCTTACCTTTAACGTATACTAGAATTTGTTAGTACTGGTTTTCCCTTAATATACTAAAACAAGATATTCTTGTTTTTCAGAGTTGTTTGTTGGCCGATGGCTCTTGCTATATCCCCTGTTCATATTCTAAGCTCCTCCAACGCTTGATCGCCATATTGAAAATTTTCCACTTTTCCAAATTTCCACCCGTGTACCTTTCACACCTCTCGTGTCTTCTATCCCACCACCGACAATCTTTTCATGGTTATTGTCGTCCTGTTGCATTATTCTACACATTTTCCACTCTTCTGCCACCACATTTCCCATTTTTCATTTTCAAGGTGCAATCTTAATTTTTCACTCTTCAACCTTTAAAACTCATTTCTTGGGCAATAATACCTTTGCCTATGGTCAACAAACTCTCTATTATTAATCATTAACATACATCTGTGTGATTCAGCCATTTTAACTAATTGAATATCAGTGATAAGTTAACAAATTAAATGTAACTAACTTCGAAAATTTTTCGAATAGTTTTAAGAACTTTTGCCCAGTACTAACACAAACTGAGCCAGGCATTGAGTCAGGAAAACGAAAAAAAAAGTGTTTTTGTGTAATAATCCGATTTACTATGGGTGTAAGGGTTTTCTCACAAATGCGTGCGGGTGACGATTATATAAATGAAAAAACGCGGGAATAGTTCATGTGACTACTGTTGCATTAGGTGTTAGGGTTGGTGCTAGCCCTACTATGGTAGCATAAGAGATGAGTTTTGTAGAATACGGTAATTGTAGGCAAGGTGGAGACGGGGGACATCAGAGGCAATTAGGGAGTAATTATAGGAGACTTAATATGGGAATCTGTGTGGTGTAGGGAATATTAGAGGGTAATTAGGGGTAATGGAGGGTAATAAGAGGGTAAATGGCGATTCGCAGCAATGTTGCAAGTATACGTAAGGTATACGTAAGTAGTCGGATATACGCTAACGACGGATATGCATAGGAAACTTCTACAGGCAGATATCAACGGTTGAACCATGTATTACAAATGGTAAATTAAACAGGTGTAGCGTACTAGATAAATAATTATTAGCATAGAAAGTATGAAGGCTAGAAATTGTGAGGGAGAACTCACGACGGATGGAGGAGCACGAAACTAGATTTTGATTTCGGCTTCGTTCTCCCACTTGGTGAAATTGACTCTCCAGTGCTTAGCGTCTCCCTTGTCGTATTTGGAGCTCTTCAAGGACCCCGATGGGGCGTTGTGGATGGACAAGCTGGCCAAGTTGGTCAAATTCGTGAACGGATCGTTGAGATCTTCGGATGCGACATAATCAACGTTGTCAAACCACCTTGTTTCCCATTTGGACCCTGCCTCTTCTTCTTTCTTTCTCAATTCACGCTGGTTGTTTTCGATAAGGGACTTTTCCTGGTGAATCATGTCGTAGTCACTCTTTTTGATGGCTTCGGCCACTTTTTGCCATGCTTTTCTGGCTTCCAAGTCATGTTGTTCCTCGATCGGCTTGACAATCAAATGCTCGGCCTCAGTATTGTGGGCATCGTAGAATAATTCGCCCTTGGAAGGGGCTTCAGATCCCTTACCAATATACGACTTGCCGGACCACTGGCCAGCGGCTGTAACCAATGCGTTGGTCTTGTTTCCACTGGAAAGCTTGTCACGGAAAATACGAGCTTTGAATGTGTTCTTCTTTCCCGAGAAGTAACCTCTGCCGGTGAAATCAACCGTCGCAATGAGCCCATTGGACGCCTGGATGAACGAAGTACCCTCCAATTCTACAAATGGCGCCGCCGTGATCAATCCCTCAATGTGTAATGGTGGTAATGTGATCAAGTACGACTCGTTTAAGTCTTTGTATTCTAATATAGCGTGGCCGTATTGTTTGACATTAATAGACGTGGTCGAAATAGTGGCTCTGATTCCATTGTATCCTTGTAATACAGTGTTGTTCTTCTTGTTATAGATAGCATATCCTGTTACCGGTGGATGGTGCGATACTTGCTCTGATATCAACACTGTTTCTCCGAGCTTACCTTCCTTCGATTCATCAGACCACTTTCCAACAAAGACTTCTCCCAAGAATGGGTTGAGGGGCTTCTTTTCCGATCCCATCGTCTCACTCCTTGAACAATATTGTGATCTTAATGTGGAAATAAACCATTTTGTAACTGCAATCATCCTCTTTAATGCCATCGCTTCCTCCTCAGACTTATCGGCCCCCTCGGTCAGCAACAAAAAGTTGGGCTCTATAAGCAAATCTGGGTGTTCACTCCAGTATTGTGAATACTCCGACAATGAAGTTGGCGATAAGATGAATGGAGGTGCCGTTAATGAAGACAAATCTCCATTAAACGAAGCAATAGATTTAAGGAACGACGTCCATGAGCTTGATTGGGTAGCATTTGACATGGTATTGATATTATTTGGATTCTTTACAGCAAATCAAGTGTCAATTTTTCAATAGTTAGCGTGTTACTTACAACTCAAATTGTATATTCATACAGACAATTGATTAACAATGATATGTCTATACTTCGACGTGTGCTAACATAGCCAAAATCTTCATTAGAAATTTCCGGGATATTGCCGGTTATGAGTGCGCGACACCCTTTGCAACCTTCAATGCCATGCTAGATAATAAAAGGCATTGTATGGTATGAGATTCGTCGATAAACGATGATAATTTGTTATTGATGGTGGTGGTAATGACAATTTTAAGTCTGGAAATGGTTTTTTTGGAGTTTTGGTCTGGGTGAAGATATTTTGGTGGATATCTTTTTCGGACTTCTGCTCACCATCACTACCGGTACAGCCCCTTAATCCGTTCAGATTGTCAGCCCCATTGAATCGTTTAGCCCGTACAGTTTATTTATTCGGGAGAGTATAAGTGTACAATAGCCGATATGTCAGAGAATGTTGAGTATGAGAGATGTACGAAAAACAACAGATGTTATCGGGTTATGATGGACGAAGAGTATTCGATCGGAGTACTCCGTTAGTAAGATAGTATGACAAACTTATAAACCGCTTTAAACTTTGAGCGTAGATTTCAATTACATTAAGGGTTTTCTAAGTTGGGATTGATAGTAGAAGGGTGGTAAATATGTAGTAATAAAAAGTGGAAGATTAAATGGGAAATTGACAGAGAGAAGGCGATGAGAGAATAAAAAAAAAGTGATATGCATCGTACTAAGTCAACTGATAGAGAAATTTGTAAATAGATAATCCTAATACCAGGGACAAACTTCATTTCGATTGTAAAGTAATGTATTTATCTGACGGTGGTATAACAAAAATATTGCTATTGTCTAGATTCTTCTAACCCAGATTGAATAAAAGGCTTATAATCGGGTTTCATCGAATTTTCAAGAATCAAAAGAGTTTAGTAGATATTTAGCATGAGTAAAGAACTCTCTAATAAAATCCCAAGTAGATTGTAAAATTTCAACTTGTGATATTGGTTTATTAATCTAAACACATACTATTATGATTAAATTGTTGCGAAAAAATCTAAATTCTGTATTTTATGTTAAATATTAAAATTACAAGCTATCACTTTCAGTGACAAACGTAAATATTTTTATAAGCCTACTAAAACTAATTCAAAACTATGTATAAAGTGTGATTTTGTCTATAGTTTAATGTATATGTGGTAACGGTCTAAGAGGACGGCAATGGTACTCAAGATTAAACCATACGTAACTAAAATGGCAAATGTAACAGGAGCATTGCAGCTTAATGTATTTATGGTCATATTGATTAAGCCAGTAAATAAGTTTCCCAACAAGAAGCTCAATAAACCGTTGTTGTTGAATGCATCCAATATTTTGGATTCGGAAGCTCCTGGCTTTGCTATCACCGATTCAATTACATTGTAGCCTAGGAGGAAAAGGGAATTGTAAGAAACAACCCACAAAACATATGGCAAATTAGCTAATCTTCTGGAAATACTGCTAACAAAGTATGCTTCTTGCACGTACCAAAACAAAGCATGGGTAAAAAAGGTGGCTATCACTAATCCTTGCGTAGTGGTAACCGTGAAAATGCCAGGTTTTGCACCTGCTTTTTTATAGCGTTGATATGAGCACATGCTGAATAAGTTGTTTGGAGTTTTGAAGCCAGTTAACACAAATGACCCAAACGATTGTCCAAAGATGAAGATACTGAAGTATCCAATAAACGAAAAGATCCCTTCTTTATTCATGGTCACCAAGGTATCCATTCTGTTATCGCTTCTGAGTATAAACGCCATTAACTCGGTATTGACCATTATTAGCTCGTACCCTATGCAGATTACCAACGCAACAATGAAACGAGGTACGAAGTTTAATATGGGGTCGATTATAGCGAAAAAGATTGGCAATAACCCAAGGGTTATGAAAAAGTTCCAGTGAATTCCATATTCAGTGACATGTTCTTGATATTCGAGTGCTTTAACACTAACCAATCTGATTAACCCTAATGCCAACACGGGGAGGGACTTGATCGTATTTTTCATAATCAACGAACCATATTGCGACAATTTGAACCTATAGTCGGTGGATTTCGAAGAGTCAAACCTCTGCTTGATAATAGCTCTCGAGGTTGCCAATCCCATCGAGAACACAAACGATCCCACCCCTAAATCCATCAACGATGTTCCCCATGTTTCGACCTTCGCAAATCTACGAGGAAACATTTTAAAATCCACCGCCAAAATTGCAAAGTTGGTGATCACTAACATGTGAGACCTATATGCTGTTATAAATGGTTTCTTAACCAACAATTGCTTTCTGGCACCATTTGCATCGCGTGGAATCTTCGACTTACTTTTCTTCCGGTCCTTTTGTCCCCAACTACCAGAAATTGCAGCCAATATACCTGGTGCTAGTATTAGAAAATGTAATGTATTGGTACTGTTACTGTATAGTGTGATGGACAATAGGATTGTCATGCAATTCAAAACAAAATCAACTGGAAATGTTATGTTATAGCCAGAGTATGCACTAATCAAATTATAAGATAAATAGGCACTAAGGGAAACAGCTGTGACATTATATATCTCCAGGATAGTACCTCCAAGTAAATTGGATACGAACAACTCCTTCTGTTCTTTCAATGACGACATTCGCTTTCTTATCTATATTTTTTGTAGTACTTATCTATTAGATATACTAAGACCGTTAAAACAATGAAGAATTAAATTATACACAAAACCATCAGCACAATTTTTTTTGGTGTTTCAATCTTTCATCTTCAAGATAGCCACAGTCTTAATATTAACACATAAAGAAGACGGGGATAATAGGCTAAAATAATATTCCATAATATGAAAGAGCCACGGCCCCAGAGTCAGGGCAAAGGAGAATACGAAACACTGGTGATAAATAACCTCGAAGAGAAGAATGTCGCTAATCAAAAAGAAGAAGAATTGAAGCTTCTGAATTCGACGCCAGAGCTGAAACCTAGTGATGGGGATAGTATCGATGCAGAAGGCAGTAGTTTTACACACGAGATGCCAAAATCTCCTGTTTTATCGTCGTCGGACTCGTTGATGAACATCACACCATGTACGTCTAACGGAAATGAAATTGACGACTTCGTGATATATTCAGATTCAGACGGAGCGTCACAGAATTCGTTCGATTTGTTACAGAACAAAGGAACCAATTCCGTAATCATGGAAAGAGAAGTTAGGGACGAACGTTCAAAATCTACCGACAGCGACCGAGCCAAGCGTGACAGAACTAGTGTCAGAAGAAATAGCACCGAATCAACACCCAGCCCCAAGCCCAGGAGGCGAATAAGGAGGAGGTCTAATAAGTCAGATGCGAGTGATAGGTCACATCGTTCGTCGCTGAAAAATGGTGCATATCCAACTGGTAGTGGATACACCCTGACGCCAGCCACCGGGAAGATATTTCGTAATTTATTGATTCTCGAAGAAAGCTTGCGGGAACAAGTTATCCAGCAGAGAGCAATGAGGAGAAAGTATTTGACCTTTTTGTCTATATTGTGCTCTATCATCGCATCATTAACGCATCATTTGTACTTGATGGACTCTCCAGTAAACGGGACCGTTCGTGTCATCTTGCAATTTACTTTGCTTGCCTTGCTAGTAACATTAATGCTATACCACCTCTCAGGTGAATACCAGAAGACTATTGTGTTACCAAGAAAGTTTTTGTCATCTACGAACAAAGGATTGCGCCAGCTCAACGTGAGACTCGTCAAAATCAAGACCCCATTGACAGATTCAATTACCGACTTAATTCGAGAGTTTGTCTTGTTCAATGCAACAGTGTGTCGTAATGCTTTGCATAATGTGTATCCATCTACAAAAAATAATAGGAAATCGAAATTGGAAGTGTTCTTAGCATCGTGTCAGCTGCAATGTCAGCCAAGAATCGGGGTTGCGGACGTCAAGTTAATCTTAAATGCAAGAGTTTTCAATACAGATGTTAGGGAGGGCTGGGAATTATACAGAAGTGAATTCTGGGCGCACGAAGGAGTCAGGAGGCGAGAAAATATGATGTCCTTTGTGACTGAAAAATATAGGGAGGAAGTGCTTGATAGAGGTAAGCTATTAAAGAAGGACAGAAAGGAAAGAAGATATAGAAGAAAATCCAGTGTAAATGCCACTTCCAACAAACTCAATGAACAGAATTTGAATCAGTTGGATGGTTCTTCTGAAAATGTACTATTGTCACCATATCATTCTGGAATGAATAGCGTAGACAGCTATGAAGCTAGTGACCACTAAACCATTTAATTCTGTACCATAATACTAGGTTAATTGATAGTTATTAGTCAATGCATATTTATTCAACACAAGGATCTTGTAGCCTGTAATCCTAGTAATCATTAATATAAGTATATCGGTATACACCAAATTTTATCAAAAGTCACATGACCGATTATTATTCTTATAAAACAATTCATATAAAGAATTAATAATCCATATTCATTAAGACTCTCTACACAATTAACAAAGCGATGTTACAGCTAAACCCAGTGATACATCCCGATACAAAGAACAAGAGATTCAAGTTTGAGCCATTTTTGCGTAAGGAATATAATTTTGGATTAGATCCTGATCGTCCAGTGTGCCAGTTCTACAATCCACTGAACCCAAATAACTCATGTCCAAATGGAAGTCTTTGTCCCCATAAACATGTTTCGTCTATGTATTCGAATAAGATCGTGTGTAAGCATTGGTTAAGAGGTCTCTGTAAAAAAAATGATCACTGTGAGTTCTTACACGAATACAATTTAAGAAAGATGCCAGAGTGCTTGTTCTACTCAAAAAACGGATTTTGTACTCAGACACCCGAATGTTTATATTTGCATGTTGATCCGCAGCTGAAAATACCTCCATGTACAAGCTATGAAAAAGGGTTTTGTCCAGATGGTCCTAAATGTGCAAACAGACATATTAGAAAAATTATGTGTCCATTGTGGCTTACTGGTTTCTGCCCCAAAGGTGCCGAATGTGATTACAGTCACCCAAGATTCGAAGCAATAATAGATAGGTTGAGAATTAAGCCGGATGAAGATGCTACAGAAGAAAAAGTAACCAAGGGGTCCGACAAAGACGATCAAGATATGACCGATGCTATACCAAACGATAATGCTGAAGAAAAAGATGAGTCTGGATCTTGATACACGTACAATATTTTATATCTAATGAGGTCTATAGAGTTAATTGAGATGCTTAATTTTAGCAATTTTTATATAGTATATGTAATGACAAATTTAATGATAGGAATTTCCTAATAAAACTTAATTCGATGTAATTGCAAATTAAACCCTAAACTTTCTAGCTTGTTTTCTTTCCATTGGTGTTAAAACCCAATTCACACCCAAATCTTCGTCCTCTTGACCAGCATCATTATTATGACCACCTTCGTTACTCATATCATATTCCTCGTCATCCATACCAACAAGTAATACTAATTGAGTAACCCTTACAAACTTTTCTCGTAGTTCATAGTTATCTTCACACATTTCATTAATGATATGAGACATATCCTTTTCCAACTTGAGTGATCCCAATTCATTTATTTTAAATTTCTTTAATACATTAATTAACTTTTTTTCAATCAAATTAGCCATGTTTACAACCAATAGCCTTAAAAGCTTATTAAAAATTAATGACTTATGAAATGTTTGTTTGTAAGGTCTCATCAATGATTGCCATGTTGTTGTAAATTTCAATATAGTCGTATTATCATTTAACGTGTTAACCGAGTAAATTATGTAGTGTGAATCGCTAGCATCAGGAAAGCAGTCATTAATAAGAGTAAGCAATTTATTTTTAAGTGACTGATTGTAAAAATTAATTAGACTGTCTTGAATAATTTTGTTGGTAATTGATATAAATGGATCCAAAAATTCTGTTTTAAGTATGCTTGCAATTTTTTCCAGATCTTTACCAAAAGGGAAATTGTTTCTTAGGTAGTCCGGATCATTCTTGGCTATGCTTTCATAGATCTTTGTAAAATACTCTTGCCCCATTGCAACAGTATTTAAATATAATACAAAATTCATTAACTTAGGATTATTGGTATGTGCGCCAGTTGTACTAATACCAACTCCTACAGATGCTCCACTTCCGACAACATTACCCAATGCACTAGAAGCACCCTTGAAAAAACCCATAGTACCTGAACCTTCATGAACCGGCGTACCGCTTCTAGACATTCCTGGACTAGCAGTACCACTAAGTACCCCAGTTGTTGAGGATGTAGGTGCAACTAGTGTCAAGGTGGAATTGTAGCGTGGTTGGTTGGAATTTAAATTTTTTATGAAAAACCCATTGATTAAGTCCCTTTGAATAACTTTGAAGTCTTCATTTATGAATCGTTTGAGTGTAATTGGTTGGGCAGTATCTATTATGTTTCTTAAAGTAGTATTCAATACCAATGTAGCATCTTCTATAACAGATGAACAAGGAACTTGGTCTGGTGGATTTGATGATGAAGCCATTATTAAATGAGGTTCTAAAGAGGGCAACTCTTCAATGGTTATAGCCTTCTCCAAGGATCTTCTGAAGTAATAGGAATATAAAGATTCAAATGCAGGTAAGAATTTTTTATGAATCTTACTTGTGAAATTGGATTCCACAATTAATTTTGGAAGCTTTAACCCCTCTTCGTTTTCGTTTTCGGTATTGTTATTGGATTGATAATATTTTAGCGTTATAAATTTACAATACAATGCCCAATTATGTAAGATTCCCGCCAATTCACTCACCAAATCACCAACTTCAACGATGGAAACCAACTCATCGTCTTCTGGGTTTATATTTATTTGATCAATATTAGAAGGATCATCATGGTCGGAAAACCGTTTTGACAAAACTGGAAACTTATAGAGACTAATGTCTTGTATGACTTTATCGATTCTTTTGATATCGTAGAAAGTATCACTAATTAGACCAATCTGTGAATCAATCTCATGTTGTATTTTTGTTACAACATAAGAAATAGCATTTTCATATGTAGATCCATAATATTTCTTGATTAATGGGCCGTGCTGAGATAACATCATAGATATGTTCTCAAATAATTTCATACTTATAGTAAGATACATGCCATGTTTGGTAGCAGCATTACTGCCACCAGATGCGGAATTAATCAATGAACGCAGAGTATCGGTAATAATTTGACAAATGAATTTAGAATAACAATTGAGACCTATCTCTTCCTTCTGAATCAATGGAAATAATTGAAAGTACTTTGTTAATTCAGAAACGTTCCTATTTTTGGATGCTTCATTAAAACTCTTTTGAAATTCTTCTGTTAATAATTCAATCCATTTTTGTACGGTTTCTGAAGGTAACTCAGGAATATCAGCACTTGGAATCACCACAGATGCAAAATTACCATTAACCAATTCAGAAGGCAACTTGCACGTAATAGTATGCAAACACTGAGCTGCTAATTCCCAGTTTTTGTGCTCAATAGCATAACTTGCCTGGTTTATATTATTCTTTAACGACTGGATATTAGTAACAAAATCCAAGGTTTGCCTGACATTACCAATTTCTTGATCCAACGATTTGATTTTGAATGTCAAAGAATGCCCTAGATCATTAGCTGCCGAGAATAACAGTGTCATTTCTGTCGAATTCAGTATTGTTGTCGATAATTTAGCTCGATTTAACTCAATATTGGATGTTTCTTGTTGATGTTTTTTCAGTTTTATTATAGAAAAATGATTCAATTCTTTATCAATGGAAGCTGTTGAAGCATCTATTTCAGCTATTAGACTATGCAATTCATTTGTAGTAGTCGCTTCATGGAACCTTTGATCTAACGTCCGCACCGTTTTATTTAATTCTGACTCAGATAGAGCCGAGAATAAAGGTGCCAGCTTTTTCAATCCATTACCGGACATTATATTTCACAATATCGATAGAGACTGAACTACTGATTAGGTTTCGTGTTGTAAATAGGTCCTTAATATTGAGTTTCGTGTTGTTTCTATATAAGTTCTCGTTCATAGTTAATGCCTATATACAGTATTTTTCATGATACTGTTCACTATAAGGCTTCAACATCTACTTAATTCTATAGAACTTACGATGAGACTAATATGAGATAGCTTCCATGATATAGAGATTATAGGAAATACCACAGTTTCAAAAAATTATTGATGAATGTCGATATTAGAACCCAATCTCCATTTCTACGCAGACCATCTTACGATGATACTAAAATATGCACATGATATATTATTAAACTAGACTATTATACACAATGAAAATGGATCAAACCATTATAGGTACTATGATTTGCAATTGGTCGGAAGTAATGGAATTATTTCTCATTTCTTTGGACCATTCTTCAATTCCGAAGCCATTGAGTCTCTTTCTTTTTTAAAGTTGGTAGATCTGTCTCTGATTCTAGGCTTCTTTACTTTTCTGTCTCTATTGCTCTTGAGGCCCTTAATACCGGCAATCAGATCCCCCTTAGAAGCTCTCTGTCCTTCAATAATCGACTTGGACTTACCGGCGGTAGCTCTATCACTCTTATTCAAGACAGATTGGGCTCTACCTAACTTCGTTCTTTGATTATCACTTAATTTTGCGGACATCTTGGATCTGTTTGAGGCATAAGACTTCTTGGAGTTGTCGATGTGATTTGGTGATAATATAGATGGTTTGGAGTGCGCCTTAGCCTTTGAGATACGAAGCTTACGTTTCTTTTCATCAGACATTGGCTTGTCATTAAGTAACAAAGACTTGTTGACTGATAAAGTGTCCTTGAATTGAACTAAGGCAAAACCTTTACCCAAATTGGTCTTGGAGTCTCTGATAACTCTCACGGATTCAACGTCATTGTCAGTTTTAGAATTGAAATAACGCCATAAAGTCTCTTCCTTTTCTTCAAAATCCAAATTTCCAACAAAAATAGTTCTTTTGTTGTCCTTTGGTGCTGGATGGGCGACATGGTCAACTCTTAAATGTGCATGTTCAAATACAGTTGCGTTTAACTTGGAAATGCACTTCAAAGATGGCTCCTTTTCTGTGAACACAACGTACGCATTCAAGGTGTCTCTCGAGCTATGTAACTTCTTCTTAGCAAATGCTACTTTTCTTGGAACCGCATCATCAAACGATATGGATCTAAATCTGATCGATTGGACTTTACCGTACTGCGAGAAAAGTTTCTTGAATTTCTTGTACATTTGCTTTGAGCTAACAACAGCAGCATTAACGTTACCCACAAATACAGTACGCTCGGCCTTTTCTAATTCAGCTTCCTTTAAATCAACTGTCTTAGCACGTTTGGACTTAGCTTCACTACTTTGCTCCTCCTCGTCTTCCGAGTCTGAATCAGATCCAGATCCGCTTTCATCCTTTTCTTCTGTTTCGATTTTACTTTCTGTCTTATCCACCTTTGGTGCTTCTTCATCCTTTTCCTTCAACAATTTATCGTAGTACTTCGATTCCAAGTCTTCATTTAATTCCTTCTTTTGCCTCGTTTTCTTTGCACGCTTGGCTTCTGCCTTTATGTCCTTCTCCTGCTCCTCTTCTTCCTCGATGCTTTCACTCTGATCTTCATCTGAATCTTTCTTTGGGGCATCTACTGGAATTTCAATTATGGTTCTAGCCCTGTCAGAATATTGTCTAGAAACTGGCCCTTTTGAAGCCTTGAATAACAGATCTATATTTTTATCAACATTAGTTTTATCACCTGATGATCCAAAGATCGAACTGAACGTAGACATGCCTGAATAATCGTAGTTTTGTCCGTATATTCAACGATCTATTTAAGACCTCATCTCATAAAAAAATTTCGAACTGAGGGTAGACAGCTCTGAAAAATAAGACTGCATATAAATCAGATACAATCATAGAGAAAAACCGAAACCCCTTCGTAAAGGTATTGGTGTCAATCGACGTAAGAAACCAAGTGGATTCATTGAAATATCTAACGAAATCAAGAAAGATTGTGCTTTTAGTGTAAAGCTTGGAAAAAAATATAACTTGTAAACGTCTCGATTTTTATTCGCCAAATAGCATCATAGATATCTTTCAATGGCTACGGAAGAATCAAACAACAAAGAATCACCTTTAACAGACATAGCCACCTCTCCTCCACCATTTGATTTAACATTGAATAATAAGGAGTCTGAGGACGACGAAACATCCAATTTTGTATCGAATAACGGTAATTCTGGACAGGAATCTCAGGAAAACAACAGCACTACCAATCGAGATAGCTACGAAAGCTCGGAGCTTAGTGATTTGGGAGAAGACGAATCAGAAGCAGAAACGGACAAAATGGACTTTTTGGACGATGATCCTAACACTAGCGGGGAAAAAGTGCTGGATTTGAATGCCATATCGAAGTTGACTGAATTGGCACATTTAAAAGAGGTAGACTCCGACAACGAAGACGACGAAAATGAACTCAAAACAGAGGAGAAGGAGGTGGAAGAGGATGATAAAGAGGCATTGGAGATGAATAATGAAGATACTGGCAAAACAGACCCCAAAATAGAGGAAAGCTCTTCAGATGGTGAAATGTCAATAAACCCGAAGGAAAATGCGGAGGCCAACAAAGAAATCATGGAAGATTTGGAAAGAATCAGCCAAAGCGTGGAGGATGGCACCAGTCGAAGGGCATCAAAGCGTTCATTAAGTGACTCCGAGAAGACGAATAATAAGAAGCCAAAGATAGAGAGTGAAGAAGAGACAAGTACCGGAAAGAGCGATGAGAAAATACCTGATAATGTGCAAGATAATGAAGGTGACAACTCAGATGTCGAGGAGTCTCAAAAGGACGATTTCAATAATGGTAATAGTAATAGCGGGGAAGACGATGATAACGAAGATGCGAATAATGGAGAAAAGACAGATGATCAAGAAGCAGACGAAGAGGATGCGGATGATATAGGAGATTCTGAAAGCAATGAAAATGTAGATATGAATGAGAAGCGCAAACTTGCTATTGAAGAGTTAATATCTATCGAGTCGTCATTTGCGGAATTGAGAGATAAATTATACCAGGATAAATTGAATTTACTTGAGAATGAGTTGCAACTCTGTCTAGAAGGATCACATCCAGAACTCTCCAGAATCTATTACAAAATAAATCAATTTCACCAAGATAGTTTGAAGCAGGCCAACTCAAACCTCAACTATAAATTGAAATGCATTGATATCAGCACAATCGCATCTCGAACCTCGATTCATCAGAACTTCCTCAAGAAACTTATGGATTGCAAAAACGATATGATTACTGATACGACGTCCTTGTGGTACAAAATAAACAAGGAACGTAATCAACTAGATCAAATTGTCCCTGACTATAACTTCACTGCAATCCCACTGATACCGAACTATACAGCTGTGGCACCTATAGAGGAAACTGCCATCGGTGTGGCCAATAGTGTACCAAATGGTCATGAGATTGCTCCTTTGAGCAAAAAAGCAATCAAACAAAATACGGTGTTCGAATTAGTAGAACAAAGAAACAATTTAAATTGCCAATTGGGTATATTGAACGGATTATTACAGTTCCATGGTTTCCCTTCTGCTTTATACTCGAATACAGGCGACAATGACGTCGGACCAAGCCAAGAATTATTGTTAAGAAAGGCAACCGATGAAGAAATTAATGACGACCTAAGGGCTATGGGAATACCCATGTAGATTATATTCTATATACCTTCATATATATGTATTAATAATAACCAATTCATATTGTATTCATATTGTAGACTGATATACCAGCAAAATCGGATTACACACGACCTCCAATTTTTAGTAAACAAAATACGTGTGAAATAGAAGTACATTGAATGAAGAATAAAAGGAATATAGATTGGCCAATTGAATAAACATGGTAGAAGTATCGTTAACCGTTGGGAAACTTGATGCTTCATTAGCATTATTGTTGACGAAAGATCATCATCTAATTGAATTTCCAACGATTTTATTACCTAATGGGGTCAGAGCAGGGTCAATTGTTAAAATCAAATGTGACCAGGATTTAGAAGGAGAAAAGCAAGAGCAAAAAGAGTTCCACAAGATACAAGATGAGATATTGACAACTTTTGGTACAAACTTACCGAGTGCTCCTAATTTAAAAGTTAAGAATGTTACTCAGACTTCGTGTGTATTAGAATGGGATACCTTGGAGTTGGGAACAGCCAATTTGAAAAACTTGATTCTTTTCAAGGATGGTAAAAAATTGGGAGCTATTCCACAGCCTTTGACCAGTAAGACGACAAAGTTATCAGGATTATCGATCGATCAAACATTCCAATTTCAATTGAGATTGGACACAACGGCAGGTATCTATCTGTCGGAAGCGGTTGAAGTCACTACACACAAGATGACAGATTTATCTGGTATCACTGTTTGTTTGGGTGATATAAGCGCTAATGACCAATTCACTGTGGAAGATATTGAAAATACATTAAAGAATATGGGTGCTAATTATCCACCACAAGACAAAATCAAGGTTGATACTACTCACTATATTTGTACTAGAGAAAACAAACAGAATTCAGAATATTTGAAAGCATTTGACATGAATATTCCAATCATTAGACCTGAATGGTTGAAAGCTTGTGAAAGAGAAAGAAGAATCGTTGGTGTAAGAGACTTCTATGTCAAGGATTGTGTATTGCCAGATATATTAGCTAGAAACTATTGGCAAAAGGGAACCACTCAAAGTAATTCAACTACTACAGAAGAACCAAAGCCAGAACCTCAAGATGAAAAGACGGAACAAGATAAGCCAGTTACTGAGACCCCTGTAGTTGTTGTGGATGAAGCTGATAACAACAAAAGTGAGGGAGAAGAAAAACCTGCGGAAGAAACTAATGTGCCAGATACAGAGCAAGAAGCTAAAGATGTTGAATCTGAGGCTACTACTGAAACTGCCAATGATCAGCTTGAAGAAGTCAAGATTGCTGGTTCTAATGATGTGAAGGTTGATGATAAAGTTGATACTGAAACTCAAAAAGAAGAGTCAGGATCGAGCGTGCCTCAAGATGCAGTTGATGCAAATGCAATAGAGTCTAATGTAGAATCTGAAACTGAGAATAAAGAACCTAAAGTGGAAGCAACAACAGAAGCAAAAGAGGCTTTAGAAGTTTCACCACCACCGAAAGAAAAGGAAGTTGATACTTCCAAGATAGAGGCTAAAGATGCAGACAATGATTCAAATGAAAAAGAACCAACTATGGATGAAATTAAGTTAGATGAAAAGGAAACGCAAATAATTGATGAACCTAATACCGAAAATAAAGAAGCAGAGACTTCAGAGAAGATTGAATCTACTGAGAAAGAAGAATCGGCGGAACCTGGAAATACCGAAAATGAAGGTGAAGGTGAAGGTGAAGGTGAGGGTGAGGGTGAAGGTGATGAAACAGCAGGTCAGGAAGATTCGAATAACGCCTCTACTACAACAAACAAGAAGAAGAAGAAGAACAATAAGAAGAAAAATAAGAAGAAATAGAATATTTCCCAGCTGTATATATTCTCAAACTCCTGTATTATTTTCTTTGTATAGCTTCAGTTATAATATAAGTATAAATAAACTAAATTTCGTTCAGTAGAAAGAATGGCACCTCAAGCCTAATAAAAACTATCTTGTTGCATCTATACCGTGCTATATAAAGTAAATGTCTTATAAAAATATAATCTTGAAATGAATATTGAATAATTGAAATTAATTACCAAAAAGCCTGGGCCTATTAATTAGTTGTCACCAAATAATCTCCTTACCTTCTTTAATATAGAATCTTTTTCTGGGTCATATGGATGGTCCTTGGAGGGAATTTCTAAGATCGCAGGGAATGCATTGGTGTAATTGTCAACTCTATATCTGATTAAATCGGCAATATGTTGATTAATCAAGAGAATGGCAATATCGTCTCTTTTGGAAGTAAAGTTTTCGAATGCTTCTTCCACGTCCTCAACAGATGTCTTACCAGGTATGACAGTCAAGAAATTAGTTTCTTTGCCTTGCTCGTTCGAAATTTGTCCAACACCAGCCAATAATAACCCCGTAACTGAGTCTTCATCTGCTATAGCAGCTAATAATGTCCGTTTTGACATGGCTTCATTGGCAGAACTCATGATGATAAGTTGCTTATTTTTCTTCTCCAATTTAACAGAAAGCTCGTAATAACCAAACCCGTTACCAATAAAACTTCAATTGTGACGTCAACTATAGAATATAATTGATTAAATACAAACAGTTGGCGCTTGATAGAAAAGGATTAACAAGTTTACATGGCTTGAGTAACGCACGCACCCGATCAACTTCTCAGTTAGATGGTATAGATATGAAAAATTTCTAGAAATATCAACACTTCCTGACGCTATATACGTACAAATAGGATGTTATGCCGCTCAAAGACCATCAGACCACAGGTGTCTGTATTTAGAACACCCAGAGTTCCAAGATCACAGTTCCATTCGAGTACTTTCATGCTCGCAGGTCATTCTAAGTGGGCCAATATTAAGCACGATAAAGCAAAAAATGATGCTAAGAAGTCCAGGGAAGCTTATTCGATTGCCACTAGGATTGTTTCGAGTGTCAAAGCTGGAGGAGTTGATGGTAATGCTCAATTGACAACTCTTGTTGAAAAGGCGAAGAAGTTAAACGTCACCAAGAAGATCATCGAAAATGCCATTAAGCGAGGAACCGGGGAAATCAGCTCAGATGGACAACAGCTCTCGGAAGTTACATACGAGTTTATGGGACCCGGAGGTGTTGCATTTATTGTAGAGGCAAGTACAGACAATAAGACCCGTACAATTGGGTTGGTGAAACATGCCATGTCAAAGTTTAATGCGTCATTGAGTCCATGCCAGTATTTATTTGAGCGTAAGGGTTCCATTATATTCTCGCCTCTCAACGACACCGAAACTCTTGACGATGTGCTAGAAGTGGCAATAGATATAGGTGCAGAGGATGTAGAAGACTACAAGGATACCGATAATGAGTATGGCAAGGAAAAGTTGTTCAAGATAGTGACCAATGCGGGAGATATCTTTGAAATCTCCAACAAGTTATCGGCAAAAGGATATAACCTTAAGGACTCGGCCACTGGGTACATGGCCGAGAACGATACCCTTGTCGAGTTTCCCGAGGCCCACGAAAAAGGCCTCAAAAAGGCATTGGAGCTTTTGGACGAAATCCCCGAATTGACTAACTACTACTCGAACATCAAGGACGACGAATAAACCGCGTCCACTGTACATAGGTAAACATAAATTCATAAAATATAGTATTAAACTGTAAACACTCAACTAAAAACGCAATTGGACTCCCTCCAATGATCCACCTCCAGTGGCCCCATATCGCTCCACCAATGCTCCATCAATGCTCCACCCGTCCTATCTCCAATTGCAGCTTCTATTCTACGCGAATGCTATGTCATCATGCAAGAAGCCCCATGTCTGGGCTTACTTCTTTATTGTGAATCTGCCTAATCCTTGTTTTCTTGCTTGGTTTCAGTCTTTCCATTGTCCTTTTCAACCTTCTTTTCGACTTCAGCATTCAACACATTGTCTAAGTTAGATAAGTCTGGATTCTTCCACAATCTCAATTCTCTATCGTGGGCGAAATGTCTGTAAGTGAAAAAGACACCCGATACAACAGCAACTCCCATAGCAGCGAATAATGGGTACATTTCAACTGGAAGTGATGGCTTATTGCTGGTTTTCTTAGCAGCATTCAATAAAACACGGGTAGCTCTCATATTTGATCAATTACTTCAATTATTACTATTGGAATGAAGAATCGTTGTTCATTTATGTCCCATTGAATTAGTACCATGAAAATTATGGTATGATATTCGGGTATCCGCACGACCGTTCTTTGGAGCGGTTTTGTGTCTGTTTTCGAAAACAACCATTTTGGTTGGTTAGAATTAGAGATATTCACGTGAGAGGTATATCAGTATACAAGTGTATACAAGTGTATATTAGTCTAGTCTATGCTGTAATGTAGGGGGTAGAGGAAGGTAGGAGGCGACAGAAAGGACATGTCTACCATTTTGCAATTAGATCTTTAAGCGTATCGTAGCAGAGCCAGCTCACAGCCATGGAAGGCACGATTTTGTAGAGGTTTGCAGTGAGACCTTTGTAGGCACCAAAAAAGCCTTCAGTGGTGAAAATGGAGATCAATGCACGAGTGACTGAAGAGTATTGAAAGCCTAACTCACCACCGGCCATACTGGCGACCTGATAACGCTTACGGAGCAAGTCCAAGGGGTATATGAGCACTCCACCCACGAAACTGGAAAAGGCACCAGCCGAGAGCTTCCAGATGGGATTTGAGTAGTCTGCGGGAGAGTTATCCATGTAATCTCTTATTTTTTCGTAAAGAGTGAAGTTTATAGCAACGTAGGGGGCCACACCCATGGTGGTAGGCACTATTCCCTTGTAGAGGGCACAGAAGCCACCCTCATTTTTGTAGACCTCTACCAAGGTTTCGACCACCGATGGGGGTTTTACCAATCGACCCTTGGTTAGTTTTGCCAAAGATGCCGTCTGGATGGTTATCCTGGCCCGTACGAGGTCTAGTGGATATGTAGCGGCCACTGATGCGATACCACCAAGTGAACCGGCGATTAAGCGTTCATGCACTTGGAGTTCGGACGTTTCGTCCTTATTAGCCATCATGATGGCCTTGCACTTTTCGAACACAGCATATTGGACGGCACTGTAGGGGACGATACGAACGCAGTTCAAGAGATTTCCCCGGAAAAGCCCTCTCCAGCCTTCTTCGGCGTACATTTTAAATATCGTGGGGAACATACCATTGTACGATTTGAACCCAGGGCCCTGGAGTTGCAACAAGATCTTGGCTCTTTCAAACGGCGACACCACCGTACGTGAAACTGCTCCTGCTATACCTCCTGATACTAAAGACGCGTTAGAATCGAGTTTTAAAAACTGTTTGATGTCATATGGCACATCTCTTCGTATTTCAAATTCTGACATCTTTTCTTGCCCAGAGTCTCGTCAGTGTGTTTCTTATAATAACTATGCTATGCCAGCTTAAATCTTCAGCAAATGTGGAGTGTAATGAATATATATGGCGACTCTGGGGCGTATGTTGTTGATAGTAAACTGGCTGAAATCTTAAATTTCACTAAAAACTATTACCGAGAATCGCCGAGCACGACAGATCACGATAAGCTTACTACAGCGATCTTTTAGATTTATATGGGGAATGAATATACACTAACAAAGATAAAATTATCGAATTAATTCATTAAACTATATATAATTAGCCATATTAAATCATAATAAATTACTTGTAGCTAGATAAAACCTGTTCAACGGCAGCAACGAAGATGTCGGCATGCTTCTCTTCGAACACTAAGGTAGGTCTTAATCTAACTGAGGTTTCAGCACACCCACCCATATTAATACCGACAGACTTCATGTCCTTTAAAAATTGGTCACGAGTAGCACCAGTGTCGAAAGACCAAGCAATAAAAGTAGCTCTGTCTTTACCTCTCAAGTCAATAAGATATTTAGGGTATTTGGCTTGTAAGGCTTCCAACTTGGAGAACAAGTAGCTACCGACTTTTTGGGCCTTTGCTGGTAAATCATTCTTTATGACTTCTTGACAAATGGCACCAGCTAAGATCATTCTAGCTGGATCACCACACCAGGTGCTGAACTGACGGTATGCAGTGCTTGGAACAATTTCTGGGTTGTGGAAGTAATAACCAGCCGATTGGAACTTCTTAGAGAAAGTAACCATGTCCGGAGGTGAAGACAAGTTGAAATGTTCGTGACACCAGAATTTACCTGTAGCACCAACACCAGTTTGGACTTCGTCAACGATCATTAAGGCACCGTGTTTCAAAGTCAAGTCTCTCAATCCTTGGAAAAACTCGTTTGAACCATGGTTGTCACCACCTTCAGATTGAATTGGTTCGATGAGCAAAGCGGCAATAGGAATGTTGTTAGTAGAAAAGATTTCATCGACGATTTTAAGACAACGTTCGTCTTCCTTCTTATTTTCTTCAACGTGCTTATCTAATGGGTACTTGTACGATGGGTATTCAGCTTTTGGCCATTTGAATGCAGGGAAGTCCAACTTGTGAATTGGCTTGGAGCAGGTGGTTGAACCACTGGCGAATAATCTACCATGGAATGCCCTCTTGAATGAAAGAATGGCCAATTCTGGACTACCTGGCTGCTCGTTCTTCATGACTGATTCGTTTTCTTCAGCAGTAAATGGAGTATTGAATCCTCTCTTCTTACCTTGGTACCACATGAATGCCGCCTTGAATGCCAATTCGTTGGCATCGGCTCCAGATAACCCGGACCAAACCTTATCTTGACCCTTTGGAGCCGCCTTCAATAAATCCTCGATAATTTCTGCAGTATCAGTACCTGGAAAGTTACCAAGGGCTGGACGGTCCACAATTGCTCTGATCATCTTATCGGACTTGGCCGCCTCAATTAACGCTGGGTTATTGTATCCTAACCCGATGGATGCGATTTGAGCATAGACATCTAAGTAGGCATTGCCATCAGCATCGACAATGTAGTTACCAACTGACTTTTCGTAATCAGTTATGAAGTATGCTGGTCTGCTATCAAAGACCTTATTCAAAGTCTTGATACCCTCTTGGGATGCAGGCCCTGGGAATGATGAAGTCTTAACGACTGGTTTTTCTGGTTCGTTTGGAAAATATTTCTCACAAATGGACATATCACTCAAGATATCACTATCTATTACTTAGTATGATGAGAAGAAGCAACAATAACGAATAATTTTAAGAAATTGATGGGAATGCCAGGAATCAAACTATTTATATGGGGAAGATACCAATAAGCGCTAATCGCCCAAAACGGAAATTGGCCGCTAATTAAAAATTTCCTTGACTTGAGCAAAAGGCATCGACGATTGCCGCAAATAGCGCTATATGGAGTTCATAAGCGGAAAGACCGCTACATGATAGCCTACATTGGCGCCTGAACCAATGTACGAGGTTGGATTTTTATTGTGCTTTGTTATGCATGAGTATTGTTCGTGGAATAGAGGTTAGCGTTTCAAGCTATGTTTTGGAGAGGTTAACACCATATTGGAAGAAGATGGAACATTAATAGTGGGGGATATGACGGATACTCGAAGAGCCTCGAAGAGGCCGGTTAGTTTGGAGAACAATAATGGAGACTAGGGCCGATAGTATTACTGTCGACTTGAATGACGAATATGACCATAGCAAGTTAGAATGCAGAGTGATTGAACGGTGGGAAGATATACTGAATGAAGAATTTAGCCAACAGTATTGACAGTGCGGCTAGAATAACCCAAACGACTTCAATCTGGACTATTGTGACATTGTTTATCCACGGAGAAGCGAGTTTGAGCGTAAGGAACCGTAAGCGAGGGGCATCAGATCTATAGATCCATACACATAAGCCGCGAGTCGTATGGACTTGCCTAATCAGCTATTTGCACCCTAGCATGATATCTATGACTGATAGTATAGGCGTTTTACACAACATATAAGTATAGTAGAACGCTTGGTAGCAGGTTATGATAGTAAAAGTATGAAAGTGTAGAGTAAAGTAAACCGTTAAAAAGTAGACAGTATGAATTACAATTAAAGGCGTTAAAGGTGACAATTAGGTTACGTTTGACACTCTATAGTTCTAACTATATATTATGTATTCTTGCATACATGGACATAACCCCAATACTCTTTCCAATCTAATTATTAGAAACTTATCGATTTTCGATCTCTTCGTAAACTGGTGTATCAAAAACATAACGAATTATCCCACAAACGCCTTAAATGATAGTAATATAACGCTTATTAGTAGCATAAGAGCTGAAATAACTAATGGACTAACACCAGATAGTCCCCATCATCTATGATAAACCCAGATATAAATGAAATAGAGCACTACTAGCCAGAGAAAGCGAGACTAAAATTCTTCTTCACCAAGCATGGCCCCAATGAACCAGAAAACAACAAAAAAAAAAGTATGAATGGCTTCTCCTAGCTCTCTAGATCAAGTCTAACAGATTGAAGTATATAATAGGGTACGATATATACCATTCACTCTGTTCATCAAAACTTGCAAATTCTCACGGGTTGTTCTGCATACCAGTATTCTCTGCTATAGAAAAAAAATCAAATTATAAACAAGATTGATAGGCAAATATAGATTAACGTAAGACGAATTTAATATACTATGAGTGTCAATATTAAAGGCGAACCTAATGAAACTCATCCTTCTGAGCTACAGGAGGTAAATAATGAAGGCCATAACTTTACTAATGATGATATACCCGAGTCTCAAAATCCGAGTAATCAACAAGCGCATGATGACCAAGTTGATATAAATATGGATGAGATTGATAAAGTGATATCTGAATCTATTAACCATGGAAACGAACAAACAGAATATCAACAGTCTTACATTGATAGCAATGATAGCTCAAAACATCACCTTGAGGAAGCTGGAAGTAGTACCACAGATGATAATAATAAGCGTCAAAGGGTAGACGAATATGGGACGAATTCTAGTGAACATGGGTATACGGGTATTGTTTCTGAGGAAGGGGACAAGCAAGCAAATAGCTCTAGAAATGAAACGGAGCAAAACGAGAACACAGAAACTCCGCAGCAAGACTCTAATAACACAGGAATTTCAATGGCACAACCTCAAGGAGAGAGTCAGAATGTTACAAAAGACGTTCAGAATAACGAAAAAGAGGATTTTAAAGAAAGAAAGAGTACTTCCCAAGTCAACTGTGACAATGAAATAAACCACGATCAGAGTAGGCAGCAAGAAGAACAAATAAATCTGGCCCAAACAGCAGAACAAGATAAAAATAAGCAAAATAATGAATTAGAATTGGAGTTCGAAAAAGCTATCGAAGATCACCATCAGCAGATGTCTAAGTCGCCTGAGCCCTCAAATACGCGTGAAGGTGTGATAAATGAAAAAAGAGATTTACAGATGATTGCAAGCGAATTAGAAAAGGCTACCGAATCCAACAAGGATGCATCTAAGGAGAAAGAATCAGATGAAGGTGAGCAAACCAAGGTATACCATGGTGGATTAAACGTTCCTGCTAATTCTGAATTGTTAAATACTAACACGGCTTATGCTGCTTATAATGCATTATCAAGTCAATTACCTCCACTTTCAATCTTAGCGAATGCACATTTGGCGGCGTTACCGTTACCTATCGTGGCAGCTGATTACCTTCCACCAAGAATTCAACTATTAATTAATACTTTGCCTACATTAGATAATTTAGCGTCGCAGTTGTTGAGAATCGTCGCCCTTGGTCCTTACCAGAAAATATTGGATTTGGCAGCTCATCCTGACACCCCTGCAGGGGCTACATTTCGTGATTTAACATCTTTATTTGAATTTACTAAACGATTATATTCGGAAGAGGATCCATTCTTGTCGGTCGAACATTTGGCCCCAGGCATGTGGAAAGAAGGAGACAAAACCCCAAGTATTTTCAGAAATAGAGAACAGCTGATTGAGCTGACATTAAGAAAAGTTAACCTTGCAACATTTTTAGGGGCAACTTTAGGTACGATTGAAGTAGGGTTTTTCTATTTGAATGAATCGTTCTTAGATATATTTTGTCCAGCAAATAACCTAGATCCTGCAAACACATTATCCAACATGAGCCCACATAACATGAGTTTACAAAGTGGTGTTAATACCATCATTGGTGATAAGATTGGAAAATTGTTAAAACCGCAAACAGTATTATATCTCGATTTGAAAACGCAAGCATATATATCAGCCGTCGAGGCTGGTGGAAGGTCCAGGGAAGATATCTTAGAGGACATTTTACCTCATAATTTAGAGGACATTTTATTGGAGAGACGCAAGACAAAGATACTAACTCCAACAGAATTCGACTTTATAGACCGCTGCAAGTCCAGAAAAGAGATATTATTGAACTATCCAAGCGACAAGGCATTAAGTGAAGAATATGATTGGTTGTCATTTTTGAAGGAACTCTTTGAATATTCGGCTAAGAACATGGGCTTTTTGATATGGGGTAAAAAAGGAAGAGCCACGAAAGAAAGGAACACCACTAATAAAGAAGCCGAAGTCTCCAATACACCCCACAGTGATGAAGTTGTGGCATCTGTATCGACTAACGACACAACTTCCATTACATCTACAGGTAATAATCCAACCACCTATGATTTGAGAAGCCAAGAAATCAGTGATATAACCAAGGCCCTCTTGCCCTCGGAAATTCAAGAGCAACAAATTCACCTTAGGTTGAACCCTGGCTCGAACGTCAAAAGCTTACAGAGACGTCCATGGACCAGAGAAGAAGAAAAGGCTCTTAGACACGCATTAGAATTGAAGGGCCCTCTGTGGTCCAACATCTTGGAATTGTTTGGCGCGGGAGGAAAAATATCTGAAGCTTTGAAGAATAGATCACAAGTGCAGCTCAAAGATAAAGCTAGAAACTGGAAGATGTTCTTCCTAAAGTCCGGCCTCCCAGTCCCTGCATACTTACAGAAGGTTACCGGTGACCTTGAAAGAGATGACAGGCTGAGACAAAACAAAAGGCTAAATAGGAATAGGAAAACGGCTGCTGCGCCGGTTCCTACTCCAATCCAAAACCAGAAGTCCCCTGGACAGTGAAGTACGTAATAGGAAAAGAATAATTCAAACGATAATTGCGGAACCCTGAAACATTCAAATCTAAAATTGCGTGCCACCGCAAGCGTATTCGAGATGAGCACGGTTTCGCTGACGACTTTTGTTTTGTATGGGACTCAATTACATTAAAGTTAAAAATAATTTCTGTTTCGTGCATCATCCCCTTCTCATTTTGCTTGTTCTTGTAGATAAGATGCCCTAATAGGTATGGTTGTTTGGAGGGAAGTTGTGATGAATTCACCACGAAATGTGGGACTTTCCTATTTCGTGTTGTTATCGTGCCTTCTAATAAGTTATGATAACAATAACCATTTGGGGTACAGGTTCTAATAGATGAATATTGGAGATCTAAGACAAAAACTTATATAATTCATGCATGGGTTTGCTCCTGTGTTTGTTAATTTATTTCATATAATTTAATTGTAATATAGTGCTATAGTAATGATAAAAAGTAATAGTGACACATACAAACTAGATATTCAGAAACGAATCGCTAGTGCTAGACAAGAGACACGGACTTTATACTATGAAGTAGAGAATGTTCGGAGTCGAATTCAAGACTCCACCCTCTTCAAAGTGGCGAGTGATGTTGAAATGCTTTCCCCGGACAGGTTTAATTTGAAATTATACAATACTTTGCGAGGTCATCAAAATAAAATTGCCCAAATACGGTGGAATTCGAATTCTAGACATATCTTGTCGGCGAGTCAGGATGGCTATATGATTATTTGGGATACGGTTAGTGGGTTTAAGAAGCATGCTATATCGTTAGAGAACCAATGGGTTCTAGCGTGCGCTATTGCCCCTAATGGAGAAAGTGTTGCATCTGGGGGTTTGGACAATACTTTGACAGTGTACAATATAAAACCCCGAAATTATCAATATGGGGTGCAAGATCAATACCAAACATCAATCAAATCGTTATTCAAGGGCCACAAGGCCTACATCTCTGATTGCGATTATATTAGCAATGAGAAGCTCATCACTTCCAGTGGTGACATGACGTGCATAATGTGGGACATTAATAAGGGAGGAAAAGTAAGAGATTTCGTGGATCATATTGGCGACGTGTTAGTGTTAGCCAAATTCTCTGATAGTCAAGGCCATCCCGAATCACCTATATTTGTCTCTGGAAGTTCAGATGGGTATGCCAAAATATGGGATCTTAGGTGCCAGTTTGCGGTGCAAAGTTTCCCAGTATCAAACAGCGATATTAACTGCATTAAGGTATTCCCAGATAACCATTCGTTCATGACAGGCTCAGATGACGGGATTATACGACTTTTTGACATGAGATCTGATTGCGAGTTGAGCAATTATTCTTTGTCGGCCAACCTTCATAAACTAGATCTCAGTAATTTGCGTCCACCGGTCAGTGGATCGTATTCAGGAAGCCCAATTGATCAAATAAGTAGAGTTGATTCAACTAGCTCCAGTTATGATACTCCTGGGGTAGTGTCGCTAGATTTTAGCAGATCGGGCAGGTTATTATATAGCTGCTACTCGGACTATGGTTGTATCATATGGGACACTCTAAAGGGTAATATTGTTGGTGCCTTGGGAATGGCTGGCCATTTAAATAAAGTTAATCAAGTGAGTTCGAGTCCTGATGGTCTAATTATCTGTACAGCGTCATGGGATCAGACCATAAAGGTTTGGTCCGTGTAGTAAAAAAGCAAAAGACAAGACTAAAACTAAATAATGGCAAATGCTTGATAGTTTAATTACAGAATAACTTTGCGAGCTATATATAGCATATATTCCAATACAAATTACAAAGACATTTATATAATAATTACAATTATGCATCACCAGTATGATTCTTGACGTAATCCCAGAGACTCTTCAAAAGCGATTCGGGCAAGGTGTATAAATCCATTGTGAATTCACCATTATCGATATCATTCTTAATATTCATATCATTAGTTCTATTGTCTGTGACCATTTGAACTATAACTATCAAATCATCTTCATTCAACTTGGTCAAGCCATTAGCCAATTGTTCCAAGTCGATTTGACCCTTCATTGGCGTACCATTACCGCTAGCACTCTTTTGCTTCTTCAATTTGTTGCTGGAGTCGTTATCATTTTTACGTTTGTTTGTATCCAAATTATTATTTGCTGGAACAGGTCCACTTTCTAGTAACAAGCTATTCAAAACTTGTGATCTATTTGTAGGAATGGAAATCGTATGGTCTAGGGTGTACGTTTCTTGTAAAAAATTCAAATCATGGTTAAATTTTCTTTCACTTTGCTTTCCTGATAATCCAACGATGTGGACTGTGATTGGAATATCGAATTCACCCCATCCTTGTTCCTCAACCTTGAATGGTTGAGTCTTGAGTGTTCTTATTGGATTGGCAAATGTAGGATGCAACGAATACGTGACTTTATCCAAAATATTAGCAGGTATTTCATTACCTGATTGGTCTAACATTGTGATTTGAACTGACCATTGCCTAATAGGATAATTCTCTACTGGTGGTAAATCTTTCAAGATATGTTGTTGAGTAGTAATTCTTATAGTTCTTTTAACCTAAAAGTATTATGTTAGTTTAAAATTTCATTTATATAAATCACTCATGATTAAACTTACTTCCGACATATTACTGTGATTAATTGATTGACTATATTAACAAATATGTGTTTTAATACGAATAGCTATAGCAAAAACAGAAAATTTTACCAGTCCTAATTATCAACTACACAAATTACACAAAATTATAAATGTCTATATGAAAAGATCAACTATCATGGATTATACTAACACCAAAAGTATGAAACATGGGACAAATAATAAGTAGTAGATGGTTGTTTTTGAAGCATTTGATTCACTTGAAGTGGACTCGGTCTCTTCATTTGGTTTTAAAATGTGATATGGTCTAGCAAGAGTTGAAGATATGCTTTCATTCGCAGACACGGTTGAACTTTTACTGGAGCTTGGTTGCTCCAGATGACTAGATTGGATCGTGGACTTTGGCTTTTCCGTAGAAGACAGTATTGTAATGTATAACGTTTCGGTTTCAGTTTCGGTTTCTTCAGAGCTGGTCTGGAATAATGGTTTTGCTTGTCTTGAATTTCCAAGGCTCAGCATACTTGGGGCCGGTTTTAAGGTAAATATTGGTGCATAAGACTTTTTTCTGGGATAAGTCCTAGAGAATGATGGGTGGGTAGTTGTGAATTCAGCAGAAATAGAACCGGTACCGGTTAATTTGCTACGCTTGGAATAATTCGTTGTTTTTGGATGATGTGATGAACCAGGGGAGACCTTACTCGCAGGATGTATTGAAGTGCTCATTAATGGACCAGTGCTTATAGGAGTTCTTGAAGAAACTTTGGGGGTGTGTTTAGAGGTATATGAACTGTGCTCTTCCTGGGACAGTTGCGGTGAAATTGATGTTGAACTCAAATGTACTGCTTCTTTAGACCTAGAAGTAGGATAATATTTACTTTCACTAGTTCTATGAATAGGCTCAGATGACACAGAAATGCTGGAAGTTAACGAAGGGGAAGGATGCTCTGTAGTTTCTTCAGAATGATGCAATTCTGTACTGTGTTCCTCTGTATAATGTTCTTTGGTATGTTGCACTTCCGTGCTGTATTCTTCGGTACGGTGTTCCTCTGTATGGTGCTCTTCGGTATGATGTTGAGGCTCTTCGGTATGCTGTCTTTCTGTATGGTGTTCTTCTGTATGGTGTTCTTCTGTATGGTGTTCTTCTGTATGGTGTTCTTCTGTATGGTGTTCTTCGGTATGGTGTTCTTTGGTATGATGTACTTCAGTATGCTGTCTTTCGGAATGAGTCTCCTCGATATGATGTCCATGTGATGTGTGTTCAGCAGAATGGCTAGTTTGCTTTGGCATATGGGGTGTCGGCAAGATTCTAAAAGATCCTTCAGTAGTGTGGGTTGAAGAAACGAAAGGTTGCACCCTAGATGTACTTTGATGTTCATTGTGGCTCTTCCTTCCTGTGTGAGTATATGTTTTGATACTTGGCAACGTCGAGTGCTTTTCAGATTTAGAACGTGTTGTCGAGTATGTTGGATTCATTGTTTTAGATGTTTCCTTGAATACATCACTCCAGAACTCGCTTGGCCATTCCTCTGACCAATTTTCGTCACTCCAATAGTCTGACCAATTATTTTCTGGCTGAGTAGTTGGATTGCTAATAAGGCTGGTTTGGCTGGTCTTAATATTATGACTTGCGGAGCTATGCTGATGTTCAATCAGACTGGACTCCATAGTTATCGATGTCTCTAGTGAACTCGCAACAGAGCTTTCGCTACTCTCGTGAGTTGTTTCTTGAATTGTCTTTTGATCTTCAGTTTCATACGCTTGGGTAGTCTCAGCTGTGCTTATGGGATAAAAATCAACAGTAGAAGTCACATCGTTCTGAAATGTCAGACTTGGCGCTAATGATTCGTTTATCTCGGTATTCGGTGTAGATGTCTCCTCAGTTTCGCTTGCATAGGTTGTAGGATTCTCTGGTCCTGCAATGCTTGGACTGGATGATTGACTTGTGCTTATATCGAAATGTAATGACAGCGTAAGTGCAGCTGGAGTTTCGGTCTCTGCAACAGTTGTAATTAATATCTCACTAGTACTGAAGTCTTCAGTCGTGGTGTATTCCTCGGTACTAATATGCGAGCTTAGACTTGCACTTTCAATAGTTGAACTGATGTTACTGTAGCCTGTACTTATACTACTATTGTGGTATCCGGTATGAGCATTGGCATCTTGGTGGACTAATGTCAGAGTATTGTAGTAATGAGCACGAGTAGAAGAAATATGAATACTTGGAAATGTCAACGACAGAACCCCATAATTTGATGATATACTATTCGTAGTCGTCTGATTTGCTAAGTGTGACGAATGAGTAGAAGCAGAACTCCATTTGACATTTCTATGGGTAGGTCTACCGTGATGAAGGCTATTCGTACTAAAATTTGTTCTAAGTACACAATCTGGACTTAATGTGGTTGAAGTTGCTTTGGGCATTTCAACGTATCTGTCCCATTCATCACCTTCGTAAATAGGAGTTCCTCCAGACGTGTTGATACTCTGCGACCCCTTTGGTTCGCACGTACATGTGGACAAAGTCAATGTGCTGATGCATCGGTTTGCTGAGTCCACCGGTTGAGATGGTGAAGCTTCAGCCACACTGGTCTCATTTGCAATACCTTTTCCAATTAAACCACTAGTAGAGACCAAGGTTTCGTTTCCATCAAGTGCCTTGGCAATTCCAATGGTTCCGACCAATAATATTAAGTTCCTAAATTTCATATTCTTTACTTTTAACATTTCGCAGCTACCGAATATTCTTATCTATACTCTATATCTGTTATAAACTTGGTATAATATGGAATATGAAATAACTTCAAAATCATTTCTGTAAACTACAATGAATTTGAGGTTTTGCCCAAAACTAGGAGCACAATCGGGATTTCGCTATATAGCTCCACAAAACATTCTATACTTGAGCCGTTTCTTTTTAATTAATTCTGTGAAACACCCTATTACATATATCGAAAATAATTCCACCCATAAACTGCAGAATTACTCGTTTGTTGTATACTTGCATAAGTAAATTTGTTGTATTTTCTGTGTTTGATGTTTCCGCTGTTGACATAGCCATATACAGATAGTTGCAGCCAATGCTTTTGGTGATATCCAGAACACTGCATTCCTGTATATTGTCATATTCGCTATTTTGCCTATTATTAACACCACGATGGTGGTTCTAGATACACAAAAGAGGGAGCTAATTGCTTCGATCGATGGGACAAGAAGCTAATATACATGAACAAATGCTTTTTCTGCGGCTATGCATATGACAAGCAGGATTTTAAATAGATAATAATACTCGCTAAGGGACTAACTCCTTTGATACGTTCAACGGATTTAACAGTTTTGTAGCCACGTTAGCCACAGAAAATAGCGCTATTGTTCTAATGATTTATGGTTGATTTCATTCCACATTTGAGTTCAAGGCTTTCTAAGTATATATAATATTTATAAAAATTGGGCGAAGAAACTTTAGCTACTTGGTAAAGAAACTTTATTAAAAGAGGAAAGTAGTATCATAAAAGATATTGATAGACAGATAAAGTTCGCTCTGCAAATACAAGCATAAAACTGTAGTCAAGGCTACTAGAGAGGTATTTTTTTATTCTAATATTACGTAAAGGAAATACTGGTACTACTATTTAAGGGGAGCAGGAAGCAGTATTCGAAATCAACTACAAAATTACGTGCCATGAGTATGATTGATCGTGTTATCAGCGACTGGACTAGTTGTAATGGAAAATCGAGTTCCACCACCAGTTTAACAGAAGAGACGGCTATTTCAAAATCATTCGATAACTTACCTAGGTTCACCAACTTATCGATTTTCCAAGTAGACCTGGGCAACTATACCTTCACTAATTCCAGTTCTGATACCAACCTTCAAACCGATGGCGGGATTGAAAGTTATGAGATAAGTGAGAAGTCGACTAGTGGTACACCAGATATTGTTGATAACGAGTTCTACATCAAGTCGTTTAATAGTAAACTCAGTACTGTGTCCGGTCATGCTAATATTTTTCGGATCGAAAGAATCAATGATTTCTTAGAACTATTTCAATTCTACTATACTAACAAGTTATTACCTTCTGAGAAGTGTTTTCCTTATTTTCACGGATTGAATAGCATTAGACAACGAATCTTTTTTTGTGGGAATCTGAACATAGAAAACCCTGAATCATTTGCTTCTGAAAGCAATGTTGTCTTGCCTGATCTGTTGAAGGATCATTTCCATTTGATGTTTATCAACTCAAAAGAATCAGGCCGTCAACTAAACAACCTGTGCTTTTTAAGTGACTTGCTAACGCCCAAGGAGGAAGAAATTAATTTTAATGCACCTCAAGAACATGCTGAGTTTGTTCAGTACAAAGCATTTAATCATATTAATGAATTTTCACCTGTACTAAACGAATTAAATAATCGTAACTTTTCTGAGCAAATGAAACTAATGGCACCATTATCCAATTTTTTAATTTATAATGATTCAATGGATTTTTCGATTAATTTGAATTCAGCATTAACTATAAATGAATTGACAACTAACAAATTCATTTATATTGTTGACGTACCACAGCAGGACTGGAATCTGCTAGATCAGAACTATTTCTCCCATACCAATGAAGTTGATTTATTTCGTAAAGAGCAGAATATGCTTTTAAATTTGAATTCTATGAAATCCCCATTGTACAATGTTTTTACTGGTACAGTAAAGGATTTTCAATCTATAGTCACTACCAATCATGCGTTCAAATTATTTATTCATTGTCATAAAGATGCAGAATTCCCCAAGTTATATGAGTTGCAAAAGTTCCTAGACAATACGAAGCATGACATACCATTATATTTGGAGTTTCCTTCGTCTGGCTCATTACACTCTTCGTCAATAACATTTAATCAAACATTATGCTACCTAAATGTTTTGAAATTGATACACCATTATGCTAGAATCCATGATGAAAACGTATTTATTTTCTCCGGAGATGGATTTACAGAGTTATCCATGTTAACGTTATCACTTGGCTGTCTATGGGACATTGATAAGAAATGTGGATTAATTGAAGAAGTTATATTGACCTTATTGGGTAGCGATAAAGACCTACGTCTCTATTTTTTCAAGAATGACTTGGTTCTCTTAAAAAAAATCGAAAGAATAATTAATTGGGTCAAATTATTAAAGTTACATGACCGAGATCTTGTCCTTGATTTAGATTATAATGAGATTAACATTTCTTATAATTTAAGCCTTCAAAATATACCTCCGCTACATTATGACTGGTTCAACTTTGAAGAAGATAACAATTTTCCTTCAAAAATTCTACCCAATCTATATCTTGGTTCGTTAAGACATGCATCATCATATACTGTTACGAGGTGTTTAAAAATTTCAAGGATTATTTGTGTCGGTGAAAGGCCACTTTGGTTTAGTCAATTGAATACCATCTTTGAGCATGAATTGGATTCAATTGATCCTACTGGAAAAGAAGTTATAAAACCTATTTATTCTTTCAATGATGATCTTTCCAAGGTTTATGAAATTTCTAATATTAACCTTAAGAAGTATCCCACCATAAAACTGGTCATTTTTATATATAATGTGAAAGATGATGGCAGAGACTCGATGATGCCGTTGCTTATAGATTGTCCTTATGAAGTCCAATCAAAACTTTTAATCAATCCCGAGAATTTGCATCAGAATACCTTGATTCATTGTAGAATCGGTGTTTCGAGGTCGGCTACGCTAGCTATAGCTCTGGTTATGAAGTTTGGGAACATGACATTATTAGAAGCGTACATGTTCGTAAGAGTCCGGAGGTTTAATATAATCATTCAACCTAATCTTAGATTATTCTACGAATTGTTCTGCTTCGAAGAATACTTGAATCAGGGTTATAAAACACACTCTTGGTGGAGTTTATGTCAAGAAATTTCTAAACTCAACAGTCACTATTTCAATTAGATTTATTACTAGATTTAAATTATTTATTATTTTCAATTCATATATACTTACAAGAATAGTTATACTTTTTTCTTCCAGTAAGTATACTTGTACGTGAAATCGCCTTCCGTGACTTCCACGTCTTCATTATCAATTCCTGTAAATTTCAGCAAATCTTCGTTCGATTGTTTGGCCCAGTCACTTGATTCTGTATATATTGGAAATTTCAACCATGTATCGACCTCCACCGGTTTGGTGCTTTTAATTTCTGTGATAAGCAAATGTTGTACTTTCTCGTGTGAAATGAGCTTGTTATATAATTCTGATCCCCCAATAACAAATATTTTCTCTACTGGCTTACCGTACCCTTCTATTTTATCCAAAGCATTTTCAATAGAATTTGTTAATATTATGTTCTCATCATTCGACCCATGATTGACGTATGATCTAGACAAAACTATATTCAAGCGTCCTGGAAGCGGTCTAAATTTAGTGGGGATTGATTCCCATGTCTTACGTCCCATAATAACCGCGTTTATGCTATTAGGGTCTTTAGTTGTAGTTGTGACATTCTTGAAGTATTTTATCTCTTGCTTCAATCTCCATGGCATCTTTCCCTTTATACCAATTCCTAACTCTGGTAAAAGGGCAGCCACGATCATGGCAATTGGTGGTGAGGCCTTTCCACTAGTTACTGTCATATTGGATCTAGTTTTTGTTACAGTAGTGTGGTTGACTTGAATAATAACATTTATCAAGAAGTGTTGATAATGCGATCATGCAAATACGCGACTCCATATAAACAAATAAACAATATATTAATAGTACACATTAATATACACCATAACACATATTAGGAGAATAACTTGAGTTGATAATAACACCATATACCCGCAAATAAACCATTAATACAAAATTGATAAGAAAGAAACACTAATATACAAATTGGCTAGTTTGACAAAGAGAAAAGAGCACGCCTAAAGTATTATTCATTTATTTCTTTGCCGATTTCTTTGTAGCAGCTTTCTTAGCCGGAGCCTTCTTGGTGGCTCGCTTTGTGACCTTCTTGGCGGTGGTTTTCTTTGGAGCAGCCTTGACAGGAGCTTTCTTGGTCACCTTCTTTGCGGCTGGTTTGGTAACAGCAGCCTTCTTAGCAGCAGGTTTTTTGGCAACAGTCTTCTTTTTAGCAGCAGGAGCAGCTTTAGAAGCAGTCTTAGGCGTGATTTTTTTTGTAACTGTTTTCTTGGTAGTGGTAGTTTTGGAAGCTGGTTTGCTTGGTTTGGTTGGCTTAGAGACCTTGGCTTCGACAGGAGCAATCTTACCCTTCTTTGCCAATTTAACAGGACCAGAAGGTCCCTTTGGTTGGAGGAAGTCACCAGTGTCAACACCCTTTCTTAAAGCAGTGTTGAATAAAGCATCAAAGTTAGCAGCTTTGATTTTGTAGTTAGACTGGACATATTTCTTCAATCCTTGACGACTAGATAACAGTTAGTGGTTGCCTCAAATAGGTTATTGTTTAGGTATTATAATACATACGATGAACCATTTCTTTCTTTTAATGTTTCGATCGCTGATTTTATCATATCTGCTGTGTTAGTACTATATTTAGATGTGTGAACCACTTTTTGGGGCCTAATTTTTGGAGCTCCTTCTCCTGTCGTACATACCTTTGTAAGTTAACTTTGAAGCTGGCAAAGCTTCAGCTTTGGAAATTTTTGTTTTTGGGGCCATTGAAGTCGAGTATAGAATGTTTATTTAAAATTAAATGAAGAAAAGGAAATAAATTAATAAATAAACAAGGGCGAAATGGGTTTGGAATGACTTCAAAACAAATTGCAAAAAATAGTGCGCAATACAATAACAACCTTACAACGTCGTATACCTAATAAGAGCTAGTACAGGGGCTAAATCTAGCAATGTAGAGGTTCGTTGAATAGATAGATATAGTTTCCAACCCTAATCTTTCTCAGAATTAATTTACACATTGGAAAGGTATTCATTTCGCTAGACAAAAATAATATCATTAATCATTATGTTTAAAAATAATATATACAGATATGAGTGTTTATTAATCAAGGGCAAACTTCAGCTTCACTCCACAGCTGAGTAGAATCCTTAGTATACATGTACCTTCTATCCTTGTCAAGTTCATACAAATCAACGTAATCTATAAAGAGTCCAATGACTGCGAAATTCTTCAAGCCATCTTCGTCCTTTTTACCATCGACTCCCCTATTTATAGAATCTATCAACTTCTGGTTTTCATCGGTTATAGGTGTTGTAGGAGTGGGTTTCCTAAACGACTTTTTCAACGGTTTACTCAAGTTGAACCATAAACGTTTGTGCTCGGACTCCCATTCTTGGCTAGTCGGAGGATAGTAGTCAATGCTCGATAAATCTTGCAAATTAGTGTATGAAATATTCTCTGAAGACTTCTGCTTCTGAACTTGAGATAAGAGTGATGGGGAAAGAAGACTGTGGCTGATAGGGGTCATTTGGCACGAAGAGTCATTATGGGGCCCCGATGTGAGCGATGAAGATGTGCTAGTCGCCCTTATTTCGAGTTCTTCTTCATCCTCATCTTCATCCGAGTCACTATCACTTGAATTCTGGTAGTTGTTTTGTATTATGGTCTTTGGCTGTATACTAGACAAGTCGATGACAGGTTTATATGTATTGTCAATGATTCTTGCCATACCTCGAAATCTAAACTGTTTCCTGATCTTGGGGAAGTAAAATACCGCTTCAAACTTATCATTCGTCAACAATTCCTTGTATTTGTTGGTTCTCTTATCTGTTACACATGTAATCACATTACTGTTTCTATCGTCGAATAAAAACCCTCTATAAACAAGCGTCCTGACATGGGGGAAGCCCTGAGCGTCGGCAGTAGCAAACTGAAATGTAATGAATGGAGGATTGTTTTCGTTAGCGGCCAACTCGGCTTCAGTGGCCGATTTGAACGTGGGAATCCATGGCGCCATATATTGAAATTGTAACATGTTCCGGATTATCCTTCTTCCTAGCGTCTTAGGTATGTATATTAATCCGTTTTTTAATCTGGTTTTTTGTCAGCTTTTCTAAGATCTACTGACACGTTCTTCCAATAGCCCAGCTTTTGTCCTTGTTGCTCAAAAACCTGTAATTAGTTATTTATTTATGTTTGCCTAATTAATTCCTCGCAATCTCACAAACAACGATGATCAGAGAGAATTTTTTATTTCTGCCCTTCAATTTTTCAAGTGCACAAATAAATATTTGTTTATTAGCCTTCTATCGATTATACTATAGATCTGGCAGTGTCTATAGCTACTTGTAGATGATACTCTAATATAAATAAGCAATTAGTCAATTTTTCAAATTTAAGCTCTTCTGACCATTAATTTTTATTGTCTACGATCGTGGTAACTCCTCGTGGGTTCCACGTAATATACAGGGGTTCTACAAACCAGATGCCGAAATACGCTACTTATGCCTCTTGACTGTGCAGCTGCATTGGCATTGTGTATGACTGATATTTCAAGTTTCATTACATCCTATACTTCCTGTTCACCTTAATGATGAGCTGGCTACATAGGTTTCTCTAATTGGGATTGTTCCGATGCCTTATTTTCTGTTCCATATTTGCGACTCTTATTTTTTGGCTCGGTAGTTCAGTTCTTCCAACTAATTCCCAATGTATTTATTCTCCGAAGAATAGAATTCCGGCTGAAAAAGTTCGTAGTGTAATACTTTTGATTCTCTCCGGTTTCTAAGAGAAAACAAGAGTTGGTAAGCGCTACATCCTCTGCTAGTTGGTACGTGTGCTGTAGTCGAATTCTTGTGATATAAAACCGGATATACAATGTACAGGCGATCAGAAACACGATACAGAGAAAAAATGGATAATCGTGTGACGGCTTACCGATCTATGTCAAGTAATTAAAAAATAAAATGCAATGAATTCCAGGACTTGAGGTGAAACCAGGCCCTCTATTGACCATATAATTTACGGTAAAATATTAAGCAGCTGGTTTTTCAGAGTTATACACAAATTAGACCCAAGGTCCTTCGATGCTTTATGATCCAATAAGACGAACATCGAAACCTATATGCTCACTATATATAAGAATAATTTCACCGAACTAACAGGAATTGGGTACTCTGGCCGAGTTGGTCTAAGGCGCCAGGGTAAGGTCCTGGTCTCTTCGGAGGCGCGAGTTCGAATCTCGCGGGTATCATTATCCATTACCAGCAATTCCTTTCTTTTTTGCTCTCGGTATAATTAAATACGAAGGTAACCTGAAGGTGAAATAGAATAAAACGTAAGGGAATTTTGAATGTATTACGAAGCTAATGTTATGTATGGGCTGTTTCAATTACATTGAGTAAATTTTAAAACTGAAAAAAATCCTTTTAACGGTATATATTTATCTGCAGAATATTCAAGTATATGCATTAACTGTATAAATACTGAGAAGAAGAATCGACATGTCATAACTAGCATAACATATTTTGCCCAATATCAAATTGGGAATTAGGGCGAATATTTGACTCACATAATAACACAGCATTTGGATTTGTTCTTGGATTCCGCATTGGAAGCGTCGTTTTTGGCTTGGTTGGAACGGGCATTTTTGGCCAGGTTTTTGCTCTTAGAAGTACTTTTTGTAGTATCAGCAACGCCTACATTGTTACTGGCAGCTTCTTCGGCTGTCATGTCATTCTGCTTCTGTAATTCTTTTTGCTGTTTCTTTTCTGCACTAGTAGCAGCGTCTTTTCTCATAATTTGTCTTACAACGTCGATGAATGCCTCGTCAACATTTGTCTTATACATGGCACTAGTTTCATAGAATGGCACATTACCCCAGTCCTGGGACACTTTTATCCCATCGTCTATACTTAATACTCTGTCGTCATTCAAATCACATTTGTTACCAATTAAGACCATTGGCACATTATCAGAATCTTTGATACGCAAAACCTGTTCTCTCAACGCCAATAATTCCTTCAACGAGTTTTCGTCGGTCACAGAGTATACTAGCAAGAATCCCTTACCTGATTTGATGTACAATTCTCTCATGGCTGTGAACTGGGCTACCCCAGCCGTATCCAAAATTTCCAAATCACAGGCCCTACCATCTATTTCAATTTGCTTTCTGTATGAGTCTTCAATAGTTGGATCGTAACTTTCGACATAAACCCCTTGAACAAATTGGACCGTAACTGATGACTTACCGACCCCACCAGCTCCTAAAACGACTACTTTATAATCTATGTCTGTTAGTATAACGCAATTTCTTGTAATATCTATTTTTCACCACACATACCTCTCATGTTTCTATCAATGACCTAATTGTATTATTGCAATATTGTTATATATATATGTATAGGAATTTTCACTGTGATATGTAATGGATTATATATGAAGTATTGTTGTTTTTAAAAAATTATCAAAAGTGTACCGATTTTCCTAACGTGTCACTAAACGAGAAAAAACGAATATAGATTAGGCGATTGCAAACCCCAGACAATAATTACAAGCAACTGAATGCATCAAAATGAAAATTATATAGGCATATATAATGAATCACATATATAATATAAATGCACCACCCACCTGTCTTTCTCTTAGTGCATTAAAGCCACAGGCTTAGAATACTAGAATCCTGGCAACTTTAGAATCATCTACAATTGTAAAATATCTGGCACAGGGCCCAATGGTGTAATTCCGTGAGGATTTATACCTACGTGAGATTTAGTGTAATGGTTTTTGATATGATGGAAGTCGGTAGTTTCGTTGAAGCCAGGAATTTTCCAGTATAATAATCTCAACCAATTGTGAATATTAGGATAATCATATCTGATCATCTTTAAATTACACTTGAAGTGTTGCACATAAACAGAATCAAATCTAACGATTGTGGTGAACAATCTAATATCGGCTTCGGTAATTTTATTGTCTAATAAAAACTCAATTTTGTTAGCACCTTCGTGGTTCTTGGCCAAGATTTGCTCAACTTTATCAAGATGATTAAAAACATTAACTACTTCCTTGTCATAAACCTCCTGTTTTGTAGAGAAACCAGTCTTATAAACACCATTGTTGATATTGTCATAAATCCATGAATTGATTTCATCGATGGCACCTCTCATCTCCTCTGGATACAAATCTATTTCAGCGTACTCAGACGATAATAACGAATTGAACTCGGTATTAAACATTCTCAATATTTCACTCGATTCGTTGTTGACGATGGTTTCCAATTTCTTATCCCATAAGACTGGAACCGTAAATCTGCCCGCGTATTCTGGATCTGCCTTGAAATACAATTGCTTGATTCTTTCGAATCCGTACAAGTGATCTTCAGTACCATTCAGGATATCGCTGTGGGATGTCCTCTTTCCAGCCTCTTCCTTATTAATGAATCTCCATCCATTACTATCCATGTGCCAATGCACAACCGATACAGAAATAATCTGAGTTAAACCTTTCAAAACTCTAGTGATTAATGTTCTGTGGGCCCATGGACATGCCATTGACACATACAAGTGATAACGGTTCAATTCAGGCTTAAATTTAGCATTTTCGGCACTGGAGATGAAATTACGGAATTTCGATGCCTGTCTCTTGTAAGACCCGGAATCATCAGCAAATTTTAAAATCTCAATTGGTTTGCCGTCTTTATTTGTAGCCATTGTGATAAGTTGTATAATTGACTATTTGTTTATTTAATTTGTCTCTATTCCGGCCAAAGATATAGCTATAAATATTAGAAGACGGATTTGCTGTGGGGGGTGAATATTACAATTGCTTCGGTCACATGAGTAATTTTTCCAAATTTTTTAGTAACCCATTATTAATTCTTCTAATTGTGATAGAACTATTGGTAATAAACTCTCTGTGGAGTGGTCTATAAATCCATACGTGCGTCATAGTACAGCTGCAATATGTATTTTGTTTCGAAACTATACTTTTCGTCTAAAATTTAAGTACTTCATATTGAGAGTTCAGTATTGCAGCAATTGCGTACTATATGTATAACGGACTAATGGGCCCAATATTCTTCTAATTCGATTTACTATTGTCTATTTGACTTTCGACTTGTTGTAGATACGTAGAGCCCTGTTATTGTAAATCTTAAGTACAAAATGCCGTAGTCGATTAGTTCTCTGTACTTTTTCTGGGTTATAACATATATAGAGTAGTATTCAATATTGAAGATAATCCGCTCGTTACATTAGTTTTATTCACTATATATATTATTCTTTGTATTATTCTTTGTATGATGGTTTCAAGACTCATCCTATCGTAAGTAATGACGGATATCAATTTGAAAATAAACGTAATTTACTTAGATTTTAACTAAATTCATGTAAAAATTCAAAATTATTTACCTATTACTTTTACATCTATAGAAAAACAAAAAGAAGCATAAACAAGCAAAAATAGATACCAAAAGCTCTAAATACAGAAACTACCTAATAATTTCTTATATATAGGCATATTCTGCTAATCAATGGCTGATAACAGATCATTTTGCAATCGATTATAGAATAATCCACAAAATTACGCTCAGAACGAATAAAAAAAAAAACATAATACACAAATAAAATCCTCACTGTAAGCGGCTCATGTATACACTTTATCAAACATCAACAACCAATAAATAAGCTGAAATAGATCTTTTGATAGTGATAATAGGGTGTAACTTGGTAAAGAGTTAATGTGTAAAGAAGTAGGGTATCTATTAATAATTAAAATTTGAATAAGACGTGAATTAACAATATGTCTCAAACGCAAGACATAAAAGCTAAACAAGGTAAAGAAGAGAGTGGAAGCGAAGGTAAATTGTCGGAGAAGAAGAACAAAGGTGAAGAAGAAAGAGCAGAGGAAGAAAAGGGCGGGAATAGTTATTTAGGAGAAGAAAAATTGGATATTAGCAAGCAAGCAGTGGTTGGTGGACCTGATAATCAACAAACAGCATCGGCTGCGTTATCACAGCAACAACAGCCTCAGAAGGCACCTCCACAAATCTCGTCGTATATGGGGTATTATAATGGAGTGATACCACCATTTTATCAATCATTTCCGTATCCTAATGTTTCGAATGCACCGTATAAGTATTACGGGCCTAAAGTTGGCCAAGCATATAATGCGGCAGCGGTCCAGGAAGGCCAACCAAACCACCAGACAATTCAAACACAGCTCCAGACACAATCGCAATTACCAGCTCAGAATCAGTTACAACCTTCGTCAAAACAACCCCAGATGTCGGTGCAACAAGTACAGGCACTTCAGGACCATCAGCATCAACATTTACAAGCAAATCTACAACAAGGGCAACAAATGCCGCTTACACAACATAATTCTCCTCATGGAATCGGGGTTGAGAATTTCCAAATATCACAGTATCAACCGACGAATACTTTTAAGGTTGGGAGGCCCAAGAAAACCGAAGATAAAATCTCGAAGAATAAATTCAATTCGAAATTCAAGACCAAAAGCATTAATGACAGACCTTATGCGTGCTCATTTCCCGGGTGTGACTGGGCCTTTGCTCGGCAGTCTGATTTAAGAAGACACGCGAAGTCACATTCAGAACCAAGTTATCATTGCCCATATTGGAGAAATGATCCAACATGCCATCGTAACGGCGGGGCATTCAACAGATTGGATGTTCTCAAGAGACATTTAAAGCTAGTCCATTATGTCCAGGATAAACACCAGATAGTTGATGGATCTAGAGAGGATCCTGGATGGTGTAGAGCATGCCAAAGAATGTTTCCAAACTCTAAAACTTTCATAGACCATTGCTTGGAATGTGCCCAACAGTTGGCCCCAGCTGAATGGAAATCAAATGATCCTCTGAAACCTGAACAGAATCAACGTCAGTTAAACAATAATCATAATACCCAAGGTATTCATATATCACACCAATATATTCCCAACAGTACTCAGGGTCATGACAATCAGATTTACCAGATTTCAGATATACCCAAAATTAATAACCAGGATACTAACGGCATTTTGCAGTCACCACCACCAAACACTGCAAGCTCAGGTAATCATGGCAATGAGAATACGCCAAGTGGACAGAATGAAAATAAAGATAATGAGTCGTTCTTTTTAGAGAAAGTACCTAGCAATCCTCATCAGAATTTTAATGTGTTTAATAATGCAGCTCACGCAAATTCAAGCTATTAACGGTAACAATAGTAATTATTATACATATACATTTCAATTATTTAAATAAATTCTTAATATAATATACACTCATTTAAGCCCATTTAACTGATTTCTTGATCAGGTTCTTCGACCCTTGTTTGGTCAAAGAAATCTAAAATAGCACAGTTTGGATGCAAAATATACACAGTTCTAGTATTTCTTGGTAATTCTTCTTGTTGATCGGTAACTGGCAACTGGTCATTATCATCCAAGCTATTTGTGACGCTCATCAATATTCTATCTTTAACTAATCTCTTCAAGACCTTGTAACATAACTTTCTTTCGTTATAATATTCCTGTTCACTTTGAATATCATCTTCTTTTTGGGTCAAGTACCAATTCACTATTTGTTCTGCTGTTAATCCTTCTCCTCCGGTGCTATCATCATCAGAAATTTTCTTTACTAATAAATTCATCATTGCTACATATTTATCATAAGAAATGGCAATAGATTCTTTCTTAGGTCTAGAAGGTTCAGCAAGAGACGTTGATCTATCATCTGTGTGATCTTGAACTTCATCTGGTCTTACTTCATCCTCAGTATTATTAGTATCAGCTGCATTATCAGCATCATCATCCATTTCTATATCATCCATTTCAACTCTGATAATAGATTGTCTCAATAAATCATAGGCTTCAGCGACAAAAGTGGGGGTAATTTCTTCAGTACAATTTGCTCTTGCGATAGCTTCTGACAATCTTATCATAGATTCTAATTGTCTTACCGTGATCCTGTAGGACGATCTACCTAAACCTTGGGCATCATCACTTCTCAATTCTTTATATCTAGTAACTAAGAAGTCTCTTGCTTCTTTTGTCATTTTAGGTTTGAAAGTCTTCGCATATTTAATGTACCTTGATAATTGTTCAGCAGAATAAGGGGGATTAATAACCGCATCACGGAACATGTGTAAATCAACTATATGAGATGCAAGCTGGGTGTCAATTTTCTCATTACAATCATCTAAAATGACGAAGAATAAATCAAATCTTGACATAATAGGTGCAGTCATATTTAAATTAGACCTCAAACCTAATTTACGATTGTATCTACCACCTATTGGATTGGCCGCAGCCAAAATGGAAGTTCTTGCATTCAATGTTGCATGAATCCCTGCTTTTGCAATTGAAATAGTCTGTTGTTCCATCGCTTCGTGAATAGCAACCTGATCAACAATATCCATCTTATCGAATTCATCAATTGCACATATACCGTTATCTGCTAACATCAAGGCACCAGCTTCAATGGTATGTTCTCCACTTTCTTCATCTTTGACCACTGCTGCAGTTAAACCTGCCGCAGAAGATGCCTTACCTGATGTATAAACAGCTCTTGGAGAAAATCCACACACATATTTAAGGAATTGTGATTTGGAAGTAGATGGATCACCTACTATACAAATATTAATATCACCTCTTAAATTAATACCATCAATTGTTTGCTTGTGGACACCTCCAAGTAACTGCAACAAAATACCCTTTTTAACTACCTCATGACCGAAGACAGCTGGACCAATAGATTTGACCAATTTATCATACACATGCTCGTCCTTAACCATTTCTTTTAATTGAGCTACTTCAGAATCGTTCAAAGAGGTCAAAAACAACTCTTGATCGCCTGGACCTTGAAAGTCGATTTCGTTATTATCATAATTATCACTTGCACCTGTGGTCTTATTAACTAAGGAAGAAACATGACACGCATGGAACGCAATTTTATATGTAAGGTCCCTGACACCTAATGCTTTCAATCCACTCACACCGGAATTTAATTCAGAGGATGCTGTTCCTCTATTTTCTTTAATAGATTGTGCTTTGATACCAGGTAAACCCAACTGTGCAACATCTGGAATAACAATTTCAATACCGGTAAATTTACACTTATCACCCGGCTTTGCCCTTTCCACAGTTTCACCTCTCAAGATCACATCTAATGTACGAGGCATGGAACCAGTTGGGATTTCGTTCGAATTCTCTTGAATTCTGACCCTTTGCCAATCAATAAACTGAGATTTAGCAACATTCAAAGTCCAATAGGATTGATTTTCACATGATGGACATGATGTGGGTTCAGTATACTTAAAAATCTGCTCAATCCCTTCAATAATCGCGGCACACATATCACAAGTGAATGAAGCCCTATATAATTCGGGTCTCACTTCTGATGTTCTGGTAACAGTACCCAGTATTGCCATTAATGAACCAATTTTATCAGTACGAATATCACGGATTCTATTCACTGTTGGCAAATTGAAGAAAGAAATTTGGAATACTCTTTCATTGGCATTGGACGCGGCAGTAGACGACGAGCCATCGCTTCCGTTTACACTTTCCTCATGGTGTTCGCCCAACAAGTTAGTGTGTAATAATGCTGGCGCATATTTCTTCAATAACCTTCTTAACCCTTTCAATAAAAACGGCATAAAACGGTAGTATTGTTCCAAGATTGCCGAAGCCAACACTCCGTTCTCTCTTCCAAGCAAGTGCTGATAGTCAATATACAAAGTACTGTACTCGTAAGTCTTCATTGCTTCAATCTGGGCAAGATATATTTTCCCTTGCCACTGGTCATCTCGGTTATCGTTTTCTTCGTCAACAAATGTTTCTATGAATTGTTCAAAACTTTCACGAACTTTTTCACCCGTCACATCAACAACCTTAGGCACCGCAATTTGCTTTCTTCTTGCAGATGCTAATGGAGCATTGTTTTGTGGAGTAGAGGCAGTTTGACTCATGTTGGTTTCACTAAATAATCCTGGATTATTACTCTGGAGTGGAAAATCTCCTGATCTTCCTACCGAAGATGGAGGTTGAGATGAATTAAGTAAATGAGCAGCATCTGATGGAATACGTCCCGGAGACGATACGAAGTTTGCCATAATCTACTTGTCTTCTATTACTTCACTAATGGAGGAATGATTAAATTATGAATATCTTGAATCCTAAAAGAAAACACAATTAGTTAAGAAAGTTATAGATAAAATGTATGGATTGAAAATTAATTCTATGAAAACATGAACGCGTTAAAAATTAATTAAGCTTCCTAATTGGGATAAATTATCAAAAAATGATTTCGATGGCCCTAATACTAGAACATAATAGACTCTTTAATAATTTCATTGTTCTATAATATATGATGTTTCTGAGGATATATGTTAGATGCTTTTCGTCTGCTGGTATCAGAAACACTGGATGTATGTACAAAATAGATCTTTTTCATTGAGAAAGTTTTACATTTCTCATAATGTTGGCCATATATTGACATAAACAGTTCCTCCTAGCTTATTGAACATTAAAGTTGGAAAGATATTACAATGTCAGAGACACGAGAATGCAGATAAGTTATATGTCAGTCAAATTCAAATTGAAGATACTCCAGAACAAGGAAATGAGAATGAGCCCAAAACACTTCAAGTGTGTTCTGGGTTGGTTGACTTTGTTCCGATAGAGCAGATGAAAAATAGAAAAGTTGCAGTTTTGGCAAACTTGAAGGCGTCGAAACAGAGGGGAGTGAAATCAGAAGCCATGTTGTTGGCAGCGGAGAAAACATTCGGCGATGATGCCGAATCGAATGACGTAAAGGTTGAGTTGATCAATCCACCTACAAACGCCAAAATAGGAGAAAAATTATATTTTGAAGGCTTTGTATTAGACGAGTATCCCTCGAAGTTAAAGAGTAAAGCATGGCAGGAGATACAGAAGCATTTGAAAACGACATCTTCGGGACAAGCTGCATATGTGACAGACGAAGGTGGGGAGTGTCTCTTGAAGTCCATTAATGAAGCATCAGACAGTGCTTTCGCAGAAACATTGAGAAATGCAATAATACGTTAAAAATTTATTTCCGTATATTCATATTTAAAGCTCTAATGAGTCTCATATATAATTCATAATTCGGTTTAAGAAGACTTTGTAGTTCTCAAGTAAGGCTTTAAGGTCTTGAAATCACCAAACTTGGCCTTAGCATCCTCATTAGAGACGGTTGGAGGAATAATGACATCTTCACCAACAGACCAGTCAATTGGGGTAGCAATACCCTTCTTGTCAGCTAATTGTAAAGCATCAATGACTCTCAAAACCTCAGAAGAGTTTCTACCGGTTGAAGCTGGGTATGTCATGATCAATCTGACCTTCTTAGCTGGATCAATAATAAACACAGATCTGACAGTTGGAACCATACCCTTACCGATGTTTTGGAAATCAGACTCAGAACACATGTCATACAAGAATGCGACCTTCCTGTCAGCATCGGCAATGATTGGGTAAGAAAACTTAGCACCACCGGAAGTGACATCTTCAATATCCTTGATCCATGCCTTGTGGCTTTCTACACCTTCTGTAGATAAACCAATCAACTTAACATCTCTTTTGTTGAATTCCGGGGCAAGTCTAGCGAAAGCTCCTAATTCAGTGGTACAGACCGGAGTAAAGTCAGCTGGATGAGAGAACAAAACAATCCATTCATTACCGATGTACTCATGGAAATCAATTTTACCTTCAGTAGTCTCGGCTGTGAAGTTTGGTGCCTCAGATCCAATTCTTATTCTTGGTTGCTCTTCAGCCTTGAAGGTAGAATAGAATTGAGTACGGCCCAATTGAATACTTGGTCTAGCATATTGGCTAACTGCATTTCTTGTACTTGGAATTGAGTTTCTCAAAGAAATTGAGCGTAATAATTGTCTACTGAACATCTTTCCTTAGTATTTAGCTTATCAATTGATCAAATATAGAAGACAAATGCCGGTACTAATACTTTTTTCACTATTTATAACGGAAGCAATTATTACAACTCACGTGATCAAACATTATAGAAGGAATCATAAACATTAAAATACTATTTACATACAGCAAAACTAATAATAAATAGAAACATAAGCGCAGCTAGTAGAAAATACAAAAGGGATTCTTGAGGCCATTCCGGCTTTAAATTGTAAGTCATAAGCATTAATTGTAGAGTTAGTTTTCAGGGATCATGTTTGCATCGAACCAACCTAAGAAATCATCGTCCTGATAATTATCATTATTTATCCAGCCATCAGATTGTTTTTGGAAAAAGTCGTCCATTTGGTCAGCAACACCATTAAATCCTGGTTGAGTTCCACTGACGTATTGGAAGTTTGATTGATTTGGAGTGCCCATAGAATGGACCTCACCTAAAGGATCACCAGGAGAAAAAAGCATGGGCTGGCCCCGAGCCATTTGCTCTATTTGTGGATGGTATTGATTTCTGGAAGCGGTTGAAAGAGGATTTGACTTATTTATTGAGTCATTTGAAAATGGAGTTGATAACGAGTTTGCTGCGTTTTCTTGGTTTGCATTTCTTGAACCGACATCTCTCATACTGCCAGTTGCTTCAAGCATAGCTAATGGGATACCGTTGATTTCCAATGGTTTATCCAAGCCATTTGCATTAGCATTCAGCTTAGCTTGAGTCAATGCGTGGTCAGTTGGCACCAAGGTAGTCACTGTTGTACCATTAGGGGTGGTGGTTGTAATTGTTTTGAAGTCGTCCTTGGTAATTTGATTATAGAATGGCAAAGGAATAGGCTTTCTTTGGTTTGAAAACACCGTATCTTCATTAGATTCTTGCTTAATCTTCTTATCTTGGGGTGGGTTTGATTTATCGGCGACAGTTCTTCTTCTTGCTTCATGTATACACCACACTAAATCATAAAACAATGAAGCAGTTAAATGTGATCTCATTCTAGTAATTATACTCCCACCAATTTCATTATTCTCGGATAAGAAAATTTCAGGATAAGTATATAAAACAATATTCAAATTTTCTAGCACTTTTGCAGTTCTAGAAATATCGTTTTGTAATTCTTTCCACGAAGATAACGTGTTTCTGAATAATCTATGCACCGTAACAATCAGCTGTCTGGAACTATCCACATATTTATCGATCAAATAACGAGATAAATGTAATTTAAACAACATTAGAACAGAATACGTTATGGCCTGTCTGACATAAATAGGAAATTCAATTAGTAATATAGTATTACTACTAATCATTTGTGATGTAAGGGTAATAATTCTCGTTGCTGAATGATATGCTGCACTAACATACTTAACTTGATCCTCAATTGGGGTACCTGGTAAAAATGCAAAACAGCAGATCATTAACTTAATATATAAATAGTATATTTCAATAGATGAACCATTTTCAATTGGTAATTTGAATTTTAATCTCTCCAATTCTCTATCCAATGTGTTTAAAGAACCTGCACGATTCAGAGGTTCCAAAAGACCATCTGGCCGTGTAACTGAAATTCCCATAACATTGACCAACTTGCATTGGAAAATAGATAATGAAATTAGACAACGGAAATTTGTAGGTAAACTTTGATCAACTCTTGCGTTCTCCAATAAATAATCAGTCGTGTTGATCAGCGGTGGTAATCCCAATACAGAAGACCAGAATTGTTCACAGAAAAATACAGCTAACCAGGTTCTCGTTCTCCAAAGTTCAGCATCAGGGCCCAAACTGGCTTGCGTTCTGCTGAATTCTTGAATGAATTCACCACCTCTATGTAAACCTAATTGTAGTGATAAATTCTTAGCCAACCCAATAAATCTATAAGAGCAATCATCCAAAACTTTTTCATTTGGTAAGGGCCATATGGAAAGTATAACAAGTGCCTGTATAACATGCGTTGATCTAGGTGTATGTGTCCAGCAAGTTTCAATTGCTAAGTGTTTGATTAATGACGCTAATGACATGTATAACGTTGGTTCTGGCTCGGACAAAGCTGCTGTTAAAATAACGGACCAGAATAAAAGCTTTGACTTATGATATAATTCTGTGGCTGAATTCGAAGTAATGATAGGTAAAAATGGCAAATGTTTAGTAATGAATCTATCATGAAGTTCATTTGCTTTATTCAAAGGGACAGAAACATCTCCTAGAACGAACTCATGAACAGTTTCAAATTCTTCATCATCCTTTACTAATTTTCCTGAATTCTCATACTTCTTTTCAACAGTGGGTGAATTATCAGTTGATGCTTCGTGTAAAATATGTCCCAAGGAGGCTGAAGTAGGAATTGCATCATTGAGAATTTGATTGCCTTGTAAATGATTGGATGGTGACAAGTTAGCACTGGTATTTACATGAGGAAAACTTGAAGCAAATGAAGGTGAATTATCAGATTGGAATTGTGATGGGGTGTTTCCACTTGAGAAATCCGAAACGGTTCCAACGGATCTTTGAATTGGGGTTGTATTATACATTTGATTTTGGGTTATGCTACCAAAGACTGGTTGCAGCTGCTGTTGTGTGAAATTCATGTTATGTTGGTTCAATGCTTGAGTTAAAAGGGACTCGTTCTTGGTTAACATTTCAATTTTTGCTTTTAATTCATCAACATCACTCTTCAATGACTGAATCTGTGAGCCTTTCTTGGGCCTGAATTGTGGATCTATCTCACACTTCAATCCCATTTTATCGCATCGGTGACATGGATTTGGGTAGTTTTCAGATGCATTACACTTAATCTTGTGCTGGCGGCAGAATGTACAAGATGTAACTGGCCTATGTCCTGTTTGCTTCGACCCTTTGTCTCCTGATTGTCCCGATATAGAAGCTTCACTCAAACTCAGCGATTTCTGCTTCTTAACCACAGTAGCATTGTTAGAGGGAAGCGATCTTCTTTTGTTTCCTCCACTATTTGTAGAACTCACAGGCGATCCTCCAGCAACCCCTGCGGATGGTTTAGGAAGTATTGATTTTATTCTAGACTTCTCCATTTGAAAGATAACTTTTACAACTAACTTTCCTACCGGAAATTCTTAAATATTGCTTGAAATATTGTTATCAAAAAGATCAAACCAAAGAGTGATTCTAGTATTTCAATTAAAATCAATAGTATATTTGTTTATCTCAAATAATGATTAGAACTATCTGAAAAGGATAAGCTCAATAATTAACACGGCTAATATACTGTTCGAAGACTAATTTAAAGAAATATATTCTATATTGAATGAATTTTTTCGTACTATAGTTGCCAGTATTTGTCTCCAGTATGATTTTTTTATGGGAATTGGTGAGACACGTCCGCTAAACGGGGTTACCCGTCTGATTGATGAAAAAGATAAAAATTTTTCGCAGATTTGCGCAATTCCACGGCATAGTTTTGTACGCAGATCGTTTAGATAATTTTGATTTCCCTATTAAGTAATTACGCCAGAGTTAGTCATTTCGGTTACTGAATTTTATACAGGCAAACTTGACATACAATAAGCAAGGCTTAATGGTGGGCGGCATTTGAGATGACAGTTAGAATAATCTGTCGAAGAAAACAATAAAAGATTTAACTGAAAAATGAACAAATATATTTTAGTGCAGAGTACAAACTATAAAGGGGCTAGTTATCATCATCTTCTGTTTTAGGATCGCCTATACCATCCTCATAAATAGCGAATACACATTCACTTTCGGGTAAGCAAGGACTGTCATAGATCTTGCAGATTCTTTGTTCTGCTCTTCCCTTTTTGAAAGACAATCTTGTAGTGGAGCTGTGGGCAATAATGTTACCACCTATAGGTTTTTTAGGGTCAGGGTTAAACATGGCACTAGCACCGTCAACTTGCGCCACTACTTGATTTGTTATTACGACAGCAATACCAAATTCATCTGCCAATCTCTGCAAGGTCCTCATGTACTTAGCGACATGCGTCTGCCTGGCCGATAATTCGGCACGCCCCGAATAATCTGTTCTGTAAAGAGACATAATAGAGTCGACAATCAAGCATGAAAACCGGGATTCAGACATCATTTGTGCAGCATGGTTCAAAAGTTGGAATTGGTGCTCGGCGTTGTAGGCCCTCGCATATGCAACATTATCTAAACAGTCTTCTGGATTCAACCCATACCTTTGAGCAATCGAAACTAAACGAACGGGTCTGAAGGTTCCCTCGGTGTCAATGTATAAACATTTACCTTCGCCACCACCCATATCGATCGGTAACTGGCATGTAACTGCCAAAGTATGGCATAATTGCGATTTACCAGTTCTAAATTCACCAAAAACCTCTGTAATAGATCCAGTCTCTATTCCACCTCCTAATAAAGTATCTAATTGCTTAGAACCGGTGGTTATACATATGAGTTCTGATCTTCTGCTGTGAAATTCTGATGCAGTGGTGAAGCCTAAGGGAACAACTTTCGCCGCTTCAAGAGAGATCTTGTCTGCCTTCGCTTCTGATATTCCCTTCACTAACAATAACGCTTTCTTGGGGGTATATGCGATACTTTCGATCGTGTGGTATCCTTCAGCCTTCAACTTTCTGATGTCGCCCGACGTGATCCCGTTGCCTTCAAGCTGTTCGATCAACAAAGGTCCACTAAGACCGTCTTCTTCATCACCAACAGGTACTTCATGATCTTGTGCATGTGCTCCTTCTGTCTGTGTCATCATGTATATATAAATCACGTATATATGATTTGCTATCTAGATAAACCTAAGATAGTATGATTAGTATGGCGCGTTAAGTCAAAATAAACAAAAAAAAAAGAGGCGCGAAGTAAATAGTCGTGCATAGAGCAAACCATTTGATTTGAATGATGCCAGTTCGATTTTATTCGTTTCTATGATTCCATCTATATGATAAACAAACTTTCAGTCCTTCTTTCAACCGAAATGAATGAAATTAGCCTTTTGTATTTGTGAGGCATTTAACATCTCGAGGGTGGCTATCCTTATGAATAACAGCTTCACAATATCATATTCTATATACGATTTCGTCTAAAGATGAAAGTGTATCATTGAGAATGATGTATTCTTTATGGATAGGTTTCCATTTAGATTTTAGTTTCCAGCACCTGGAATACTGCATTTCTTGTTCGCAGTCATTTGCTTTCTTCCATATGTTCAAGGTTCGCTTGCCGCGATGCTAATACTTCGTCGGCTATTTCGCTTAACTAGCCCATGAGATGTCTAACTCTAATAAATACCGCATCATATAGACTTCCGTATTTTACATGGTGCCCGTTTCATGTATTAAACTAAGTCTGTCTGAACTCTAACGGAGCTTTCAAAACACCCGCGCTAATCTACGATTCGGTCGGTGAGAGCTCTAAGAAAAAACTCCTAGGTTCACTCGGTTCTCATCCACACTGTAATTGGCAACCATTTACAATATCGTGGTCTACGCTCTTCTCAACAATAGCACCCCTCCTACATCACCTCTCTACGGTCAACCGTGTAGGCGTTTATTTATCGATGCCGGTGCAAACGCTGTCGACTCTTGCAACCGTTAATACAACTTATTTTTACAAACCGGTTAAAATAACTTCGTCCCAAAACCTTATCGTATCATACTTGCAGAACAGTCTCGTCGTATACTTCCATATATTCTCTCAACCAGCAAACCCTGCCGAGGACCGAATATCATGTTTATACTTACGGAGAAGTCTAAAGTTAATCTGGCATTCCCCTCATTATCGCAACTTGATCGCTACACCCATTGGGTAGACTGTCCTGTTATCTATCACCATGTAATATAACACGATATTCATATGAAAAAAAACCCCCATTAATTTCGCGCCCAATTCAATAGTCGATCTCATCGTCGTCATATTCAACTTGAACTTCTACCCCTGTTCGTCATTTGGTAGTCAGTGCAATTGTTCCATCGCATTGTACCTCGCTGGCGACTGTTTACATTTTGTCCCAATACGGCTGGTTGACGATGTGAATCTAAATATGAATTGAATAGTGCACCTACCACATTGTAAACAAAGCCATTTGCAAAATCAAAACACATTGTCAGGTGCAGTCAAAATTAATGCTCCGGTTCAGAAATACATATCATTTGAGGTCTTCCTGATAGTTTTCTACATAACAAACACCCAGTTGTCCAGAAAGATCGTGAGAGCTACTACCTTAACTACAAGAATTATTGTTGACACGTAGCTAATAATTTGGCAATAAAAACTAGCAGTCGATTGGATAAATTTCAACGCTACGAGTACGATTTATTTATTATTGGAACAACAAACTTCACAGCGACAGCGGGTAAATATAAAATACACAGCGTCAACATAAGACACCCAGAAAGCTAAGTATTAAACTAGACGACTACAATTTATAGCGCTACAACTGAGAAAAGACTTATCATAAATAATAAACAAATAAATGTCGTCACAAGTAGTGACGAACGTGGAAGAATCCACGAACAACCACAAGGCGATCAGCAATCCCAATGTGGTCAAGAGAATACATCGAGAGGTGAGATTTGGCCTGTACATTTTGGGGTCGACATTAGGGGAAGGTGAATTCGGGAAGGTGAAGCTCGGTTGGCGTAAAGATGGAAAACACCCAAGTCAGGTAGCTATCAAGTTGATTAAACGAGACACCATTATGAAGGACTCAGAAAGTGAGATTAAGATTCATCGTGAAATTAACTCGTTGAAGATGTTAAATCACCCCAATATTGTAAATCTCGTTGAGGTCATGAAGAGTGGGAAATATATCGGAATAGTATTAGAATATGCGTCGGGTGGTGAGCTATTCGATTACATATTACAACACAAATACTTGAAAGAAAATGTCGCTAAAAAGCTTTTTGCTCAGTTGGTTAGTGGTGTTGATTACATGCATTCGAAAGGCTTGATTCACCGTGACTTAAAGTTGGAAAATTTGCTTTTAGATAAACACAAAAACGTCATTATTTCGGACTTTGGATTTGTCAACTCGTACAATAAGGACAAGAATGACTTGATGAAAACTTCGTGTGGGTCTCCATGCTATGCTGCCCCTGAATTGGTTTTGACACAAGCTCCGTACGAAGGAAGAAAGGTTGATACTTGGTCCTTAGGGGTTATTTTATATGCCATGTTAGCAGGATACTTACCATTTGATGATGATCCCGAAAATGAAGATGGTTCGGACATTGTCAGGTTGTACCACTACATCTGCAAGACTCCTTTGACGTTCCCAGAATATATTTCACCTTTGGCAAGAGATTTGCTAAGAAAGATCATTGTTCCCGATCCAAAGAAAAGAATCACCATCAAGAATATCAAAAACCATCCGTGGTTAACCCCATATGTTAACTTGTTATCTGTTACCCAACCGGAATGGGACAAAGTACATAAGGATAACAGAACTGTCACCTCAAAGTCAGCTACTACTGCTAATAATAGTTATACCAACCTTATCAACTCCAATACTAATAAGAGATTTTCTATGATCAATGAAAAGACTAACAGCTCTTCATTGATGATGCCTGCGGGCAGATCATATTCATCTACAAATGTTGTAAATCAACTATACTCGAATCCTTCTGCTCCAACCACCTCATCTTCATTAGCTAATGCAGTTGCATTATCAAAGCCAAAGGATCATACTTCCGACAGATCAAGAACTCCATCTCCAACAAAACAATTACCTAACGGCAATAATTACAGTTCTAGCAATTATCAACGTGGCCACGCTAAGTCTACTTCTATATCCAATCCATATTCTTCTGCAAGTCATGCATTAAAAGCGATGGTAAGTGAAAACGATAGCAAAAGAAATTCTATGGTCTCATTGGATTCAACAACCTCATCTATGGTTTCATTATCTTCCTCATCTAAACCACACAACCAATTAACAAATCCTCATTTACCAAGATCAACAACTTATACCGGTTCAGCTATCTCTACAATTGTTGAAAGTCCATCCAAGCCAAGCCCAGGTACGCCTCCAGTCATTGATAACGAGTTTAATGTATCACATAATAACACTGCATCTAGTAGTAATATTACTAATTTGAAACCTAATAGTTCATCAAGGGAATCGGCAAAGTTACCTCATGCTAATAAGAAGCCAAGACCAACATCATATCATCCGTCATCAATGACTGCATCATTAATGAGCAATAATGGTTCATCCTTGCAAGATTACATTAAAATCCCAACACCTCTTTTACCAATACCTCAATTATTATCTACTTCCCCCACCAAAGCATCACCTAGTTCTGAAGCATCGAGCCCAATATTCCCTGAAACTAATAACTCGAGTCCTACCATCAGGTCCAATGCATCAATAAATTCCAGAAGAAATTCTGTTGTTACCCATGTCCACGTTAATGGCGTGTTGACAAGTGAAAGCAACGCAAATAATCATGAAAATAAAAGAAATTCTGTTCTAAGTTATTTGGAAGATAAAATGGATGCATTAGAACTAACAGAACTGCATAGTCCTCTGAAATCGAGTAGACCAGTTTTTACAGACAATACATCCGACACAAATATTACACCTCAAATCAATCAACAACCTATATTTGATGGACACACAGAATCACCAATAATTCAAACCAATACCACCGAGGAGCCTCAAGTAAACGACCAGTCTGTAGCAGATGGTCAAATCAAGACCGAGGGACCGAAAGAGGAACGTACAATTGAAATTGTTGATAACCAAATTGATGAGAATAAGGATGCAGATACACCCTTAGAAAATGAGACTATTTCTGAAGCTCATATTGAGAAGGCAAATATATCAAGCTCACAAGATCATACTAGTAAGCAGGACAATATACCCATAGAACTTAATGAAACATTACAGACACTTGAAGCACAGGCTGCACCTGCTGAATCCGTACCTCAGACAGTAAACCATGAACTTGTGGTTCCTTTAGATGAGCATTTAGATGATAAAGACCTTACCAACGTAACTGATGAACAAGATAAGGAAAATCTTGACAGAAAATATACTAATACTAAAAAGGAGACTTCAAAAGATATACATAAATCTTCCATAAGAGAGGTTAAAGACAATAAGAAGCGTAATAGATTCAGTTTGTTATCGTTCTATAGTAATTATAATGGCTCGTCATCTTCAAATGTCGTTTTGCAGCAAGCTCCTGCAAGCAATAGTTCTCAAAGCGGCAAGAGGATATTGGAGCCATCAATGGAACAAAACGTTCCACCCCAAATCCAGGACCAAAAGCGGAACGTGTCTAATTCATCTGGTAAATCATCTAATTCCAAAAAATCGAATAACAGTGGAACCGCTCATGTTTCTAATAATAATGGAAAAGAGGCTAGTGCTGCAAGGAAGGTCATGGACTTTTTCAAGAGAAGAAGTGTCCGGATCGGTTAAGTTTAATGCATTTTACTTATCTGCTACAATTTATTTTTATTCAATTGCAATAATCCAAGATGTTATTCTGGTACAAATGTTAAAATCATTGCAGTTTATATTTTTCTGATTTATTTTAAATACTTCAAATTCCTCTCCTCATCGTTGTTTATTAGATGATCGAATCAATCTTTTAATTTACTTATAGTGCATTTAATGAATTTTCAAGTCTTTGCTAAAGAGATTGTTGATGTATTGATTCTTTTTTTGTTTTGTGTAACCATAATTTTATTATATGGATCTTTTTTCACTTCATTATTTGATTTAAAGATTCTTAAGATAGACTGTAAATATTCGAATACTTTTGTGATATGGAAGAAAAAGTAAGATCTCAGGAGCAGTTGGTTGATCGATTAACACCAGATTATGATGAAGAAAGGAATATAGTAAATTCAGTATCCAACGAGATCAGTCTGCAAAATGATCAGTCGCAGCAAGATGACTCAGATGATGGATTGGAATCATTAGAAGAAGATACAGAAGATGCCGATTATACGTCATCATCTGATGAGTATGAAATAGAAGAAAACGATGAGTCGCTATCTACAACTATAATGCATGAAATCCAAGAGGGAACATACACTTGTTTAGTTTGCATCTCTGAAATAGATCCATTTTCAAAAGTTTGGTCTTGTGATAATTGCTATCGTGTATACGATTTAGATTGTATTAAAGATTGGGCAATTAGGGGTTCTTCAAAGGATCAATCAAGAAAGACTTGGAAATGCCCTTCATGTAATGTGGAGACGAAGAAGATACCTAAGAAGTTCTCTTGTTGGTGTGGCAAGACTACTAACCCGGCACCAAATCCTTTGAATCCATTCAGTTGTGGTAACCCATGTAATGAGCCATATGCTAATTGTATTCACAACTGTAGCTCAGTTTGCCATCCTGGGAAACATCCAGTTTGTGGTGCAATAGGACCCGTTTTGAAATGTAAGTGTGGTAAGTTCGAAAGACAATTGCCATGTTTAATTACCCCTTATGAACATAGTTGGAGATGTGACTCGCCTTGTGATACAGTGGTTTGTAATTTAGGTCATAAATGTGCATTTGGTGGATGCCACCTGGGTTTCTGTGGACAATGTCAAGAAATTATTAAAGCAAAATGTTACTGTGGCAAAGAAGAAATGGATATAAAGTGTCATGAGCGTGCACCAGAAAAGTGTTCGAGGATATCTGGAGATCTGAATTGGATTGGTGAAAGTAGTTGTTCTAGTTTGACAACGATTTATTACGAATGTGGTATCCATTTCGAGGAAATTACATGCCAACCATTGCCTACAACTACGAAGGTATGTAATTTCTCTCCTTCTAGGATAAATACCTGTTATTGCGGGAAAACAGTTGTTGATTCCTCCAGAAGAACAAAATGTACCGACCCAGTCCCAGAGTGTGATTCGGTATGTGGCAAGACGCTTAAATGTGGATGCAAGTGTTTATTAAAATGCCATTCGGGTGAGTGTATTTGTTACAACATTATGGAAGAGAAATGTTCATGTGAGAATTATTCTTATTTAGTTCCATGTAAATTTCTTCAACAAGGTTACAAACCGAAATGTAACCATAAGTGTCCAGTTTTGCTAAACTGCCGGAAACATGTACATAAGGAAGTTTGCTGTCCTTATGAACAAATTGCACTAAGACGTGAAAGAGTAAAGAAGAAGGCCATTAGAAACAGAATACGCTCAACTTTCAATAATGATGAAGAATTAATGACTATGGAGCCAATACATATATGTACTCGAACTTGTAATAGGTTAAAACTGTGTGGAGAACACTACTGCGAAGCTTTATGTCATAGTGGATCTTGTGGAGTATGCTTGGAATCATCAAATGAAGATTTAGTCTGTCACTGTGGTAAAACTGTAATTCCCGCCCCAGTCCGATGCGGCACCAAGATTGAATGTCATTATCAATGTGAGAGAGAAAAAGCATGTGGACACAGACAGGAGCCACATAACTGTCATGATGATACGGTTGACTGCCCAAAGTGTACTAAGTTAGTAGCAAAAGAATGTGAATGTGGTTTGAAAAGTGATATTCCAAATATATTATGCTCTCAAAAGAACGTGTCTTGTGGTACAGTTTGTAGAGTTCCGAAAAACTGTGGTCATCCGTGTATGAGAGTATGCTCTAGTGATTGTACTAAAAGTAATACGCATGCTTCATCTACATTATGTCAGTCAGCTTGTCGAAAAAAAAGAAATAGCTGTCCTCATTATTGTCATTTAAAGTGTCATTATAATAAAACTGGAAAATCGCCTAAATGTGATGCAACTGTTTGTTCTGATCCAGTTAGAGTATCTTGTGCTTGTGGCCGTATTTCGAGAACAATTTCATGTGGAAGTTCTTTGGAGGAGGATACAAAGATAGGTACTATTTTAGAATGCGATGAAGAATGTGAAAAAAATAAGAAAGATATTGATTTGAGAAAAGCATTGGATTTATCAGATGATGAATCATCTCTCTTGTCGGATATACCTTATCTGGAGAATTTGATGAACGTGTATGAAAGACAAACTACTTGGTGTTCTCGAATTGAAGGCACATTACGGGGATTTATAGTAGATTTTCAAAATAACAAACCAGAAGCTGAAAGTATTCCAGCTTTCAACAATAGGTTATACCAGTTCCCACCTATGTCAGCACCTCAAAGGTCATTTTTAGAAGAGTTAGCTTCTAATTATAAAATGTATACGGAGCAGCAAGATTCAGGATCAGGTAAATCCATATTTGTTGTTATAACGGAATCTACCGAGTTGCCAGAGCTTACTATTAGTGAAGCAGTTTTGCATAAACAGGAAATATTATTAGAGGCATCAAAGGCTGATCGATTAAAACAAAAAGATATCGATAATGCTTTATTTAATGCGTTGATAATTCAAGATGTTTTCTTTGGTATTGTTAAAGATGAATTGGATAGAGAATTAAAAGGTGTGATAGAGTCATTTGGAATAGAAGATCCTACCTTAGAGTGGATGAAAGAGTCAACTTACGTATTTTATTCTAAAAGCACTTTCCAAACCATAGATATCAAGGGAGAGAATGACCTATATTTGCTAATGAAATCATTCCGGAAAGTTTTGAGAGAAAAATCTTTAGCGTTTGATTGTAAATTATGTCTCCTTGATGACACAGCCAACTATATTTTAAAGATTGATGAAAAAAATGCACATGCACCTAAAACAGAAGATGGCTCAGTTGTATCAGAAACATCAATGAATGGCCAAAGCAACCAATTTCATTTATTGGGCGAACCGGAACCTGAAGAACCCGGAGATGCATAAGTGTGTAATTTAGCAATACATTATTCTATATTTTGTATTTATGTATTTATAATTATATATATATATATATATTTCCATGAAGATTTATGATACAGTAGTTTAATGTTGATTTATTAGTCTATTCGTGCGTAACTACAGGTTCAGATGAATTTGAAAGACTAGAATTAGGTTTCTCTAAATCTTCAGTCTTTTCAGAAGTACTTTTATGTTTTCTTCTTCTTTTAGGTTTTGGTTGAGAAGTGTTTTTGGCGTCTTGACTAGGCCTGGAATCGGTGTTCACAGTTTTCTTTTTTTTCATACTAAGAGGATTTGGCTCTTTTGGTCCTTTTCTTTTCTTCGTAGGGGGTTTCTCACTTCCTTCAGTTTTAAGTTCCTCTTGTTTATTAATCTTTCCAACTTCTACATCATTCAACCCACCTGTAAGCTTGTTACGTTCAAAAGAATTCGAGTAGGATGTAGTAGCTTCAGACATTGGTTCCATGACCATAACAGACCTATTCATATAGATTAAAGGAACACCAGGAACTCTACTTAATTTGTTTCTTAACAGCTTATCTTGGGTAGCTACCAAATACCTATGTTTATTCTCACCATTAATGTCTACAATGGACTTGATACATTCTGATGATGGGATGGGGTTCGCTGGTGGATGGTTACAACGTCTTCTTTCAAACAGCTTAGCAATACTAATTGCATCTTGGTTATTTGTTTTATACAATGCTTCAATCGAACATTGTGTTATCATTGGTTTTGTTTCTCCTTGTATAGTACGATTCAACCCTTTAGCAATATCAAAAGATGCTTTTTGACAATTCAAAATAATCTCATCATCAACGATGGTTTGAAAAGGTTCTCTAAACTTGAATGTATGCAAGTACACATTCATCTGCTTTTTGTAAGACTTAGCTCTCTTTTGTCTCATATTGAATAATATCTACTCTATATATTATTCAAATGTTGATATCTTTAAGATCACTCTATCATATTTTTTCAGAGATGAGTAGATTTTACGTTGAGGCTCATAACCAAAATTTTCATAACAATCTACATTTGTTCAACACTACAAGTTAGACTTAATTGATAAGACTTATTAGCAGGCTTTAATAAAGAATTTAAGAATAGGATTGATTCAATTAATCTGATGTTAGTAGTATTATGAATGTATTCAGAAATTTAATAAGTAATACTAGCAGCGAAGGCACAAAATGGTTCATCTCTTCATAGAGGATTGAAGCATCAGACGACATTTCCAGGCTCGATCTCATTTCGAGTTCAAACAGAGTTCATGACAACGTTACGAGATAATACTTAATTTGTGGAGTTTCAACAAAATTACACCAAGGCGTGGCGAGGCTTAACCAAAAAGGATTCTGTCCGGGATTTGCACCAACAGAAACAATTATTTTGGGCAAGTCTAACTTCATAACATATGATATATCCCTCGCTGTGAATCCATGTATACAAGGGATGAACGGGGAACATAAATAATGAATATCTTATGCGAAACAAATTATCAAATCACAAAGTTTAGTATGTCATTTTGTATGATAGATTGCTGATGCCACTTGTGATAAGCAGGAGCTATATGTGCCAGGTAGTTGTAGACGCGACAACTAACTCCACAATATGCTTGCATTGTAAGCCAATTTAGTTGCAGACAATCATAGCAAGAAACTTAGTCTATTGTTCTGAGTCGCGGAAATGTGATTTGGAATTGGTGATAATCATTAATGCATGATTGGAATCTTTATATTCACAAATTCTATACCCGAGTAATATTCATATACTACATAGCATAACTTACCATTATTATGGTCTAATTGTTTTAAGCAATTAATTTAAAAATCAACTTTGAATATCATGATTTTCACTGTCCCGTTCTTTAAGAATATACCCGATATGCGCATTCATGCATAATCAAACTCAAACTTAATTTCAAATTGAAGTACTGTACTGTTAACTATCACAGAACTGAAAGCAATTCACTCTTACCTTTTGTAAGTCACACATTAGTATCGCACCCCATGTCCTACTTGTGACTTTATCTATACCATAACAGAAAGGGGAGTCATCAAAAAATTTGAATCTCATATTATCTAACCGAAAAACCGACCTAGTATTGAACGGCCTCTATCGGATCACTAGTTCATATCTCTTATCATACATTTATTAACTTAAATGAGATAGGCCTTACATCATGGATAGATGGTAAAGCATCATACAATTCGTATTCTATGATAATAATGCAAGCTGACAACGCGCATTGGTGCCGTACATCGAAGGATGGTAAAGGACATGTTGAATTATCTATCCGGGCCGATGAAAATTATACCTTTGGCTAAAGATAGAATATCTTGCTGATATTGTTTGATATGAAGCATTCCTTTTAAGGTATAGGCCTATTAATGCTAAGGCAAGCATGCTTCTGCATAAGCGGAGGACCATAAAATATAATAAGATCAGCTCAAATTTAGAAGAGATATGTAGTCTTAAGAATTATTTTATGGCCGTACCAAAGCTGATGCATGAAGCATATTTCCTTGAAATACTTATTTTGATATGCATTTGGGCCATTGCAACTCACGGCTACTAAATTCAAAGATAAACGAAATCAAACTAATCACGTTAAGTGATTAAATTCTTATCAAATATTTTTCATCAATGTTTTCCTATTCCTATAAATATGGTACGATCTGTCTTATTCCACGTTTCTAATCAGACTTAGACTTCAACTACTCTTATAGATAGTTAAAGCATAAGAGAGTAATTAGCAGGATGGAAAAAATCAAAAAGGCATTATCTAAAGATCCTGGAGTAGAAATCGAAAGCAAGAAAGTCAACGATATTGAATCAGTTGAAGTGGACGTATTAGTGGCATCAAAATCTCAAGAATTTGACCCAGTTACTTCCAACCTTGAGAAAGTTATTCTTGATGACGACTATGCTGCAGTCACTGTCGAAGATGATTCACCATACGCTGAAGTCAGAGCATCTGTTCCAAGTAGTGACGATGCTGAATTACCCCAGAATACTATTAGAATGTGGGTTCTTGGTATGATTTTCAATACTATTGGTTCGGCTTTAAATTTGTTGTTTTCTCTTCATTCTCCACAAATCATTCTTACCACTCTTGTTACTTCACTTCTTGCTTGGCCCTTTGGTATGGCATGGGCTAAGTTCATCCCTAATATTAAAATATTTGGTGCACCTTTGAATCCTGGTCCATTTAATATTAAGGAGCACACTCTTATTGTTATTATGGCTAACGTCTCCTTTGGTGGTGGTGCTGCGTATGCAACTGATATTTTGTTATCCCAAAATAAGTTTTACAACCAGGATTTTGGATGGGGGTTTGACTTGCTTGCAATCTGGTCTACCCAATGTATTGGTTTTGCTTTAGGTGGTTTGGCTCGTAGAGTTTTGGTGAACCCTGCTTCTATGATCTGGCCACAGAATTTAGTTACCGTTACGTTCTTAACTAATTTACACATCAACCATAACCACATCGCTGACGGCTGGAAAATCTCAAGATTATATTTCTTTGGCTTGATTGGTATCTGTTCATTCCTTTGGTATTGGTTCCCAAATTATATTTTTCAAGCATTATCCTGGTTTGCATTTCCTACTTGGATTGCTCCAAAGAATGTAATTGTTAACCAAGTTTTCGGTGCTTCTACTGGGTTGGGATTGATTCCTATTACGTTCGATTGGAATCAAATTTCAGGTTATATCGGTTCTCCATTAATTCCACCAGCAAGTGCTATTGCGACTATTCTTTTATCGATGGTAACAATTTTCTGGATCGTGGTTCCTGCGATACATTATTCTAATACATGGTATGCACAATATTTGCCAATTTCAAGTTCAGGATCTTACGATAGATATGGAAGCACCTATAATGTTTCAAGAATTATCAACAAAGCCACATTAAGTTTCGATAAAAAGAGTTATGAAAGTTATTCTCCTCTTTTCTTATCAACCACATTTGCTATGTCATATGGTTTATCCTTCGCAGCTATGTTTGCAACATTGATGCATACAGCTTTATTCCATGGTAAGGATATTATTAGGCAATTGAAGCAAAAGGAAAAACCAGACGTTCATATGAGATTAATGAAACAAAATTATAAAGATGTACCTGAATGGTGGTTCCTTGTCGTCTTCTTCATTTTCTTCGCCCTTTCGATAGTAACCATCAGATGTTGGAATACAGAGATGCCAGTCTTCGCATTAATTGTTGCTCTTTTGATTGCAATTCTCTTCTTACTTCCTGTTGGTATTATTTTCGCTTTGACTAATATTGGTGTTGGTTTAAATGTTGTGACTGAATTCATTATCGGATATATGGTTCCAGGTAAACCATTAGCAATGATGTTCTTCAAAACATACGGATACATCACAAATAACCAAGCAGTCACATTCGTACAAGACATGAAATTGGGACATTATATGAAGATCGCACCACGTCTTTTATTTACAGCACAATTCGTCGCCAGTTTGTGGGGTTCCTTAGTTCAAGTTGCCACATTAAAATGGGCATATGGTAACATCAAAGACTTATGTCAGCCAGATCAGGCAAACAACTACACTTGTCCAAACGGTAAAGTCTTTTTCAATGCCAGTATTATCTGGGGTGTTATTGGTCCTCAACGTCAATTTTCGCAAGGCCAGATTTATTACGGCTTGTTATTCTTCTTCGTTGTTGGTGCACTTTTGCCAGTCATGAACTGGCTCATCTTGAAAAAATGGCCTAATAGTCCTATTAGATGGTTGAACTGGCCAGTTTTCTTCTCTGGTACTGGTTACATCCCTCCTGCAACTCCTTACAACTACTCAGCATACTGTGCAGTTGGATTGACCTTCGGATACTGGATCAAGAGAAGATGGTTCCACTGGTGGTCCAAATACAATTATTCCTTATCTGCCGGTTTAGATATAGGTATGGCTTGGTCCTCTGTTATCATCTTCTTGACCATTTCTTTAACTAATACTGCTGCACCAAATTGGTGGGGAAATAATGTTCTCGATTCCACAATGGATATGCAAGGTACTGCCATCAGACATCCATTAGCAGAAGGTGAATCGTTTGGCCCTTCTTCATGGTAAGCGTCATCTAAATCTCAATTTTTCTTTTTTTTTTTAGTTATGTACTCACTCTTTTTTTCATTTTAATTCCGTGTAATTCTCCTAAACCGATAGACCTTATATCGATTTGTTTCTATGGTCATTGTAATTGTTAATAGCTTCGTTCCTTTTTATGAAATTAGTCCCCCAGATACTTTTATTTGTAATTGCAAATGTAGTCAGGTGATATCAATTTGTCCCAGATTACGTAACGTTTAAGAAATTTCAATCTCGAGGATTCTTGAAAATTTTTGGTTAACTTGACCTTGAATGTTATCTTAATCTACCAAGAAAATATATTATATCAAGATGCAAAGGGCTTTATTGAGTTCATTAAGAAGATCAGCAGCTGTTCGTTCGGGTGCTAGCTCGATGAGGGTTGTGAGACCTAGTGTAATCGCACCAAGGATGGGCATGATCCGTTTTGCCTCTACCGAAGCATCCAAGGAAGAAGGAAAGGAAGAGAACGCTGGAGCACAAGAATCTAAGGCTCAAGATACAGAAACATCAGCGGAAGGAGCCAAGGCTGAAGTCAGTGAGATTGACGAATTGAAGGCCAAATTGACAAAGAAAGACAAAGAATTGGCCGACATGAAAAATCACTATGCTAGGGCTATTGCTGATTTCCGTAACTTACAAGAATCCACCAAACAAGAAAAGCAAAAGGCAAGAGATTTTGCTTTACAGAAGTTCGCCAAGGACTTGTTAGAGTCTGTCGACAACTTTGACTTAGCTTTGAATGCTGTCAAGGAAGACACCTTGAAGACCAATGCTGAGGTTAAAAACTTGTACGACGGTGTTGACATGACAAGAAATGTTTTTGAAAAGACCTTGGCAAGACATGGAATTGAAAAGGTTGACCCAATTGGTCAGCAATTTGACCCTAATCAACACGAAGCTACCTTTGAAATTGCACAACCAGACAAAGAGCCAGGTACCGTTTTCCACGTTCAGCAAAATGGTTACACTTTAAACTCAAGAGTGTTGAGACCAGCCAAGGTCGGTGTTGTCAAGGACACTGAAAACTAATGAAAATTCATGTTGTAAATATTGTTTCGTTTGCTGTGTTGCATTTCTTTAATATACTAGCCTTATAGCTGTTTTGATTTTTACATTTAAATATGAAAATTTTCCAGAAGGAGGTAAGGAACTGAGGGTATCATAATTCTTCCTTTACTACGAAAAATGCTTATTTCATGTCTAGATTATCTTGTATATAATGTTTTTAATGTTACTATATTATACTTTTTCGATTAATTAATGACTAATTTTCAATGTCACAACGTTCTAATAAAAGATCTACATCTAACGTATTCAAATCGTATGGTTCTTGTGGTTGCATACAATTCCGATACGGAAGTTGGGGCCATATTGCACGTGCCGTGACTCACTTCTGATACTGAAAAATCGACAACGTTAAGTACTGAAAACTACATTGATCTTGACACATTGACTTGAAATTATACAAAATGTCTTCAATTATCCGTCGTACTTTCTCTACCTCGACCACTGCTTTAAAATCCTTAAAAATTGGTTTAATTGCCGGTGATGGTATCGGTCGTGAAGTTATGCCAGCTGGTCAAGCTGTCTTAGAAAACTTACCATCCAAATACGATTTACAATTTGAATTTGTTAACTTAGATGCTGGTTTTGAATATTTCCAAAAGAACGGAACTGCCTTACCACAAGAAACTGTTGACATTTTGCAAAAAGAATGTGACGGTGCTTTATTTGGTGCTGTTTCTTCTCCAACAACTAAGGTTGAAGGTTACTCTTCCCCAATTGTTGCCTTAAGAAAGAAGATGGGTTTATACGCTAACGTTCGTCCGGTCAAGTCTGTTGATGGTAACGGTAGATCCGTTGATATGGTTATTGTCCGTGAAAACACCGAAGATTTATACATCAAGGAAGAAAAGTCCTATACCAAGGAAGATGGAACCAGAGTTGCAGAAGCCATCAAGAGAATCACTGAAACTGCCACCTCCAGAATCGCTAAGATGGCTTATGATATTGCTTTGCAAAGACAAGCTATCAGAAAAGCAAACCCTGGCTTAAAATCTTTACACGAAAATCCATCTGTCACCGTTACTCACAAATCTAACGTCTTATCCCAATCTGATGGTTTATTCCGTGAAGTTTGTCGTCAAGTTTACGATGAAAATGCTGATAAGTACAAGGATGTTGCTCACAAGGAACAAATTGTTGACTCTATGGTGTACCGTATGTTCAGAGAACCAGAAATTTTCGACGTCGTTGTTGCCCCAAACTTGTATGGTGATATTTTAAGTGATGGTGCTGCTGCTTTGGTTGGTTCCTTAGGTGTCGTTCCATCTGCTAATGTTGGTGATAACTTCGCTATTGGTGAACCATGTCATGGATCTGCTCCAGACATCCAAGGTAAGGGTATCTCAAACCCAATTGCTACTATCAGATCTACTGCTTTAATGTTAGAATTCATGGGCTACCCTGAACCAGCTGCTGATATCTACGCTGCTGTTGATGCTAACTTGATTGAAAATAAGATTAAGACTCCAGACTTAGGTGGTTCTTCATCCACTCAAGAAGTTATTGACGATATTGTCAGACGTTTCTAATTCTTATGGTATTTACATGAGATGTCTATATATTGTACATACGCAGTATATCTGCTTTGAATAAAAAAATTACAAATCTATTAATCAAATCCCGACCATTCTTCGTCCTGTTCTTCTGCTTCTTCATCAATATCATTGGTATTATTTTGCAACATATTATCCGGCTTTCTACTTTTTATATCATTTTTAACAAAGCATGCTGCAAAGAATCCTATTCCTCCATCTTCCTTTGGTGTTGCTCTAACACAACCACCTGCAAGCGCCTCGCATTCCTCCTCATTACCCCCACAAATGGCAGTAAATTCTTCTTTCCATCCTCTTTTGGGCCACTCAGAAATCACGACATCTCTAGAGGCTAATTGCCATCCAGATGCCTTGATGTCTTTGTCCATCAATAAATCAACAACCACTCTTTCATTTTCATGTGGATGAATTGAACATGTTGAATAAACAACCTTTCTGGCTTTTGGGAACAGCAAGGCATGTTTCATGATCTTGAATTGGAACCCGGCCAATCTGTTAAGTCTTTCAGTATCGATTTCTTCCTTTTCCTGTTCTTGCAGCTGTGCATCTTCAATAGCACGTCCAAATATACCTGAACCACTACATGATGGATCCACTACAAGGCCTGTAACATTTGGAAAGTCCTGTGGATTTGTGGATGTAAAATCAGTGTGCGTTATCTGAATTAAGTTCTTATTTTTGGTTCCAGTGGCCTTTTCGCACATAGTTTTAAGAACCTTTACACGGTTAGAGTCCCGCTCAAAGGCATATACTACTGAATCTTCAGTTCTTGGTAAATAGGACGCACAATGAGTAGTCTTGTTCCCCGGAGCTGCACATGAATCGATAATTTCGACATGCTTGTCTGAGGGATCATCATTAAGAATATGAGCAGGGAAACATGAGGCCCTGTCTTGAATGATTACTTCACCCTTAAGGTATGCTGGGGTAGACGTCAATTTCTCTTTGGGATGAATACCGTACAAATTAGGAATATAATCGTCTGTGTATATAAATCCTGGTGCTTTAATGTCAATTGAGCTGACAGGCTCCAATTTAGCAAAAAATGGATGGTCTTTGAAAAATTTCTCTGGTGTGGTCTTGATAGTGTTTACACGAAACCATCTGATAGGTGTTTCATCATCAGTTGAAACGTTAGTTGGTAAATCTTCTGCCGATTTCGCTTTATACTTTAACTTGAGTTTAGTATACTCTGCTTGAAGTCTAGTCTTATGCTGCAAGATAGCATCCTTAATAGGATGTTTTCCCAGTTGAATCCTACCTTTAGAAGAAAACAACAAGTCATGCACAACTAAGAATAACAAGTTGTCACTGATCTTTAATTTCTTGGTTTGGAGTGTCTGCTTTATTTTAGACTTACGAATAATCGTTTGTATGTGCTCTTTGTACTTTAAAGTGGAATAAACCAATGCATAAATATGTTTTGGGGAGTTAACCAACTTCGCCTCATTAAAAATACGAGATTGTAAACTCCCACCTGATCCTTTGCCCTTGTAAGGACTCAAGAATTGCTCCGCTTCAAAGTATAGTTTCATTTTTCTTGGTAGTCATGATAATAGCTGTGAATTTTTTCGATGAGCCAGTTTTTTATCTTGATCGCGGGCTCTAGCCGAGAGCATTTTTGTGTACCTTATTGGATCCTCTATTGAATCGTAGGAGGTTCATTATATTTCAATTGGTACTGAAGAATCTAAAGGCACTAAGGTGTATTAAATAGCATTAATTATCATGCCACTACCTCCACCGAATACATATCCACCAGGTACAAAATTGACTGTAGGATCCCATGATATTTCAATCATTAAATACTTATCTGAAGGAGGGTTCGCTCATGTTTACACTTGTTATATAGATCCGCCATTCAAGGGATCGAATATTGCATGTTTGAAGAGGGTAGCTGTTCCCAATAAATTGCAGTTGAATCTTTTGAGACAGGAGGTTGATGCAATGAAAAGATTGAAAGGAAACACACATATTGTTTCTTATATTGATTCGCATGCGTCGAGACTTGGCAATCCAGGAGGTGGACATTCAACAGCACAGCAGTATGAAGTGTTTGTGTTGATGGAGTATTGTTCGAAGAATGGATTGATAGATTTCATGAACACAAGGTTGACACACAAGCTCACGGAGCCTGAAATTTTGACTATAATGCATGATATAACCATAGGAGTGGCTATGTGCCATCATTTGAAGCCGCCATTATTGCATCGAGACATTAAAATAGAGAATGTGTTAATTGACTCGAAAGGTGTTTATAAGTTGTGTGACTTTGGATCAGCGGTAGGGTACCTTCCCGTACCTAAAAATGCAAACGAGTTCAGGGAATTACACGAAGACTTAATGCAGCATACAACTCCACAATATAGGGCCCCAGAGATGATTGATTTATCTAGAGGATTTCCAATTGATGATAAACTGGATATTTGGGCATTAGGGTGCTTTCTATATAAACTCTGTTACTATACAACGCCGTTCGAGCTGCCAAGTCATTCCTCGTTACAAGATATGGAAAAGCTGATTCTCAATTGCAGTAATACTTTAAAATTACCACATAATCATCCTGGTCTGCTGTTCTCATTAAGGTTGAAAAATGTTATTAAGTGTTGCTTGAGAGAAGACCCTAGGAGAAGACCTAACGCAGTTCAATTGTTAGAAGAAATATGCTTAATGAAAGGTATCACAAAAGTTCCAGATGTTATTCCATACACTTTGAAAGAGCATCATGGTCATAACAAAGCACATTCCCATATGGCAAACAATACACATCATAGATCGCATGATATAGATGAAAAGGCTCCAATTTTACCTGAAAGAAAACATTCTTCACCTTCGAATATATCAGTTGACCACAAGAATAACACTTCTAAGCCAGTAGACCCGTTTGCATCTATAGATAAATCGAAGATGTTGCAACATTCTGCGTCGACAAGTAATAAAATTTCGGAGAAGAAGACAATTCATAGACCAATGTCTACGTATATGCCCACTTATTCGGCTACTAGTGCCAAACCGAAGCCTAAACCTAGACCTTTGAGCTCTTATATTGAAGATGATATGAAAGGCCGGCAATATAGATCTGCCTCACCATTACAAACAGCACCTTCTACCACATCATTACAGGACTTTATTAAACAACAGATAAATGAAAGTAACGATGATATATCTACTAAAAAATTACAAGATCAAGACCAGAGCACCTTAGATTTTTTGAAGAGTAAAGAAGAAGAAACCCAAAAAGGCTTGCTGCTGAGACAGAACACAGGTGGTAGTTTGAAACAATCTATTAGAAATGGATTAAGAAAATTCAGTACAGGGGGAAGTAGTAATGGCATTCATGGTAACTATAGTTCTGAAAATTTATCGCAAAATAAAAGATCTAGTATATCGTCTATCAAGCAAATATTTACTGGAAGCTCGTACAAGAAGTCAAGTTCTGATGAACCAAGTGATTCAAGTGAGAGCTTATCGCGTGTACAGTCTCCTCAAGAAGAAAAAGGGGTCAAAAAATTGTCTATTCAACGTAGGATGCAAATGTTGATGAAGAATAGTAATGAGGACCTGCCTGTTATAAAAACAGCACATGGGTATGGCAAATTTACTGATCAGGATGACATAGCTGCTATTAACGATAATAGTACGGCTAATTCCTTGGCAAATGAAAAATATATAGATATACCAAAACGGAGTTCAGCTAACTCTCTGGTTGGTAAAGCTCGTCCAGTCCCACCAAAAGTACCACAGAGCTTGTCGTCCTCTAAAATCACGCACAACGTGAATAATAATTCAGCTAAAACTAGAGATATGAAATCTATAAAGGATTCACATAAATTTCAACATGGTTCTAAGAAACCGCCACCTAAACCTCGAAAGCCAGCTCATTTAAAGTCTCCTGAAAATGACACTAGGAACCACGAAAGAAAGTTGAGCAATGCAAGCACGATTTCTATTCCTGATGTGGATGATTTGGAAAAAGAATTTTCTAAAAGATTCCCCAGTTATGTCTAATTATTGATATGCATTTTCATTTAAACACGCTTTAATTGTATTATACTATTCTACATATTTTACAACTTTTAAATAGATAACAATTAGTCTATAAAACTACATATTATACAGTCGAAAGAGTATTAGTTGCTGCTGCCACTACTGCTATATTCTTCAATAGAGTCTAAAATGAAATCAATGCCTTCGTCAAACCTTTCACTTATAACCTCCCATAACCCGTCAGATGATGCTTTTAAAACTCTTCCAAATTTTCGCCTTGGCCTTTTACTATTATCGGCACCATTTGCCTCGTTGCCATTACTTGTGCTACCGTTAGACCTAGATGAGCCTGTTGGTCCGCTGGATCCGTTCCAGCATGAATGAAGACAACTAGTGAATACAACAGAATTTTGATAATACCAATCGACCATTGATTCATCCATGACAGGAACCAACGGTTTAAGAGCTGATCTATTAACATAGATAATTGAACCTTGAACTAAATTTTTAATTTCGCTCGATGGTCTTTTGGCATATAAATGAACTATCGATTGATATGAGTCTCCAAATCCCACAAACACTAATTTTCTTAATTGAGAAAAATAAGCCAAGTAGTTGTCCCAGACGTATAATAGCAACTCTTGTGCAAATATTGTTGGATTATAAGTTGATGCAGATTTTGAACTACCACTTTTCAATGACGGTATAGGCAATGCATAAGAAGGAATATTTATATCGATATAACCTATTCTTTCATTAGGGAAGTTAGAATTGTTACTTGTTTCTTTCTTAATTTTTTCGATCATTTGAGTCAAGGGATGTTCTAATACAATCGAAGCACTTCCCTCAATACTACCGTTAATCGGATTTATATTTGCCCATATTTCAGGTGGATCATGGACTGATATTATTATTGTTGAACAGTCATATATGTCTGGACTAGCAACAATCAAATCTTCCAAGTTAGATGGTAAATCTGTGGTGAAGAAGGAATTGTTATTTTCGGCCTTGTTTTCTGAGGCTGTCACAATAGGTAAATTAATGAATGAATATCTATTAAATAATTCTTCAACTTGATGGGACCTAATTGGATCAGCAATATTTGTGAGTTTATAAGCAGAATTGTCAGTAGGTAAATCGTACACGTCATCTAATGAATTACTTGGATTTCCTGGCTTCAAAGAATTCCAGTATTTTGACTGAATCTTTATGACTTCATCTATAACTTCCAAAGTTTCAATGTGAGGTTGCGATCTAATTGTATTTTCAGGCGGCTCTCCGACTAATACTTTTGCTACTCCCAACGCACTTTTGCTGATAGAGTCCAAATTATATCCCCCTTCCAAAACAACACATAATTTACCCTTCGCTATTCCCTTAAGTAAATGTGTCATATGACCATATCCTGATGGGGAAACATGGCACCCTCCAATTATATCCCCGTCTGCAGCATCAAACCCTGAACTGACAATAACCAAGTCAGGATCAAATTCAGTGATAACAGGTATCACGACTTTATTAAAAGCATAGAAATAATCACCATCACCCATTCCGGGAGATCTCCAGGGTATATTTAATGAATAACCTTCCCCAGCACCTTCCCCGGTTTGTGTGCTATTACCATACTTTGTGCCTGGGTAAAACTTACCATTTTCGTATCTATGAAGTGAAATATACAATACCCTTGGATCGTCGTAAAAGGCCTTCTGAGTACCATTTCCGTGATGTATATCCCAATCGAGAATCACAATTTTCCTTACTGATTCAGGATATTTCTTGAGAATGTTTTTTGCTGCAACTGCAACATTACTGAATAAACAGAATCCACCAGGTGTATCAGGTTCGGCATGATGTCCTGGAGGTCTCACTATTGCAAGCGAGTTCTTGACGCGTCCCTCAATCACGGCTTTACAGGCTTCAATAGTACCACCGCACGATAATTTAGCGGAGAGATACGAATCATTATTCACGTAAATAGAGTCGCCTCTCTCAGTTTCTTCTAATAACCGTTCGCGACTCATTGTTTCTGTTGATTCTATAAACCTCAAATGCTCCTCAGAATGAACTTCCAATATCTCCTCTGCAGATGCTTCTCTGATTGGAATTTTCACCATTAAAGGTCCTATTTCGTCAATTCCAGATAATGAACTATCCTGAATCAACCCAGCTTCTGCTAACTTCTTATAAATACGATAGATACGACGAGGATCTTCTGGATGTGGGTCAATGTACTCGAAATACGAAGTAAATATTTTAGCATGATATCTCATCCTAACATCGTATACCAATCCGGTTTTCAATGGACTATAGAACAATTGCGGTTTTGTAGGTGGAACCACGATTATGTTATTCTTGTTGTTCAAAGTTTCCTCCAATTTAACTCTCTTCGAGTCATGACCATTATCAATTTCCTCGCCATTACTCAACTCATGTTTGACCGCTATTTCATCTTCAGGTGCATTTTCAGCGATTTTCTCAACAGGTTCACCGTCCACTTTTTCGTCATACGTTTTCAGCTCCAATGGTTTAGGAGTCTCCGTATTTTCCAGGAAACTTTCGGACATATTTTTGTAGTGAATGATGTGGATTAGAAGCTAAATCTAAACTTAGTGAAAATGTATTAAGTGTACTCCAGATTGCTGGTACATACGTCTTGCTTCCAGTTACCTCGAGAGACTCAAAGGAAGATAAATGTGTAACTTGCAATTTTGGTATTTTCATATTGTAAACTGTAAACCTTTCTTAAATATTTGATACCTCTAATAAGTGGAATGAGTAAACAAGTTTATGTACAGATATAAGTGAAAAATTTACTATATGAACAAAACTATGGATAAACCCATAAGGTTTTAATTAGTAAATACCTACATCCTGAAATGACTCAGTCCTTATTAATTCCAAGTGCAAGAGACCGTGTTGACTCGCATGCGGATCTTGATCAGGACGAGCTATATTATGAACAAATTTCGCAATTGCAAAATACTCCAGGTTCGACTCACAAGGATGCATATCCATGGACATTTTCACCGGTTCCAGGGTTTTTCAGGCAAACAGATCCTAATACAGATGATTTAGTGTTTAATTATACAGAAGAAGATTTGGGGAGATTACATTCGTGGCAAGACATCGTGGAACAAATTGACGAATTAAATAAAAGCTCGCCTGAGAATGAATGTTATAAGGTGTTATTTTTGGCTCGTCATGGTGAAGGATGGCACAATATCGCATCTCATAAATACCCAGCAGAGGAATGGATGAGAAAATGGAGGTTTTTAGGTACAGATGGAGAATTAACGTGGGGTCCAGATGCCGATTTGACTGAATTGGGGATTAGACAAGCCGAAGAGAACAATATGGTGTGGAAAGATCAAATAGCCAAGGGAGCACCAATACCAAGCAAGTTTTATGTTTCTCCGTTAAAACGTTCTTGCCGTACTTTAAATTATACGTGGGAAGATATTGATATACCTAAGCCAATAGTTGTCGAAAAGTTGCGTGAAACTATTGGGATCCACTTGTGCCATAAAAGGTCTACAAAATCAGAGATTAATAAAGGGTTTCCTTCATTTCAATTTGAACCAGGTTTCTCTGAAACTGATGAGTTGGAAAAAGCGTATTCTGTCAATAGAGAAAAGTTGCATGAGCAGTTTTTGCGTATTAATGAATTTCTTCAAGAACTCTTTGAACAAGACTGGGAGAACATCAACGAGCGTATTAACGCAGAGCAATTGAAGGATAGTACTTTTCTCTCGATTACTTCACATGCTGGTACTATACGTTCTTTCATAACAGTTATAAATCATAGAAAATTTACTATACCCACTGGTGGAATGATACCGATAGTGGTCAAAGGAACTCGTAGAATTTAAATATTTATTTTTAATATACATCGACACTATCTAATCTAATATGGTTTGAACCTAACATCACTCTTCTTTTTCTTTGATCTGTCAGACTTGCCATCTTTATCCTTCTTGTCCCTTCTGGACTTCTTGTCGCTCTTATCCTTCTTTTCTTTCTTCTCTTTTCTTTCCTTCTTTTCTTTTTTCTCTTTCTTCTCTTTCTTGACAGGTTTCAGCTCCAAATCAGGTTCCGCGGTCTCCATGAGCACATCTTCCTTCGTTTCTGGTTTTGTATTTCTCAAAGTTAAATCGAAATGCTCTAACTCATAAGGCAATTCCCATGCTTTTATAGTTCCATCCTCACCACATGTTATAGCAGATCTTTGATTTGGTATCACCAATACATCCCTAACAACTTCTGCACCATGTGCATCAGGAAACCAAATTGGCCTACTTAAGTCTGTCTTTTCTAATACAGGATTAAATGGATAAAGTGACAATTTCAGTTGTGAATTAGCACCACATGCGACGTACCCGCTTGGATATACATCGACCACATATTCGCAATCAGGCCATAATTTCCTTACATCGCCAATATCATTTGGCGTAGGTTCTTCGATTTTTTCATAATTGGTATTATTTAATTCATAAAATGCTAATGTTTCCATATGAGATAAAACTGAAATACGCCTATCTTGAATAAAGTTGCAAGAATGAACTGATGCATAGTTTATAACTTGATGCAATGCATCTTCTTCGTCCTCTTGCTCGAGGTCATAAATATTCACACATCCGTCTGTAGATCCAGACATCAAAAATCGAGAATTAGGATGGAATTTTATATCTGTAATATCGTCATTATGCGAATCAATAAATGATCTTACCACATTTGTGGTGTTCCTTAAGTCCCAAATATGTAATTCGGCATCTGCTCCAACCAACTCAGTTCCTCCTGCAAGAAGATTGTTAAAATAATCAAGCGATAAAAAGTTTGAAGTTTTGGCATTAGCCAAAGTATGCACTGGTTTCCCCGAAGAGGTCCTCAAATCCCAAATTTTTAGCCCATCTGTAGAACATGACCCTACTGTAGTATCATCAATTGCTTTCATAGAATTTATACTTGATTCGTGGGCCTTCTCTATTCTCAAAATTGGAACACTAGACAAGTTTTGTAACAGGTACAAGTTAATGGATCCTCCACTCGTTGAAGATGCAAACGAACCATTATGGAGATTTGGCAAATACGACAAATTTAGTATCCAATCCTCTGCACTGTTAGCAGGCCATGCATATTTAGCGATGGCTCTCATATTACTTTGATAAGGCTCTTTGAATATTAACCAATGCTATAGTATATTCATCTATTTATCTGAATATTTTTTTTGTGTAATTTTTTAAATGAGCCAGGAGATGACATAAGTAAACAACTTTTACAATATATTAGACTAATTATTGATCAATAGGTAATAATCGTATTTCAATATGAGTAGTGTTGTTAAAAAGTCATCCCATTTCACACCTAAGCTTAAGAAGAAGGCTATAAGGAGGAAGGGAAGCTCTATATCTAAACCTACTGGTATAATAACACCTCCAACTACACAAGTTAGTCAAATAGATGATATTGATAAGGCTAATAAAGAACATAATGTGAACGATATAGGAATTGCTAGTTCACAAAAAATAGATAATAAGACTCCTAACTTCAACTTTTCGTTACAAACCAATAAGCCAGATATCTCTAATTTGGAAGAAGATGATGTTGATCCCATGGATACAACTAAGAAAATCTCACCAGATCAAGAAGAAGATTCAGAATCTGATAACGAAAGTCAAGAGGAAGCGAATGAATATGGTGATAATGATATTTTTAAGAAGCCGGAAGAGCTTAGAACGTACAGAAGACAATCATCTATTAGGGCACAAAGAAGATTATCTGGAATTACCCCAAACATAATACGAAATAGAACGGGATCGACATCGGTATCGATAACGCCTACCAGTTCTGTACAGCCAGAAGGGACAGATGGACAGGGCCAAGCTCCTATGAAGATTGGTATACCCATTTCCAAACCAAGTAAAAGAAGAGCACTGGGTGCGCATCACAGACCAGGTATCAAGAAAGCATTAGCATTGAATGCGTCAATAATACTGACCCCAAAGGAATCTCAGGAATTGGCGAGTGATGAAGAGGATAATAAAGCTGCCATTAATTTGTCGCAAGCAAAATTTGTCATTGGTATTGATCCGAAAACGAACAAATTAAGGAAATTTCGTACTGACACTGGTGAAGAAGAATCTAGTGATAATGAAGGTAAGGATTCCGACCAGGAACATGATAGTGACTCGTCTGAATCTAGGTCCAAAAGACTCAAACATAAACTGATACCTATTGCACCAAAAGACTTAGATACACGTATCACCAGTATTAAACAACTTCCACGTAAAGTTGAAGATTCCGATCTAGAATTATTTTCTCAAATAGGTGTTCAGGTCGATACTATAACCATGGCAGATTTATGTAAGCCATCGTTGCCAATTGGAGAAATCAGTGAAAATTTCCAGTTAGTTAAAGAGGCTCAAGAAAAGATCAGGAAGCAAAAACTTCGTAAAAGAGTTGATAGAATGAGAGCTCGTACAGAAAGAAAGGCTTTAGAAGAAATAACAGGTGCTAGTGATAAACCAGAGGAACAAGAACGAAAAAAGGCCCAAAATGATTTATTAAATGTTGACGATGTTCCAACAGAGAGTACAAGTATTAAGCTTTCGATGCAAAATGGAAGTATTGTTGTGGATGAAGACTCAACAATTGTTAATAGACACCGTAATCATGATACCAGTGGTAAATCAAGAGAAGAGTCTAACCCCTTCGAAAACCCAATCACATCCTCTACTTATTCCAAAAGAAAGCATACTGATCGCTGGACTCCCGAGGAGCTCAAACAGTTTTATACGGCTTTGAGTACGTGGGGAACCGATTTCACCTTTATAGCCCAGTTATTCCCATACAGAACTAGAAAGCAAATCAAACTGAAGTTCAACTTGGAAGAAAAGAAGTATCCTGAAATTGTGGAAATTGCATTAAGAAGAAAGCTTCCAGCTGACTTTGATAAGTACTGTGATGCTTCCAAAAACAAATTTGAAACCTTGGAATTTTATAACGAAGAATTAAAACAAATTAGGCTTAAGCATGAACAACATATGGCTGAAATTGTTGAAGAAAGGCAGAAGGCTATTAAGGAAGATGCAGAAGCAAGCAGAAGAAGAGAAATTGAAATTAGAACAGGTTCTAAGCCAATGACAAGAGCAGAAAAGGTTAAAGAGTTGCGTAAGAATGAAATGGTTTTGGGTTCAATCGATGATGTTAAGAAGCAGAGAACTGAAACTGATTAAGTATGCTCGCGCATATTTTACTCGGGATAGCAGATTATCAATTTTCACGTGATCCAATCTGATGAAAATTTGACTCATTCGGTAGGAATAGCATATAAAACGTGTATAGATAAGTACTGGACATATTCATGTATAAGTAATACACTCCATGAAAGCTTGAGAGATATGTCATCTCCGAAGGATTATGTTTTAGAGGTACTGCCTTCGTCAGATCGTGACAATTTAATAAAATTCACGGTAAAGCATAAGCCAAATCGCTTTTTTAAGTACTTAAAAACATCGATTTTGGTTGGGTTGGGAAGCGTGTTGGCTAGCTTTTGCTTCTGTTTAATTAGTAATAATGACATAATAATTAAGAGGCTCAATAGCAATAGTATGCCGCTAATTCAGAATAACCAAACGTTTTCTCCAGCGATTGTCAAGCTTTTTCAAGACTACATAGACTACATAGACTCCAATGATTCAAAAACAAACAGTTTCTTGTTGAATGGTGTTATTGTCACGATACTAGTCTTTCTGATGGTTCTTGTGTATAGTAAACAAGAAAAAGAGGACAGCATATTGATTATGAACGACGTTGGAATCCAGCTCAATTCGCAATCGGGATGGAAATTCTCGCTCAACGGCAACAAAAGCCATTTCATCCCAATCAGTAACATTATCGACTTGGTTATTCATGAAGGGTTCCATGGATACGGACAGGTCGTGTTCTATATGTGCGTGCTAACAAAAACCAAAAGCACGAACTCCGACAACATAAGCGGACTCACCTTGAATAATGATAAGATGATCAAAATCGTATTTCCTCAGTTTCTTCCAAGAAAAGACATCCTCATGAAAGTATGGAAAGATAGCAGACGTGTGCTTTTTGGTGAATCAAAGAGATATTGGAGGCGAGTCCCAGGTCAAGGTTTAAAATAATGTTATCAGCATTAAAGATAAGATAACTACTTCAGGCAAGTGACAAAACTCAAAAATTATTCTACATCGGGCCAAGAGAGTCCACTAAATAAGTACATCCCCAAAACGTGGACATTTCTTCTGTTCATCCAAAAATGCATATACATGTGCAACAAGCCATGCTTCACTAAATGCGATCGAATCGTTATCTCAGCGCCTAGCGCGCAATTAAATTTAGACACTAATACATAAATCAGAATATATTGAACCGTAGATATCTTCTTCCCTCCTAGAGTATTCATCGTTTACAAGTCTCCTAATTATCGCTTATCATACTACTTCTTTACAAATCTCTAGTCTTCTATTTACGTTGTTAGACCATTCCCACCAACATATTAAATCCAGATTTCTGACATGTCTTTCTGACATACCCAAACGTCACTCTAACGGTTAAAACTGTTATGATCAGTGCACCATATACACCCGGTACATATGCACTTCGAGTAGTGTTTTCAAGAAGAATGCTAACAATTTTTTACGGGGACCGATTTGATTTACACACGCTAAAATAATTGTTACTAAAAAAAACAAAAACAACAACAAAATATTAAGCGCCCGAAGACTCAAAAACACTCCTCTTTTCTTAAGTACTTCCTTTTACTAGGTCAAAAAGTATATTATACTAATAGCTATACTTATTTTTTTATATATATTACCTCATCAGTGAGTTGATCAATCAATCAATCAAACGAATAGTTGGATAGAAAGTTTGATATATATCTCGAGATATAGTTCCAGATATATAATATTGACACACTTTTGAGAGAGCTTGTTGATATAATAGGAAGTGTACATTAATTCAAATTCCATTAAATTGAGAATAATTCCAGGTAAAAGGCGTGGGTGATACTTTTGATTAATCCCCCACAAGAATTCAGCTATAACCTTAGAGTTAGAGAACACACTGGCATTTTCCAACCCACAATCGAAAAATAAAGAAGGTTGAACGCTAATAAATTAAGTTTGTATGAATTCTTAAGGCATATAAACTCTATTCCGTTCCACGTATTTTAAATTCCAACTCACTAGTCACTCTTTTAAAACTAAAATATTTCCGTACGGACAAAACTAATAAGACATTAATACCCAGGAACATATACGCATTATCACCATGTCACATTCGTCAGAATCTAAGAACATTCCGGCAAACAAGAAGCCATATAAGAATTTGCACACTTCGCCGTACAAGTTACAGGCCAGTGACATTTATAATCCCAATGACAGTCCATTAATTAACAAGCCTGTTTCCAAACATAACGGAATGAGATTACACTTACGGAGTCATAGTTATGGCTACAGTAATGATAAGAAAGATGTAACTGGAGGAGACATACCAGTGCCTAATTACGCACATAATAATACTCCAAATTGGAAGACTTTAATCCCTCCTATGCCATCATATCCGCAACCTAGTTACAAGACTGATAAAAGACTGCACTCACCTTCGCAACTGCAACAAAAACCATTTCAATCCCAACCAAGCACTCAAGTACCAATACACGTACAACAAGCACCGGTGCAAGGCAATCCACCATATCCTCAGTCACACACAAAAGCACCACAAAATAAGCAACAGTCTGGGGGTCAAAATTTAAGTAAGCCAAACCAAAGGCATTCTATTGCAGTATCGCCAAGCTCAGAAAAGTCGAATATTATGGGAAATGAACCACCATCACCAGCATTAGCTCATCAGCATCAATTTCACAATGTACTGCAACTGCCCCCACCTCGCATTCAAAATCAACGGTCGAAAGTTCCACAGGCACCAACCCAAGAGACGCCTCCTTTCCAACGTCAAATGTCATCGAATACCCCTGATTTGTCAAGAGAGTCGTTGGATCTGACTGACATTCAATCCCGTCCTTCGCAAGTACGCAAGAAAAGTATGCATAAAAAGAAAAAGTTCTGTAAAGGTTGTGGTTTAGAAATTACCGGGCAATTTGTTAGAGCTTTGAGTAGTGCTTTCCATATCGAATGCTTCCGTTGTAGTGAATGTGGCAATCAGTGCTCTTCTAAGTTTTTTCCATATGAAATGTTGGACGAGCCAACAGGTATAAAATACCAAGTTGCTCTTTGTGAATATGACTATTTTAAAAAGTTGAATCTTATTTGTTTCAATTGTAATAATGCTTTAAGAGGTCCATATATTACTGCGTTGGGGAATAAGTACCATCTTGAACACTTTAAGTGTGCAGTATGTCAGGTAGTTTTCGAGTCAGATGAAAGTTATTATGAGCATGAAGGTGCTATATATTGTCATTACCATTATTCTAAATTATATGCAACACATTGTGAAGGTTGTCATTCTTCAATAGTTAAACAATTTGTTGAATTGTTCAGAGGTGGAAGGAACCAACAATGGCACCCGGAATGTTATATGGTCCATAAGTTTTGGAATGTTTGCATATTAGCAGATTCCGTTGGTTTAAGACAACATTTCAATATCAATGACAGTAATGTTCCTAATATTACTAAATTCCTAAATGAATCTAATTTAAAACCTGAACTTTTAATAGCTATAGAACAACATGTTGAAAATACAATCATGAATTGTTGGCTTACATTATCAGGATATGAAGAGACGACAGCAGCCTGCATATCTGATATGTTACTAAATGCATGTACAAGTAATCAGTCAGGGGGCTTGATTTCCACTGGTAAATTAATTTTGAATGTGGAAGTATTATTCAATGCTCTTGATGTCGTTCAGGATTTGTGTTCCATCGTTAATTCAAATGTGACTTCTAAATCTACATCCCCTAACTTATCTTCTTCTACACACAATACTGAAAGTTCTGAAGACTTGACTTTCCTAGAGATGGATATTTTCCAGCCCTTGAGAAAAGAGCCAAGGAATATATCAGGTAAGATTATGAGTTATTTAGCAATATTGAGAAAGTCGATACAAACGTCATTATCTGGTAGTTTATCTACAGAATTGTTAGCTGTTGTAACAGGTTGTGCTCACTATTTGAAATTACTTATTAGAATTGGACTTAATAATGCGTTGAAAGTTAATAAGTTACAAGGAACTACCGATGCAACAGATAAATTTCTTCACTTGATGAAAATATATGAAGAGTTTAACAGCAGTAGTGACAATAAAGTTAATCGAGAATTAATAAAGAGCAGATTATCAATTCCTACAAATGCTACTGATTCATGTCAAAGTTGTCTGAAAAGTATTGAAAAGTCTTGTATAAAATTTGATAATAAAAGATGGCATACGAAATGCTTTGTGTGTTATAGCTGCTCGAAACCAATAGGATCAGTTCGTGCTATTCTATCTCAACTGGCGTATAATATATCTAATTCTCAGGCTTATTGTCCGGATTGTTATAATAGGAATGACAAAGCTTTTGTACAAGGATTTGAAGTAGTAAGTGACTTATCCCAGTTAGTCTATTTGTTGAAAATAGCTTTGTATCGCTCAAAGTCTGTTATGAAGGTTGAAAATAAGAATATTTCGCAGGTTAGGCAGGCTTCCTTGAAGCAGAAAAATATGTCAATTATTGATGAAGAAAGTGCTGCGAGAAATGCCACTGCGGACGATTATTCGAAAACACTAAATGACGTTACGAGATTAAGGACGAGCAGGCAAAGTCAAAAGCTTTCTAATTCTATCAAACAAAATGCAAGAAAGTCTGTTATTTTGGAAGCCCCAGAAGCTGATAAGGCTAAGCAAGATGAAACTAATGAAGAAGGAATGGTTGATGATTTTGAAGGTAGCAACGAAGATATAACTAATAAACCTAACGAAACTGAAAGGAAAACCAGTGTTTCATCCCAATTATCTTATAAACAACAATCAGAAACTGACCAGTTCAATATATCATCTAGACGGAGTAAAAAATCATTAAGAATCAGAGATGAACCTCAAAAGCACGCTACTAATAACAATCTTGATCGAACGTCTGATCTTTTACAAAATGAAAAATCGCTAACGTTAGATGATATACCACGTATTGTGGCAGCTGAGCAAGCGAGAGAGCAGCGTCCAAATGCATTTAAACATCATAATTCATTGTATCAAAAGCATGCCCCTATGGAATCGGTGAGAACTATTCCTGCTGCAAGTACCAGTAATGCAAGTAACCGTAATAGAAATAACAGCAAAAGCAGTAATACTGATAATACAGGTAATGAAATACTTACACCAGGTGATGAAGTTTCTTCTCAAAGTTCTAAGTATTTTTCTGAGTTGAATAAGTCTGAGCACTTCATTTTAAGACATATTGCGGTTGAGGCATTAATTCAGATTCTGAACTATAATAAAGATGAGTTGCTAGGGTTAATTCAAACACGTAAGTTACCAACCTTTTGGGATAAATTTAAGTTTGGAACAAGCGACCCAAAGAAGGATAAGCATTTAAACGTTTTTGGAGTTGATATACAAGATTTAACAAAAAGATATGGAGTCGATTCGGATCTTGGTGTTGGCCCTTCTAAATTGCGCATACCTATAGTGGTTGATGAGATTATTAATGCATTGCGCCAGAAGGATATGTCAGTAGAAGGAATTTTCAGATTAAATGGTAATATTAAAAAGCTAAGGGAATTAACAGACCAAATCAATAAGAATCCTCTTAAATCGGCTGATTTCAGTTCTCAAACTGCTGTTCAATTGGCTGCATTAATGAAAAAATGGTTACGTGAATTACCTAACCCATTATTAACCTTCAATCTATACGACTTGTGGATTTCCTCACAACAACAAAAAGATGCAGCTCTTTGTAAGAGAATTTTACAATTAGCGTATTGTATGTTGCCAAGAAGCCACCGTAATTTACTTGAGGTTTTACTTTATTTTTTCAGCTGGGTTGCATCGTTCGCTGAAATCGATGAGGAGACTGGATCAAAAATGGATATCCATAACTTGGCTACTGTGATATCACCAAATATTCTTATCTCAAAAAAGGCTTCGCAATCTGACCAATCACCTCCTCAAACAGGAGATAATTATTTCTTAGGTATTGAGGTTGTTAACAAATTAATTGAATTACATGAAGAGCTTTGTATTATTCCGGATGACTTATTATTATTCTTCGAAAAGTGCAAATTCAACGAAAATAAATCCGAAAACATATCAACGAAAGAGATAATGAATAAATTAGAAAAGACATCTAAAGAAAACCCTAACTTTTTCTTGAACTTCCAAATGAAAAATAATAATTTCAGTACTTCGGTGCAGCCTGATGTTCAAACAAACAAGGTTTCAAGGGGACATTCGAAAGTGACGAACGAATCACATGGCGAAACTTCAAATGTCCAGCATCCTTAAGAAATCGTAGAGCTGAATTCTTGTATTTATATCGCTTTACATTCGTTTCAGTTAAGTGAATCATGTATTAATTATATATGTAATCTAAAAATGTTCATAATTAGTATTCATGTAATATTTGTTCTTTATTTTTTGCACTACTTCATTCTCAAAACGAAAAAATTAACGTCAGCTGTATAAAGTATATCAAAAAATTACAATCAATAGCAGAATACACAAATATGTCCTTAACAGCAGATTCTTTTAAAGAATTAATCCAAGAAAAACTCCAAGCTAGCTTAGTTCAAGTGGAAGATATGTCTGGTGGCTGTGGCCAGGCGTTTGCTGTGATTATTGTATCTTCCAATTTTGAAGGAAAGAATAAATTAATGAGACATAGGTTGGTAAATAATGCTTTAAAGGAAGAAATAGCCTCGATACATGCATTTACACAGAAAGCATTTACACCAGAAGAATGGAAGACGCAAGGTGGAAATTTATGATTTCATAATTGAAACCATTTCACATAGCGATTTCTTGCTACATTCATTAACTAATTTGTCATTATAGAACTATTATAATTATTCAGAAGCTTCAACTCTTATCTGGAACTTTTCAAAGTCGAGGGAAAATTCCTAGCTGATTATTAATATACATTATTTATTCCCTATATATCTAAAGTCTATTAGTATTATAATTAGCCCCGTATCGTTTCATCATTCCTAACCACATAAGACAGAGAAAAGCAAAGATACTCATAACAATGCAAGGCAAAAGTGTTAAACCTAAAGTACTCGATTCAGCTATGATCCCAATTAAAAATGGAAGTGCAGCAGCACCTCCACCACCAAATGCGCAAATAAAGCCCAAGCCTGCAGCATGATACTTGTGAGGTAAGATTTTCAATGAAGCAACTATGGTTGTGGGGAAAATAGGACCAACAAATGCACCGGCTAGAAAGACTATAATGAAGAGAAAAAAATTAGTAGTAACCCAGGAAAGCATCCAGAAAGCCAAGAATCCAGCAAAAGATAAGAACATGTACAGAAAGTTAGCTACTAACTCATTTTTAAAGTAATGAGCCGTCACAAAACCAAGACCTATACGGCCTGCGGTTAAACCCGCCCAGAAGCTAGTAGCCATGTATGAAGAATACGTGTACGATAAGCTCTTGATTCTGGTTAAAAAAGTTATTAACCATGAACCAAAGGAAACTTCACCTCCGACGTAAATGAATAAAATAATTGAAAAGAGCCAGACTAACTTAGATTTTAAAGCCTCAGATAAAGGAACTGAAGAATGATCTTCCTTTTCGTTATCTAACTCGTCGTTTGTAGTAGAGACCTCTGATTGATTTCTAAATGTATCCAATTCAAACTCATTTTCTTCGTCCAATTTCTTACCTTTTTTATTTTTTAAAATCATAGCAAATTTGTACTTCTTTGCAGTTTCATGTCTAAACGCTAATATTAAGAATATTGTGTTAAGTGCACCTACGGAACTCAAAACCATATAATATTTATTCCATTGCCATGGGTTTTTTGCTCTTTCCAACAAACCTGTAATGACAGGTGGTGAAATCATACATCCAATCCCATAACAACCATGGAGTATTCCGAGAAGCTGATTTGAATCAATCAAGCATCCCATCCATGTATTAAGACTTGCATCTAAACTCCCAAATCCAATGCCATTCAAAATATAGCAAAATATGAAGATTGAAAATGGCGGTTTAAAAGATACTATTAAGTAGGCACATGTCATACTAACACTACCCAATATTACTACTCCTCTTATGCCCAAGTTTTTATGTGTTATTTCATTTAATAAAGCCATCAAGAAATAGCCCGCAACGGAAGCTAAGAAAATGAAACTTGTTTGAATATCATCAATTTCATAGTGATCTTGGAACTTTGGGATCAATGTTCCCACAGTTTGTTCTGCTAGCCCAAATAAAATAAATACAAGATACCCTGCAATTATTTGAAGTTTCAATAATGTACTATCTCTCCAATCAATAGAATCAAAGTAAATTGTTTCATTTTCGAATTCAACTGTATACCTCTTATTGGTACTATAAGCCTCTAAGTCGCTAAGATCGTCGAGATTGGTGGAAGATGATCCCTCGAAATTTACCACACCTTCAGAATCATTGGGTTCACTATTACCGATGAGCAAATTTTCGGATTCTATACTATCATCTTTAATTTCAGTATTCTGCATTACTTAGTTTTTACTTATATCCTTAGATAATACTTATTTTTATTCCTTTCCAATAATTCTATAAATATCTTCAATATGTAACAATAATATATATACCTTAATTTTAGTTTCACATTTCACACACTTCTTATTCTCATGTATACTCTAGGCAAAAGGATCAAAATCCTTATCTGCGCTAAAAAAGAATTTTTTTTTCTATTTCTTTTCCTAATGGGGTAGTCTACCCTTAATTTCGCATCTTAGATCTGAAATGTTTTATTATATTTAACAAGCGATTTTATCCTTCGACCTAACGTCCTGGTAGGTCCTGAATAGTCACGATCAAAATTATCATAAACTTTTTTTAAAGCTTAGCTTTTAACTGTTATGGCCTTGTTTTTGCATGGAGAAACATTTAATAATACAAATATTTTAAAAATAGC